ATCTGTGCCTGCCCCACAGCAACAACAACAACAACAACCACAACAAACGGAACAGTAGAAGTGCATTGTTCTGTCGTTCTGGTCCCCTTTTTTTTTTTGCCTCCCCTCTTTTATATTTGTTCCAGGGGTAATCGCATTAAAAGTCATTTAATCGAAAGCGAGAAAGAGCACACACCACAGCATGCCGCACCACACTCTTTGTGGCGCTCTCTCTCTCTCTCTGTTGCACACACACACCTTCACCCACTTTCGATTGGGGGGTGGGGTGATGCCTCATAATTGAGATTTGTTGCACTTGCAGCTCGTCGCTGACTTTTATGCGAGCTTTTTTTTTATTGTTTATGGGGTTTATGGGGAGGCAACCGCCACTGGAACTGCGGCAACATGTAAGTGCAATTATAGTGGAAAATTGGATTTCCTTGCCACTGGGAAAGCTCTCTACACCATCTCCACTCTATACACCTCTCTCTCTGTGTATAGCTTGCAACATCCGAGTTTTATCCCGTATCTGGTTTCAGGGGGTTTCGGATTTCGGACTTTTTTTGGATGGCAAACAAATTGTTGGTCAAACAATGCTGATTGCTCGCACTCTCCCCCTCTCCCCCTTCTCGCGTTGAGTGTTTTTGGGGGGTTTAACCTTTTGGCAGATCAACAGGAGGGTGGGATGCTGGGGCAGGGGCAGGGGCGAGCCTGGAGTTGCCCCTTAAAACTTTTCCAATTGCTGCTGTCGCCCCGATTCTGTTGAAAGTGACTTTTTGGGGGGCTTATCAATTGTAATTGTTGGTCTGAGGTTTGTGCTTGTGTTGGGTTACCTATAGGTTCCCCCCTGTCTCTGCAAACTTCCCCCCTTGCCACGCTATTGTATCTCCAATCCGTGGAAAATGCTGCGGGGCCTAACAAGAAAAGTTGTCCCCGAGTTTGGTCTATCTGTGTGCGAGAGGGTGAGAGAGATGAGGGGAGAGTGTGTTGTTCAGTGTGTGTCTCTATAAATACAGTGCCGTGCAAAAGTATAAGGCACATAACTACAGCATAAACTATGTTTTAACAAGCATGCAAGTCGAATGGGATAGAGATACGAGAAATGTGCTAATTGGAATGGACAGAACAAAAAGATATAAAAATACATGAAAAATAAAAAATAAAAATATATAAAGGTAAATTAAAGTTCTCCCTCTATAAATGAAACGCACTGTGTGCCGGGTAAAATTTACTTTTGGCTTTTAATTACATTTATCTGGCGAAACTTTCAGAACCCCCAACCGAAACTTGTTTTATTTTTTGCTTTCATACGCATTTCTATGTTGATTGTGCCACATGCCCCACCCCTGCGATATCAGATATTATTATTATTATATTACGAATATGATTCTTTTTTGTTGTTTGTTTGTTTGTTTTGGATTTCAATTAAATAAAAATCTACGACAGATGGTCTGTCCCTGTCCGCCTGTCTGTCTGTCTGTCTGTCTATCTGTTCCTCTGTGTCTCTCTCTCTCCCTGATTGTGTCGCTTGAAGCTCTAATCTGAAATGGAACACGTTTTAATGGCATTTTAATTGTTTATTCAGCGATAACATTGCGCATTGCTCCTCTCAACCTAATGTACAAACAAACACTCAGAAATTGTGTCTCTGTTGCTGGAGACTGAAGAAAGGATCGGAGATAGAACCCGCGACTGAGGCACAGATAAAACCAGAGACAGAACCAGTAAAAGAGATAGAGACAGAGCCAAAAATATAGATACAATTGGAGGCGGGGCAGTATGAGTCGCAGCATTATTAACCATTTTAAGACATGTCACCCGGCCCGCATTGGTGGTGCATTGTCAGAGCAGCAGCTACGAGTACTCTGGAGGCAAACAAATGTGTGTGTGTGTTCCATCGAGACCTTGAAAAAAAGATGCAAAGATACTCGTACAATATACGAGGTGGAAACACGACGATAGAGAGAGTTCTCCTGCGGTTGCGGCTGCGGAAATTCAAATTTAAATTTAGATTTTGGCTTTGGTTTTGGCTTTGAGGGATCTCTACCGAGTCGAGTATCTGTATTTGAAAATCTGTCAAATGGCCACAATTGGAATTAATTACATTTTGAAAATAACAATTTTCAATGGGAATTATGTGGGATCTATGGGCAGGCACGCTATCTATTCGTTGATCGATTTGTTTCAATTAAAATTGATTTTGCGTTGAAAATTCATTTAAATTTCGTGATTTATTTTCGTTGATTCATTTTCATTGAGGATTTATGAGATATTTTTTTGATTTTTAATTTCTTGTAGTTGAATCAAAAAATTCGCTTCAGATTTGTAGAGTTCCATTGGAAATTTTTCGGTTTGCTAGGATTTTTAGATAAGCTACAAATATTCGTTCTATACATTAAAAAAACAAATTTTTGTCTGTTATAAAATTTCTATGATTATAATAACTGTGGGAGTACAGTAACAGATAATTATTACTTATCGGGGAAGGCTAAAATCATTACATATTCATACCTTTTTGGAAAGTTACTGAGGCTTTTCCCCTTACCATATTTTCCATTGTTTTTTATCTGACTCTGATTCAAAACCCTCAAAAGGTTGACTAACATTCTTCCAGTTATTATGGATTAATATTAATGAATAATGTTTGTTATTTTGGAAAACCACTCAGAGACATTCCTCTCTCCCCGTCATTTCACCACTCGAAAAAGGTAAACAAAACTGAAAGCTGATCTTGATAGAGTTATTTGTTTGTCTCACTGTGTACCCTACGCAAGCATATACGGAGATACATATGTATGTATATGTATCTGTATCTCTTATGAATCACCTGTACACACATTAAGTAATATCATTTGCATTACTTGCCCCTCCCTCAGCCATGCTATGCAAACCTGTTGCACATTTTCCGCATCTAAGGTCGTGAGCAATTAGCAAGCATTTCCTCATCAGAGCAGAGTGCATTCATGTCTCGCATTCTTCCTCTCTCTCTCTCTGTGAAGACCATAAAAGGCCATCCATCTATCTGACATTCTGTTCCATTTAGCCTCTAAAGAGACACATTACCTACCTACCTACCCCTCGGCTGCACCTTCGACTATCCCCCTACTCTGCTGTGTTTCATATTTCGTATCTTTTTTTAAGCAGAAAGCAACCTACTCACTCCTCCTTCTGCCCATCGGCTTATCTAATTTTCAAAGTTAACGCAGTTTCAATGATTGGGCAAATGGAATTTTGGCTGGAATTTCTGTTTCTGTTTGATTCTTTTTTTTTTTTTTTTGGGTTCTGTTTTTCTGTCGCATTCGATGACATCACGCACTGGCGTCCAATCCTAACGTGCGGTGACGGGGTGGAGTAGTAGGAGGTGGACGGGGCAGAGCGAGGGAACCTTTCATTAATCTTATCAAAAAGATGCTTTTGTTACCTTTTCATTTCATTTTATTATATTTCATTTTCGTTTATGGGGAGACCTTTTTTTTGGCTGCTTGAAAGTGTTAGGCAGTCATGAGATCATACGTGACCAGGGAGGGGACTACTTCACACTGCTCCACTACTTCATTACTTTTTGTAACCTGTGGACGCCTCTACTACAGAATTTTACACTGCAAAATTCAGCTGCAGAATGCACTATGGAATCTTACTCTACATGATATTGCTCTAGGGAATCCTCTCTCGAATTCTGCTCCAAAGAATCTTCCATAGGTGCATGAAGGACTCTAGTAGTACTCTTTATCTATGGAATTCAAGGCAATGTATTCCTTCTGCTTTTTCTCTGACTCTTCTCTGATTCCTCTATGACTCCAGCTAGCTACTCCATGGCATTTCTTACCTCTCTTCTACTCTGCTCTGAAATACCTTCTACTCTGTTGAGCCCATCAAATGTTTATCCACAAGTTGTATCTTTGGGTGTGGGCGTATTTTATGATGCTGATTATTTTTGGTTGTATCCACATATAATTGAAAAATAAGTAAACAGATTCAGATACAGATAGCCGTCCCGAAAGCGTAGAATTCCAGCTAAAACCTCTGCTAAATCTCTTGCTAATCTGCTAATCTTGTAGTAAACAAAAGAACACAAAGAATAACAATAAGAGCAGGAAGGAGAAGAAGAAAAAGGCCAAGGGTCAAATGAACACTTTAATCAAAATGTCAATGAGCAAATAACGCCAGAAACGAATGCCGCCCCGAGACGTGCCACAAGAAAAGGTGATTCGGATGCCAAAACTAAACGAAAGTTTTCTTTCTCTATTTTTTTTTGGTGGGGCTGCTGCTGCTGCTGCCTCCAGCAAAGAGGTGCCTGAGGCCGTACATAGCGGGGTGCGGCAATCGAGCAAAAAAGAACCACAGACAGCACCACAGCACAGCAACATTTTTGATGAGTCAAATCATAAGAGAAAACCAAATTAAAAACCAATTTTAAATAAAAAAAATTAAATAAAAAAGAATACGGGCCATAATCACACGTTAAAAGAGCCGCCCAGCAAGAGCTTTCAGTCTCTCAAGTACAGTTACAAAAGTGCCGTTACAAGTGAAAAATGGTGAAAATGCTCGATCTGGACCGTCACGCAGAGTGCCCACTGTGGGCGGCATTGGCCTCATCGGATGTCCCATGGACGGGCATGGATTACGCCTGCCTCAATGTGCTCAGTATTTACTGCAAGGTGTTCGATAGGAAAGAAATCTACGATCTCATTGTGAGGTAAGCAATCAGTGCGGGGGTGGGTGCACAAAGCAGCCGCTAGATGGCGACAGTTGAGCTTTTATTGGCCGAAAGCTTTTCATGTGCAGTGGTACAAAATATACGGAAAGATTGCAGAGACTTTAAATAATTTAAATTTTATTATCTAAATATTATAAATATAATAAATAAATAAATAAAATATAAATAAAATAAAATAAATATATATTATTATTTAATTATTATTATTATTTATTTAATTTAAAAATTATTTTGCTAGTACTCCCAGCTCTTCCGTTAGCTGCCATTTCTCACGTTTTCCATTTTCTTCGTGTTCTTCTTGCAGGAAAACCTGCCAATCGTGCAAGTGTCCTCGCGAGGCGCATGCCATCTACCAGCAACAGACGACCAATGTCCACGAGAGACTGGGCTTCAAGCTCGTCTCGCCCGCGGACTCCGGCGTGGAGGCACGTGATCTGGGCTACACGTGGGTGCCGCCAGGGGTGCGTGCCTCGTCGCGCATCAATCGGTACTTTGAGCTGCTGCCGGAGGAGGCGGTGCCGCGGCTGGGCAGCGAGGGGGCGTGCAGCAGGGAGCGCCAGATCGCGTATCAGCTGCCCAAGCAGGATCTCTCGCTGGAGCATTGCAAGCATCTGGAGGTGCAGCATGAGGCCTCGTTCGAGGACTTTGTGACGGCACGCAATGAGATAGCGCTGGATATAGGTGAGTGCAGTGCCTGCAGTGCCTGCAGTGCCTTTGCGATGACTCAACCAACTCAATTCCTTCCCTGCCTCGTAGCCTACATCAAGGATGCCCCCTACGATGAGCATTGTGCGCACTGTGATAACGAGATTGCGGCCGGCGAGCTGGTTGTGGCGGCGCCCAAGTTCGTGGAGAGCGTCATGTGGCATCCAAAGTGCTTCAGCTGCAGCACCTGCAACTCGCTTCTGGTGGACCTCACCTACTGCGTGCACGATGACAAAATCTACTGCGAGCGACATTATGCGGAAATGCTGAAGCCCCGCTGTGCTGGCTGTGATGAGGTGAGTCCTTCCTTTCGCTATCCCCCCATCCCCCCATCTCATCGATCCCCAATTGAAAATTATTGTGTGGCATACTTTGGGGCATGCCACCAAAGATTGTATCTGAGCGTGTGTGTGTGTGCGAGTGTGGGGGAAGCCTTTGGTTTTTATCGCCTGCCACACGCAGTTCACATTTATTGCAAAGGTGCGGCTATCGCCCTACCATCCATCCATCCATCCATCCATCCATCCATCCACTCCCCTGAAACAATTCCCTGATGCCCTGCCAAAAGGTTATGGCATTTTCATTGAACTTCACTTTGGGGGGGTGGCTAGACGCTAAATGCTCCCCGAATGCAGCTCCAGCGATGTTTGCCACAAAGACAGCGACGGCCAACAGTTCATTGGCAGCACTGTGGCTGTTGCGTCGCGCAGAGCGGAAGTTCTTTTTGTGGGTAAGGCGGAAATTACATAGGAATTGACTCTGCGAATGGCACAAATCTAAGAAATACTTTGCTATTTACTGCCCTTCGATTTGATGGACCTAACGATTGGTGTGGCATTAAAGACAAATTTGCAAATCGATCAACAGAAGCTAATTGGGTTGCGATTGAGCCAATTTCCGACTGTAATTATAGAAATTTATATGTGATTAGCGAGTTTAAGGATGTTTCTATGGAATTCTATTGGATTATGGGATGAAATTTTGCAGAAATCAAAGGAAAAATATATGGAAACGGGAACTTCAGTTAACAAATTTTTTTTTTCAATATTTCCAAATTAAATAATATTAATCTGTTGTTAGTGATTGGTTCTCTGATTGGAATTTGTGGAAAGTTAAAGGGTTCGGGGGGTGCTTCGTGGCAGTCGCCCTTCCCCCCGGGGTTAAAATATTCAAATTGTTCTACAGCTTTTCCCCACCCTAATTAAGCAAGCAATTCCCCACGCATTTCCCATTCTGTATTCAAATTCGCACAATAAATTTTCCAATTATTTTTCAATTATCATATTCCTCCCAAAATTTTGTTGCTACAAAAAACAACACAAAAGAAAAACTCATTTGATGAATATACATATGTACACGTGTGTACATATGTGTATTTTTGAGCGATTATTCTGTGAAATATTTCGCATATGCCGCTAATCAATTCGTTTGATATTTGTTTTCCTCTCACAAATGAAAAAACTTTCACTTTCAATGCAAAAAAAAAATAAAAACCAAAAATAAATAAATAAATCAACAAACAGCCATTCCCAGAGACCCATACAGAAAAGATACGAAATACCATGTATCCTAGATACATTTATTTATGTATTTTTGGCACATTTAACGAATGAAGAAAACTTATTTTTGAAAATAAACAAAAGGCACGCACACATAAAAATAGTCTAGATGCCAAAATGTGGGACAAGTGCACAATTATGCACAAATTAAATATAATTACTGGCGGGGAGGGCTATTGTTGTTGATGATGATGATGCTGCTGCAGCATGCCACATAGAAAACATATAAAGAGAGAGAGAGAGGGAGTGAGAGCTCGTACCAGAGGAGAGGAGACCCAAATCCAGACCCAGACAGACAGAGAGAGAGAGAGAGAGAGAGAGATCCACCCAGGGAGAGAAGCTGCAGCTCCCCAATGTTAGTGTCAGTGCCAGAAGATGCAATTTATGACATTCATTTTTTTGGGCTGTCGTTGCTGCCGTTGGCGACCCTGGCCCCAGTTCCCAGGCCCCCAATCTTCAGGCATTGGCCACGCCAAAATGAGAGACAAATTTGCAAAGCATAAATACAGTGAGTGGCATGTGTAAAGGGCAGGAAGGGCATAAAGGCGTGCCGTCTGCTTGGGGATTTATATTTTAAATTGAAAAGGAAGAAACAGGAATTTTGAAAGGAAGAAAAAGGAATTTAGAAAGGAAGAAAAAGGAATTTAGAAAGGAAGAAAAAGGATTTTATAAAGAGAAGACATCGACTAGCCGTAGATCTAAGAAGATTCTCTTATCTTATCTTTGCAATTGCTCCTCTGCCATGTCCTAGTCCTGTTTCATATCTATGTCGCCCACTGTATGCTCAAAGAAAAATGCGAGCAAAGCAAACACGGTGGGAGAGTATGCAGTGTGTGTTTTTTTTTTTTTAATTTGAAAACACACAAAGAAATAGAAACATAAATAGACCCCGAAAACTGATTAGAAAATTCGCTTTTTGCCGATTGCCGATGGCAATTGCTTTGGCATTTGACACAGCGCCAGGGCCAAAGCTAGAACCCGCGACCGAGACCGAGTCCCAGTCCCAGAGTACCAGAGACCGAGAGGCTCAGAGGCAGTGCATCCATTGGTGTCCATCACCTGTCAAAAGCTCATTTGCCAGCTAGCCGCTGCCTCTTGTCACTCTCTGTCCCACTCTCTCTCACTCGAATGAAGCTCTCTTAGCTCTCTTTCTCGCTGCTTTTAGCCGCGTCAATTAGCGCCATTTGGTGGCTATTTCTTTATGGCCAATTGGTTCTTGTTGCGCTCTTTGTGATTCATACACGCTCTCTCTCTCTCTCTGCCTCTTTGAGGGGGCCCTTGGCCGGTTGCCGCTGCTGGGGCACTAATCAGTTGCAAGACGATCGATTAACGGAAAACAAGAGCCAGGCCGTGCAACCATATGTGGCTGCCCCGCGCTGGTAGTCGCCCCCCAATCACCAAAAACGTCTCATCCTGCTCGCAACGTTTTTCGATCTTCGCTTAGAATTTTTCACTAATTTATAGATCGTTTGAATGTTTTGAATTTGCGTTGAAGTAAAAATTGAAAGAAATATTTTGGCGAATTACCTAATCAGTTGGCCATTAACGTGAGTGCCGTGCCCCGCGAATCCGAATCCAAATCCGAGTGCGAGTGCGAGTGGTGAGTGTCTGTCGAGTGTCTGTCGATTGAGTGCGAGTGCGTGGTGAATATTTTATATAATACGCGCGCCGCACCAAACGGAATACCCCGAGCATTGCATTGCCAATCTGTGCGGCAGGCAGGCGATACGGATTTCAGATACTGCTTCCGATTTCGATTTCCGATTCCCGATTCTTACGCAAGAGAAATGCCATCGGATGAGGCGCTGACCGGCATCGGGGAGCTGATCTTCTCGCTGCTGATCGGCTACCTGGGTGCGCTGGAGTGTGCGTTTGTGGTGCGGCATCTGTACCACTGCACCTTCCAGCATCCCGCCTACACGACCACAGATGCGGCAGCGGACAACGACGAGCTACCGCGACTGCGCGAGCGCCTGGAAAAGGACATAGCCGAGGCGGCCGAGCGGGAGGCGCGCGCCGGCACCAAGGCCATGCAGGACGGGGTCCTCTACGACACCAAGGGCTTGCGTGTGGATCCCGCAGGGGAGAAGAGAGAGGCGCTGGCAGCAGAGCTGGAGCGACAGCGGCGCATTGAGGAGGAGACGCGACGACAGCTGGCGGAGGCGGAGGCCCGCCTGGCAGAGGATCGGAGGCGGGCCAAGGAGGCGGACGAGCAGATGATCGAGCAGCAGAGAGAGGAGCGAAAGCAGCGCGAAGAGAATGAGCGAAAGCTAATTGAGGCCGAAAAGCAAAGAGAGGCAGAGCAGCGACAGCGCGAAGAGCAGGAACAAAAGCAGCGCGAAGAGAACGAACGGAAGCTGATCGAAGAGAACGAACGGAAGCTGATCGAAGCCGAAAGAGAGCGCGAAGCGAACGAGAGAAGGATCCAGGCAGCTGAAGAACAACGTGAGCGCCAAGAGAACGATGAAAGGCTGCTTGAAGCCGAACGCCGGCGAGAGCTAGCCGAAGCCGAAGCCGAGACGGAACAAAGGGATGCGGAGATTGTGGAACGCCTTTTGGCGGCAGAGCGGGCTCGCCAGATGAGCGCCACGGAGAGCGAACTGGAGGAGGAGGCGCTGGAAGTCGAGTCGCGTCGCCTGCTCTCCGGCCGCGTGGATCCCGAGAGCAAACAGAAGATGATCGAGGAGAATGCACGGCTCTTCCTGGAGGCCGAGGAGGAGATGGTGATGCTGCAGCAGCGCCAGCTGCAGGCGGCCAACAGCAGAGAGGAGGATTCCGAGTATGCGGGCGCCGTGCCAGTCGAGGAGGCGCCCTGCCTGAGGAAGATACTGCCGCCCAGATTCCGGGAGCCGGAGGCACAAGAGCAGCCCATGATGGTGCAGAAGGTGAAGACGCAGTACGGCCAGTCGAAGGGTCGCCTCGCGTTTCCGGGCGTATCCGACGAGGGCTCCTCCTTGGAGCCCGCTTCCAGCCAGCAGTCGTCCTTCAGCACACAGCCATCGGAGGATCTGCTGCGCACTGAGGAAGAGCGTCCGGAGCCCGAGGGCGAGGATCAGACACCACCCGATGTGCAGTACACGGAGGACTATCTGCGCTCCCTGGACGGCATCAAGAGTCGCCCGCTGGTGCGTGAGGACGGATCCGGCAGGAGGCGCGCCTTCAAGAAGCGCCGCTCCAGCGGCAGCTCCAATTCGTCTCGTGACTCACGCGCCTCCCGCGACGAGGAGCTGAAGATGTTCACCTCGCTGGAGGAGGAGGAGCTGCGCCACGGCGACCACGAGGACTACAATCCCATCAAGTACAGCAGCGAGCCGACGCTGCGGGTCAAGTCCCACCACAGGCGGCACAAGCGCAGTCCGGCCAAGGACATGATGCCGCCGTCGGAGGCGGAGGGCGAGGCGAGTGGCGTCTCCCTGGAGATGCTCGGCGAGGAGAGCACCAATCCGTGGGGCGAGGTGGTGCCCGAGCACTACAAGGACACGGAGTTCTGGAAGCGGGAGAAGGCGCTATCCATCGATGAGGAGGACAACGATTTGGAGCTGTCGAAGAACGAGCCCAAATCCTCATCCTTCGAGGATGCAACGGAGGCGCAGAATGAGGAGGCAGCCACCACACTGCTGCAACAGCAGAAAGTAGGCGCCAAGGAGCAGCCGGTAAGTGGCTGCAACAACAACATATCTGTGGCAGATCCTCTTTCTATCTCTCTCTCTCTGTCTCCCTTTTACGGCAGGATGATACCAGCCCCAAAGCGGCGGAGACCAGCGCCAGCAGCGACAACAAATCGAATGTAAGTGCGTAGGTCAGAGGTCAAGCCAAACAGAGGTCCCCAAACCCATGCCCAAGTCCAAGTCCAATCCCCGCCCACTGCTTTCTGCTTTGCTCTCCGCTTTAACTGCTTTTCCCTCTCTGCTTTTCATATCCCGCCTACGCTTTCGCCTATGTTCCGCTTCCGCTTCCGCTTTCCGCTTCCGATTTCCGCTCTCTACCCCCTTACCCCAGCTGCGAACCTCTCCCGCAACGGAGGAGCAGTCCAAAGGCGGTGGCGGATCACCCGGCCTGCGACGCAGTCCACGCATCGACGAAATGGATCACTACGCGGAGCGCTGGTCCGCCACACAGCCGGAACATCCGGAACAGCCGCAGACACCGAGCATCAGTGTCCAGCAGCCGGACACGGCGCCCTGGCGCGATCAGTACGGCCTGATGATGGAGGGCCTCAGCGACTTTTACGACTTCCAGGCCTCCGTGAATCCCTCGCGTTCGCCCTCCAGCTCACGCAATCCCTCGCCACAGCCCAAGAATGTGGCCAATCGCATGGATGCGGAGATGGAGAAGTCACTGGAGGTGTACGACGACACCGAGCACGGGCCTGGCGGCGGGCGAACTAAATTGCGAGCTGGTGCTGCAGCTGCTGGCGACCACAATGAACGGAAATGAAGAGAGCCCTGGCGCGCCTCTGGCAGAGCAGCTGAAGCTGCAGAATGTGGCAGACGATGCGGGCAATGGGAGTGCTCCAGTGGCCATGGTGTATGCCCCGGCAGAGGCAGCCACCACAGAGAACACGCTCCGCGAGGAGAGAGCCTCCTCTGATCCCAGGAGGCATTCACGCTCCCGCTCCCCGCTGCCGACCAGCGAGAATCTGGAGCGCAGCATCAGCCAGCGCAGGCAGCGCCTGATCAAACACAACGACGAGATCATGGAACGACTGTCCAACTCCAGTGGCAGCAGCGGCAGTGGCAGTGGCAGTGGCAGTGGTGGACGCAACAGCCCCATGGAAACGGAGGCCAATGGAAGTGTAACGCCGCCGCTGCAGCTGCCCCAGCCCGTCATCGAAATCAACGACATGGCCATGGATGAGCCCATGGAGGAGGAGGAGCAGGCGACACTGGAGGAGAGGCGTCTGTTTGTGGAAACGCTCAGGGCGGAGCGCAATTCGCGCTCTCGCTCGCGCTCGCGTTCCCGTTCGCCCCTGCCCACGGCGGACAACATAGCCAAGAGCCTGGAGAGCCGTCGCCAGAGGCGCATCCAGCACAACGACGAGATCTTTGAGAAGCTCCACGAGCAGGAGGAACAGGAGGCAACCGCTGTGGCTGCCAGCCTGCCCATACCGTGTGTGTCCATCGAGATTGAAGCGCCGCCGGAGGAGCGGCAGGTTGAAGTGGAGGCAGTCGAGGAGGACACACCCGATAGCATGGCCAGACTGTTCGAGCAGCTGCGCCTGAATCGCGTGCGTTCGCACTCCCGTTCCAGGTCGCGTTCCCGAACGCCGCTGCCGAGTGCCGCCAATCTGGAGCACAGTCTGGAGCGGCGTCGCGACAAGCTGATTGCCCAGAATGACATGTTCTTCGAGCAGCTGCAGGAGCGGGCCAACACGCCAGAGCCCCGTTTGACCGTGGAATATGTCTACGAGTTTGTCCAGGAGGAGGCGGCAGGAGCTCATGCCTCGGAGAGCAGGGATATGCGTTCGCTTTCGCCCTCACGTTCCCGTTCGCTGACACCGCCAGAGCAGAAGGGGAATGACTTCCATCGGATGCTCAATCTGGAGGGATCCGAGCAGCGGACACTCCGCAAGAACAGCGAGGAGCTGGAGAGTGTCCTGGCGTCGAGTGCCAAGCAGCGAGAACTGGATCTGGAGGCACTGCAGCAGCTGCAGCATGCCAGCGAGGAGACTGAGCTGCGTGTGCTCAGTCCCACGGGATCCGAGCGCCAGCGAGTGGAGCAGATGACCAGAGGGGAGCCAGCTGTGGAGCGAACCGTGTCCGAGGTGGCCAGGGAGCTGCAAGATGAGCTGGTGGCCAGCGGCTTCAAGCGATCCACCTACGTGGGCGAGTCCCTGGACCAACTGGAGGATAAGGCGGCGCAGCGCGAGCTGCAGGCAGCCATCCTCGATTCGCTCACGGAGAATCGTCTGGGGGCCAAGCCCAAGACCTTTGCCGAGGAGCTGAAGGACACGCAGCGCATGCAGGACGAGTCGCTAAGCAGCGGCTTCAGGCGCTCCACCTACGTGGGTGAAATGTCGCAGGATATGTCCGCCACCCAGCTGGACGATCTGCGTCATCGCACGGCGGAATTTCAGCGTTCGCGCAGCCAGAGCCGATCCCCACTGCGCGGCGAGGAGGTGGCGCTGCTGAGGGACATTGACGAGGAGGTGGCCAAGCGTGAGCTGCAGGATCAGCTGCTGGACAAGTTGGCTGCATCCAGCGTGAATTTCGAGAACTTTTCGCGGCATCTGAACGCCGATTTCCTGGACAGCGAGCGGCGTGCCTCCGATTCGGCCATCCTTAAGCAGAGCGATCCGTACGGAGAGCACCTGGAGCCAGAGGAGTACCATCACTTCCGACGCTACTCGCTGGCCCAGGAGCAGCCCGTGGAGGATTATCCCAGCGATGAGTACGTGTACATCTCGCAGATTGAAGTGCGCACCATGACGGGCACCCGCACCTGGCTGAAGGAGGACTATTACTCGCAGGAGCGGGACGAATATGAGTGCTCCAAGGAGAGTGTCGTCGATCAGGACTCGTGGGCACGCGCCGTGCTCGCCGCAGAGGCCGAGGCGGCCGCTTTCGATGCCACCAATGCCATCTACAGCTACGACATTGCCGGCGAGCAGCAGCAGCAGCAGCAGCAGCAGGAGCAGGATTTTGATTTTGATTTGGATTTAGATTTGGAGCGCAGCAGCACCAATGACAGCGACGATGAGCGCCAGACGGTGGTGGAGATTGACGACGAGGACGAGTTTGAGTACGAGTTCGATGAGGGCATCTCGGACAACAACGAGCGCACCCAACCGACGGACGAGTCGCATCACGACACCTCCGAGTGCGAGGAGGCGGAACGGAATGTCGATCGCTATGCAAATCGCGGCGCCCAGGACTGGGAGGAGGTGGATGATGCGGACGATTTCCTCGACTATGGCGTGGATGATGGCGCCGTGGGTGGCGCCACGCCCTACTCCGATCCCGACTCCTTCATCGAGCAGATCTACAACGATGCCATCAAGAACCGGAAGCAGTCGGGCATCCTGCGCGAATACGAGACCATAGTGCAGGAGCAGCTGCCCTCGGACCACAGCGAGTCCTCGGACAAGGAGAAGTCCAGTTCGGAGAGCGAACGCTACGCCCTGTGGGCCAAGACCCGAGAGCTGGAGAGATCCAGCTCCAGGAATCGCAACACAGATGTGGACATTGCCCTGGGTCTAGGTCTGGGTCTGGGTCTGGTGGAGAGCGAGCGGAGGGACACGGAAATGCGCTACCTGGGGGATGCCCAAGTGGCCGCCAGACAATCCACGCGACTGCGCACCCGGTATGGCTACAATCCGCAGCTGCAGGCGGGCGTGGAGCTGGAGGATGACATCGAAGTGGATCTGAACTACAAACCGAAGAGGGAGTACAATTGGAGAAAGAATTTCCGATTGGATGAGGCGGGAAATGAAGATGGGAATGAGGGGGGAGATATGAGGCAGAGAACCGAAGAAGACGAAGAAGAAGAAGAGCAGGAAGAACGGGATCGGTATGAAGAGGAGCAGCAGATGGATCTAGAGGATTACAATCGGAATGAGGAACCCCTCCAGTACCAGGAAAATGAGCAAACCAATGGGGAAATGAGCGATCTGCGTCGCATGAGCCTTGGCGGCGAGAGCATCACCCTCTTCAGTCGCAGTCCCATGCGGGAGCTGCTCACCGATGTACCCGAAGAGAGTACCCTCCCAGCAGAGGGTGAAGCAGCAGCAGCAGAAGCAGCACCCAACGAGGAGCTGCCACCACCCATGGAGGCCAGCGAGCCACCCAGCGAGAAGCCCAAAAAGAAGAAGAGCAAGAAGAAGGTGCGCAAGGGCTCCAAAACGGAGGAGGAGCTGCGCGAGGACAACGATTCGGATACGCAGATGTACGCCAGCCGTCGGCAGGAGGATCAGCAGGAGGCAGCCGCCGCGGAGCTCACGCCCAAACGGAAGTCCCGCTCGCGACGCAACTCCAAGAGCAGCCTCACCAACGAGGACGCAGGAGGTGGTGGTGGAGGTGGAGGGGCGCTCTTCTCGCCCAGAAGCAGCCTGGCCTTTGTGGGCGAATCATTGGAGGGCATTGCAGAGTTCGAGGCACCGGAAACGAGGCTGGACGAAGATCAGCCCAAAAAGAAAACCAAGAAGCGAAAGAAGGCCAAGGAGACCAGAGAGGAGGCGCCACTGCAAGCCCCAGAAATGGATCAGATGGATGAAGCTTTGGTCGCTGCTCTGGCGGAGATTGCGCCCGTTTCGGTATCCTCGAACCTGACGCCCGAATCCACGCAGCAGAATCTGCTGTCCAGCGTGAGTGCGGGTCAGAGTGTGTGCGTGACCCCGGCCTCATCCATCGAGGAAGCAACCCCATCCACCACCTCCGCCTCCGCCTCCGCTGCTGCAGCTGCAGCGGCCTCTGTTGCTGTGGTGCCCGCCCGCTCCGTTGTGGACACCTTTGACATACTGAAAGATGCCAACTTTTATCCGCTCTTCTAGCTGTTGCTTTCGCGCTCTTGCTTTTGGTTTGATGACTCCTCTGGCTGCATCTTTTGCGCTGTCACTCATTTGTTTTTGTTTGTTTTTTTTAATCTATTTCTTATAGACATGTTCATAGCCACGAATCCGAGCCCGAACACACACAAACGAGCCCACGTCCAAGCCATAGATCCATAGATCCTCCCAGCATCCAGCATCCGCATCCTCTGACTGAAGGGTAAACCAATGCCCGACCCATGGGATCAGAGATCCCATTTATCTATCTATATATTGTATAAACTATGTATTATACTAACGAACTTTAAACAGACCCCCGTCTATACCCACTCCCCCAAAAACAAAGAGGCCTCTACACCTACTCATCATAGATGTTAGTGTACTTAACGATTTTTTGCTGTCTTTTTAATTGCCGAGAAATAAATGCCAAATGAATAAAAGAAAAGCATTTCGTGTTCTTCCTATAAATAGAGCCCCCCCCGCCATACACCATCAGCGATCGCATCCCCAACGAGTTGCATCTGTGGTTTGTGCCAATTCCGAAATGCCCGAACATTGAGATCATTCACGGGTACGGGACCCTCAGACTGTTGTCATCCATCCATGGGACAACACCAAGTGCACTGACATTCAACAGAGCACCAGCGAGAGGGAGAATCGTCTCAGAATTACCCATATATATTTTTGCATCGTATCCCACATATACTATATATCATTCTTATTTGTATATTTGTGGCCCACTTGGCATTTCCCCTGCCCTGCCCTGCCTTTACGCAGAAATGCGCATTCGCATACGAATGATGTCATCGTTTGACATACCAATGAGGCCCGTTCGGGCCCAATGAAATGGGGAGGAGCACACATAAATCCCGAAATGCAAATTGTTGGCCATATACTTAGATTTACTCGACTTTTAATGCTCACGTCTGGCAAACCATAAACCAAAAGACAGCCAAAACCAACACAGCAGAAACTCTTAACATGTCACGTATGAGGGAATATATATTTGAATTTAATTCCTTAGATTTAAGTGTTTAATGCAGGGTTTTTTGGGTAACTAAATGACAGATGGAAAGGTGGGAGGGCTTTATATCTGAATATGTGTAGAGCATCGAATTAGGTATAAGATTATCAGTTGAATCCCACGATTATTTAAATTAAAGAAGATCTTTAACTATAAATTTTAAAGTGTGATGCGAAATGAAGGCCTAGTCTCTCCTTCGTTTAGATAAATTTTAGCTAAAGAATTTTCCTTAAGCCTAAAACTATTAATAAGGGTAACTAAACCCAACAAGAAGAAGCTTTCAAAAGCGACAAAAGTTAAAAGGAATGTTGATTGCACGCATGGGGCAACATATTCCGTGAGTTTGAACAAAACAGACTGCAACCAACAAATTTTTTCTAAAATAATTTTCCCTAAAAGAAGGCAACAAAAAGGCTGCTTCGTGTGCCTAGAAGTATGCTAATCCCACAAATGCATATCCAGTGTTTTTTGTCCTCAAAAGTATTTCATTCATTGAGATAATTTATTTTTTTTGCTTTTATGTCAACACGAATACGAGTACTTTTATGAGGCATATCCCGTGCATTTCCAATTGGTTATTTCTTTTTGTTGAAATGCCGAAATGCTGCTGTCAAGTTCTGTGTGTCGCGTCCTTAGTCAAATTAAGCAAAAGTCAGCCAAAGGAGATAACAAATTATTTTGGCGACTGTCAATTCGCGTGTTGTGGGTAAGGGGAAATTCTCGTTTTGAAAATATTTATGACAGGCCGAACAGGAAAGTGTGTCACTCGTGTGATTTGTTTATGCCGCTCACTTTGGCTTTGTTCTACACTTTTCCACACTTTTCCATCTCCTGCTCCACCGTTTGGGGATTTATTTCTGTAAAACTCATTACGTAATGCATCCAAAGTGTACAAAACAAATGGATCCGTACGGATACGAGTACCCGTACCACTGCCAAAAATGCTGCCAAAAAGTCTTATTCAATAGTTTTGTGTCTTTGACATGAATTCATTTTTCTTACGGAGGCACACTTAAAAGCCAGCGGTTCTACATGTATGTATGTACATATATATTTTCCATGGATATATTATATATATATAGAGAATATTTATGTATGTTTGCGTCAAACAATTTTCCTAAAAATTTTCACTTGAAATTTTTGTACCGAATGGATATGATTTTGTGGCTCTGCTGATGCGTTTTGTGTGTCAGTTAAATGAAACACCTTTTTCCAAAAATATTTGCTGCAAAACATTTGTTTTTTGCATTCGCAAATATATGTATGTACATATGTATATTTTTAATTTTGAAATTTATCTTTGGGCTGCATGTATTTTTGGAATTTCTCAATAAATTGGCAAAACGCAAAAATGTTTTCATTTGATTTTTGTAGAACCAATTTAAAAACAAATTAAAACTGTGCCAAATTCTCATCAAATTTTTGTTGTTTTTGTTGTTGTGGTGGTGGGGCTGTTGGATCGTAGACAAACTTAAACTTGAACTTATAGACCTCCCCCCTCTGGCATCAGCTGTGTCTTGGGCTGGGCAGCTTTTCCTCCAATAAAGAAAATATAAAAATACGCTGGAAAATACACACACATGAGTCCGGGATATAATCATACATACATACATACATACATATGTCTGCACATATATGAATTTATGACCCAATTAACGCCTAAACGCCCGCGTGAAAAATGCCAAAATAATCGTAATGAACAGAAGAGCAGTCGAGGAGAGGAGCATTCGAGGAGGGAAGCATAGGCGCTGTGGAGTGAAGAAACGGCGGAGAAACAGGCAATCATCAGCATCGGAGGAGCACACATCGCATCACCAGTCACAAAACACGCAACAGAATTTTTATCAAAAGATTCGCGAATTGCAATTTTATTTATAACTGAAAAGATTGCATTACACACACCACACACAGCCGCCGCCGCTGCCGCCTCTCCCCCATCCATAGCGCCCCGCCCTCTTGGGGCTGTGGCTTATGTCTGTGGCGAAAATAGCAACAACGACTAATATACTACACATGCAATGCATTATTTTATGATCCAAGTATATATATATATCCATGTATGTATGTATATGTTTGTGAGATTTATATGAACATCATGTGGGTATATGCTCTATAGGGGCGTATGAAAGTATTCTGAAGAGGGGGAATATATTGGAGCAGGCTGATCTCAAGTTAGTAGAACATTCAGCTATCTCTTCTAGATATCCAGAGATTGCTGCATTATGCCCTGGTAGTTTTCTTTCCTTGAAATAAGCCTTCAGTTTCTGAAACTACCTAAGACCTTTCCAAATGCCGCATCCATCAATAATTTCCTCCCCCCTGGCACATCTCATATTTCTTGGTTGTCTTCAACCATCAATGTTCTAACTTAATGGATTCTTGCCATTATGGAAGCCCCCCTCTAACTTCTGTGTCTCTACGTCACTGGGTACATCTTTATTTTCGCATAAAGCCCATAAATCACCATGCCAGCACAGCAGTGATTCAGTTTACATTCAACATTTTGATATTTCAACAAACTGTAAAACTGTAAAATATGCATACAGCGACGTATACTATACATACATACATATGTATATATTTTATATATCTTTTTTTCGTTGCGGCTAATTTGCCAGAATATTTTGTGTTTCGTTGATTTTGTTTAATATTCAGTTGATTTGTGCTGTTTTTCTTCTAGTTTATGGGATAAAGCGACCTAGAACGGTCCGGCCAAAAGGGGGAGACCTTGTTAATTGCTTGCTACCACTGAACTGTCACACTGACATTTTCTTGGCCTTTGTGGCCCAACGCTTGCCAATCCCATTCCCCAACTTGTCCGGCCTGCCCTTAGGTGTCGCGTCCATTTGTCTAATGAAAATGGAAATTTGTATTTGCTCTTGAATAATTATTGCTTATTAATTGGCTGGGAAATTTTTGAATTTGTGCGAAAATATAATTTTTAAATTTCTAAATATGATTTGTTTGGATAAACTTAAATATCTGATTGATATATTGATTTTAAATCAAAGCTTTTGGGAAAGAATATTAAGAATGTAAAGATTTAATAATGAAATGATGGAATTTTCGGAGGAAAACTAGAACTTAATTTAGGAAAATCTTACACAAAGGTAGATATAACAGCATCTAGTATAAATAGTATTTAGCTCATACAATTGTTGGTACAAAAGCCATTAGGCAAGTACATTTTGTATTTTTGAATATCACCCGTCAATTGATATTTATTTTGATAATTTTACCCTTGAATTTTCACCCAAAGTTTCAAAGTCTCCTGTTTTGCATTTCCAACCCAACCCAACCCATTATTGGTACAACTATTTCTCACCTCCGATCCGCGAAAACACACCTGTTGTTGGCCCGTTTCAGTAAACATTTTATCCCCCCATTTTGGCATTTCAATGATGTCTGTATGCTGTAATACGTCCGGAATAATTATACGTATAAGAGCAGCAGATGATCAGAAGAAGAATGCCAAAAAGCATTGCCGTATTTTAATATTATTACGATAATGTACCCACGCAAATGCGGAAAGGCTGAAGATCAATTAAAACATCTATGTATATGGCCCACGCCAGAGTCCGAAAATACCGCACGGGTGCGATAAGTGCAGGCCAAGAGTCAGATATTTGTACCTACGTACATACATATATAATCCACAGATCTATCGGTTCGTTCGGGTTGGTTCAGAGGAGGTTCAACCACAACAGAAATGATCAGAACCCATACCAATTTATGCTCCATTGGGGATGGATCGTCTACATGGGGGATCGTGTCGTGTCGTGTGTAGTGCAGTGTGGATTTAGCAGGGCTGCCGCCTTTTTACTCCTCCCCCTCCCTCTCTCTGTGACTTACTCTCTCTCTCTCTCTGTCTCTCTATGTTTGTCTGTAAATGTGTGTCTGCGGGTGCTACTTGTGTGTCGTGTGCACAAAGCGCCAGGCAGAAAGAAAATGGAACTAAAAACACCACCAGAAATTTCTTTGGGGAAAAATTTAAATACCCATTAGTAGTGCAAGAAGGAACAAGGGGTATATTGTATTTATGTTACTGTATGTAGCCGGGAGTACGGAGGAAAACCTGTGTAATGCACTCAGTTTGAATGATAATTGTAAGAACTCTGCTTTAGATAATAGTAAAAGGTATCTGCAATGTCTAAATTATATCCTATTAAATCTCTAAAATGGTTACGCGCGGGGGCGGTTAGAAAAGGGACGATGTGCGAGGCAGGTGTACCACCCTCTCGCCCCACCTTTTGGCACCTGAAGCGTAATTCCTCTTTAGAGGAGGAGGCGTGAAATATGGCCAACAAATTGGCCAAAAATTGAAGAAAGCAATATCCCAGAAATTGCATATTACATGCACATTCAATAATGCCGTTAATTATTGGCAATATTCACATTGTCTGCCGCCATCCATCAACCCAACCGATTCCTCTCCCGATCCACCCATGCATGCGTTCGTTCGTTCGCTCTCTCTCTCCGGCATGCAAGCTTATGGAAAGAGAGAGAGAGAGACGTGACGTGACGTGATCTCTCTCTTTAGCCTGCTGGTGCTGCTCTCCGAGATTTTATTTTTACACATGGCTGCTGCGAAACTAGATACAAAGCGAGCAGAGGCTGAGGCTGAGGCAGCGACACCGGCAGCGGGCCAATATTCAGACTGTTTCGAAAACATTTTCGGAAACCGCTGCGCCAGTTGAGATCGGGATCTCGGCGGCAAAGTTCAAACGTTCTTGGACACCGAAAAAGAAGCCACAAATCCAATCGAAACGCGTTTGCTCCTGCACAGAAACACGCACAGACACGTTCGCACTCGCACACACACACACAAAGCCATTGATAGACAATAATTTTAGAAAGTTTAGTCGGTCATTGGAGTGAGGGGTAGGGTAGGGCTAGGCGCGATGGCGGACGTGGAAATTATGCAAACCGTGCAAACGGAAGTGAAGAAAACGAAAAAGGTCAAGAAGTCAACGTCATCGAAACGTCGCGAATCGGAGATCCAGATCAGCGAAGTGGAGGTGGATACCACCATCGAGGAAAGGGGGTAGGTGACGTGTTTTGTGAGCAGTTCGTAACCGACAGCGCATTCTGAAATATTCCCATCAAAACCCGAAACCGAAACATTTTCCCAGTTCTGGTATCCGTTTTTCCGCACATTTTCCACATCCATATTTCTGTTTTGTTCCGTTTTGATGGATATGTCTTTAATCATGCCCAAAACAAACATGGAAAAACCCATTCCAAATCAATATTACTCGTACATTTCCAAAATTAAACTCAAATTCCAAAAAAAGACAAAGAAAATATCAAAACTAAAAACAAAAACTATCCAAAAGTACTCTCGCATATCGAACTTTTACAAAACGACACACGTTACTACTCAACTTTCCTCGGCCAGACCGTTTACTAAAAGGTATCCACAAATGTCTATCTGTTTCCAAAATATACATATACAAAAATACGCACACCCTATACAAAAAACCAAATATAAACGACAAAGAATACACACACCAAAAGTTACACTGCACAACACAATAAATACTTTTCCTTCTGTGATTTTCTTCCCAATTAAATGTTATACCAAGTGATTTCTCTATATGAATATCTCTGCCAATCTCTGTCTTCGTTTTGCAGTTAATTTTCAGTGGCGAGTACACAAAAGCCATGGACAAGGACTGGCATTCGGGCCATTTCTGTTGCTGGCAGTGCGATGAGAGCCTCACCGGACAGCGTTACGTGATCCGGGACGATCATCCGTACTGCATCAAGTGCTACGAGAATGTGTTCGCCAATACGTGCGAGGAGTGCAACAAGATCATTGGCATCGACTCGAAGGTGAGTTTTTCGAATGAAAACCATATGTGGTGGCACAGGCACAGGCACTCCACCCATAAAGTGGGTGTACAGACACACATTAAAACAATAAATACATTTTATAGCACATTATTCCCTTGAGGCCCACATAAAACAGGCAACAACTGCAGCCAATAAAAACCCCAAAATAATCAATAAATGTTTGAAAATAGTCCGGAAAACCTATCAAAATGCATAGATAGCCCAGACACAATTGGCTTACAAAATGAATTGATTTTTAATGTAGAAAAACGGTACAGCAGGGGGGGGTGTTAATGTGAGTTTTACGTTTCTTTTATGGGTCTAGACATTATTTGTATTAATTAGCGCATGAGAATAGATCGACAGAGGCAGGAAAATCTTTGAAAAGTATATAGATAGAAGCAGAGAGAGTAAAACTGTATAACTCATAGGGGAAATGGTGGAAAATAGAGCACACTTTGGAGTATAACGAACTGAATCTATTTAAATCTTTTCCCGTTTGAGACTATCAGAAAACAGACCAAAAATAGGGAAAAATTAAAGAAATTAAATATGTTTGATATTAAACTCTATACCAATGAATTGTATTCCATTAATGCGCCACTCTTTTCGTTCTCTCAACCCACAGGATCTGTCGTACAAAGACAAGCACTGGCATGAGGCCTGTTTCCTTTGCTTCAAGTGCCATCTCTCTCTGGTGGACAAGCAGTTTGGGGCCAAGGCCGATAAGATTTACTGCGGCAATTGCTACGACTCCCAGTTTGCCTCCCGTTGCGATGGCTGTGGCGAAGTGTTCCGTGCAGGTAAGCAAATTCCCCGCTACATTCCGTGCGGCATACTTCCGGGCGCACTGCTAAATGTGGCAGCAACATTTTGCGGCTGGGGGGATACAACTTCTTGGCCAGAATACCGCTACGCTACGTGATATGATCGGTTAGAAGAAACTGGTTCCGAACAGGTGGGACATCTTCATGTGTTCCTGCCACACATATGTATCTCGACTCGAGCATTTGATCAATTTATAATGGCCCAATGCATGGGAAATTAATGGCATTTGCCTGCCAATTTGTTGGCCATACTTTGCGGGCCAGTGCCAGTACAGTGAACGCGCAGACAGAGTGTGCAACAGAGTCTGTATATATCTCAATGGTTTCTCTCCGTTGAGTGTGCACTGTACATGTGTGTGTGTGTGTGTGGTGTGTCTTTAGATTACAGCCAACGAACCTGCCACACTCGAGTGCGTTCGAGAGAGACGAGACCCAAATGTTTGCACTGCTCTGCTCTGCTGGGTGCAGTGGGAAGATGCTTACGTAAGCGCGTCTGATGTCTCCACTTTTGAGTCGAACTCTCTCTTCAGAGTGACGTCTGTTGAATGCAAGTTCATTGTCACGCCGGTTGCTGTTGCTGTTGCTTTTAACTCTCAGACTCCAGCCCACGCCAGGCCCTGACAACACTCTCGTAATCGCACGTTTCCCCCTTTAGCTTCCTCTCCCCACACTCTCTCTCTGTCTCTCTCCTTGTGTCTCTCTGGTGGCAAGGTGTTTTGTGCTCTGGTTTCAATTGTAGCGCAAATAAATATGACAGAAAGACAAATACAGAATGTCAGGGAGGGGGGGTGCTGGTGCGGACGGGTAGCTGTTGTCAGTGAGTGATAAATTTATGGCTGATTAATGCCCGCAGATCTCTGTTCCGAACACGTACAGCAGCAGCAACACCCATACTGTACTGCTCTCCATTCCATACCGATACGAACCGATACGACCCCAACCGCCGGCACCTTCCAAATTTGGCTAAAACTGGCCGTGGGGGGCCGTGACACTTTCGCGCTAACACAAGGTTGCACCGTACCACGCGTTGCCAATGAACGTGTAGAACAAGCGGCAACAGGCAACAAGCAACAATAACAGCCACAAATACAGGTAATCTGTATTGAAATACTCGTATGTTGATTTTTGCACTGCACTTGCAAAATATTATACGATATTTCAATGTCAGACAGCCCACACACACACCCCAGAGATCCCATGGTAGCATGGCAGGGGAAGAGCGACAACGAGGGGAGTGACAAATACAGAAAGATATACGACTTTATCGGAGATGCCGATTCTGTGTTGTTTGTCAAAGGTGGATCCCAGTGATTGACAGACAGACAGACAGTCAGCCCAGTCCCCTCTTCGGTTGCGTGACCATTTCCAGGCATTAACTAATTGTCATCTTAACATTTTGAATGCTAATTCAATACTTACTTGTACTAGCTGATTACCTGTTTATGGCAATAACTTGGAACGTTAGCTAACAAATCTCCCTTCTGCCCATAGAGTGCCATTTCAACCATGAAGATCCCCCACTGAGATCGCCCCTTTAGGTACTTGTAGTCCAGACAAACATGACTCATCTCCAAAATAAAAAGCCACAAAATAATTATAATTCTCTCTCTCTATCTCTCTCTGCCTCTTGCCCCCAATAGACACGCGTCTGCCCAGCCAGAGATTTTAGGAGATTTTCTAAGATTTTTATTTCTGTGGCATTTTTTGTTCCTTTTTGATTTGTGGCTTTTAAATTGGCTTTTGGTTCGGTTCGGTTCGGGGGATTCATTAGAATGAAAAATGATGATTATTATGCGCATATAGCTATGGTTCAGGGGGAGGGCTGAGGAGGAGAGCATGGGGGAGACATTGCGAATCAGCGGGAATAATTAAATACATTTTTGTACAAATATTTGGCACCCACTGAATGGGACTATAGCAAAATGGAATGGAACTTAAATATTAATTTTACACATATATTTTTGAGGTTTCTTTTAGTTGAGGAAATGGGAAATAATAATTAGAGTAAATTCTTTTTAACATTCTTCTAGAATAGAAAGTGGAAAAAAGTGCAGTCCTCTAACCGCTACCGCTAACCGCTTTTCCATTTTTATGGCTAGACTTTCCCCTCTTCTAATTGTTTCCCACAAAATAGATTCACTGTTGCACAACTTCCATTCCAAAACTTCTATTAACCAATTACTCTATTAGTTCTCTAATTTCTGTCGTTGTTAATGCCACTCAATTGATTGATTTGCTGTGGTAGCGCATCGGGTAGGCAATGGGGAATCCCACGTACTGCGCTGGGGCTCATCCAACGCGTGTCGTGCCATTTCCGTGGATCGAGCGAATTAATCAAAAGCGAAACAAAATGAAATTGACTTGGCATCAACGCCCTCGGGGCGTGTGTGTCGCACCAAAAACGCGGGGCCAGAATTCATTAGAAACTGCAATCGTTTCCTATTAGAAGGCAGCCAAAATGCCACTGGGCGTTGCAACTAGATAGCGGGCTGGATTCCTAGTTTTAGCTGACATTTTCCCAAAGCCATTATGCCATAATGCATAATGGATGCGCACTTGACTATCTAAAAATCTGCATAAACATACTGCCGCTGCTGAGTGTCATTCTGTTCATAATTGCCCCCATGGCACAGCAGGCGGAGATCGAAGATTGAAGTCGCTCTAAATGGCACCTGGACTGCCTTGCCATAACAGGCAGCAAGCAGCAGGGAAAACAAGACGATCTCTAGTCGAAGGCGGCATGCAACACAAGCAGGCAGACACGAACCGCAGTCACAAGTGGGAAACACTCACTCATATTCCATTCATTCATTCAAGAGTCCACTCCAAACGTAACTCAATTTCATTTGAGTGGATTCGTTTCGTTTGCTGACTCTCTCTCTCTCTACACGGTGAACGAATGAACTCAACTCCGTTGTCTGCTGCTGTTGCTGTTTCTGTTTCGGTTTGGGCCTTCGGGTTTCAGTCTCAAAGCGGCTTTCAAAGCGCGTGGAATGTGCCGCGGCTGTGTGTTACAGAATAAAGTGTTTTGGGGCAACGTGTTGCATGCAATCGGCAAGCGAACTTTATTGATTGCTGCATAAACTTTGATCATCGCGATAAAGAACTGAACAAAAGTATTTCCGCACTTAATTTTCCATAATTGAGAGACACAAGCCAGAAGCCAGAAGCCAGCAGCCAGCAGCCAACAGCCAAATATCTCTCAATTATAAACATTTTTGTGTTTAAAGAAAATCCACTTGTAAACAGCAAACGAAAATGAAAAGTGTACCACAGAGATCTCTCTCCTTTTGGGCAGCCCACATTGCGTATACATAACGCGCACACATCCTGGGCGTATACGTAATATTCACAGCCCACACACATTTGACAATTTCCAGGTGCAGGTTGCAGCTGCAGTCAGCTCCCGCCTCTGCTTTGACTCGAATTCAAAGACAAATTAAATCAAATTCATAAATAATCCAAGTCCAAGCTGGGAGAAAGAAATTTTATGGCCCAATCCAAAACCGGAAACAGATTTGAAGTCGTTTTGGGATGCATTTAATGTCAAGCGATGGCCAAATCGACGTGTTCCACATTCGTAAGCGAACACCCAGGCCACAGAGCCAAATGGAAAACATGTAAAAGAGAGCCCCCGCAACCGCCCCCGCACCCGCGCAAAGAGAGACACACAGACATGAATATGCACACGCAAGGGGGAATTTCTTTCGATTATTGCTGCTGCCATTGAATATCAATTCGAAATGAAATCGAACTGGAAAAACGCTTGAGAAACTTTCAATTGATTCCGTAATTGTTTCTCTGTCGATTAAAGGGAAACCCATTCCATTGCCGCCCCGCAAGGCATCATTCCACTTCCACTTAATTAGCCAACCAATTGTAGAGGCTTCACTACTCTGAGCCGCTGTCCCGGCTTTGGGCTAATTAAAGATCCTATCGGGGATATACATTCGAAGTTCGAACCACTCGAACAGTCAACAGTCAAAAAAAATCCAAAGCTAAATGTCATTCGTTGTCTTATCAAAACAAACCCACAGACAAGAGACCCCCGACTGGAATTAAAAACAAGCAAATTCAATTTCTCTTTTCACTGAATCCCAAAAACTAATAAATCCGTAGACCCGACCCCCCGACCAGACCAGCATTTGTCTGTCTGCCCTGCGGGTCAAAGTCAAAGTCAAAGATCTCACAGAGAGTGAAAATCAAACAGAAAGAAAACTTTGTCAGCGCTAAATGAAAACCTCTTCCTCTTCGGAACTCGTACTCGTACACTCGTACAATATTTTCGCTGATCCGAATGGCATTGTCTCTCGATTGCAATTAAAAATGCAGACCATGCACACGGCCTAAGGGATTTCGGATTTTGGTTTTCTGTTTCTGTTTTTTGTTTTGTTTTTTGTGTTGACAAATGCAAATCGCAATCGACATCCAAATCCACTTTCATTTTTAATGCCTTGACACTCGCCGGGATACGGGGTTTTTGAGCAAATGACATCAATCACAGCACTCACACGCACACAGCTACAGCTACAGGCATCGACCTGTCAATATATCATTATCTCAATGTCTGTCTATCCACTTGACCTCAGCAGCAGCAGCAGCAGCAACTGCGGCAAACGTTTGTTGTAGGCGTTCGTCTAGCATCTCGCGTTCCCTGGTCAGTGGGCGACGTCTTTGGGTATTGTGCGCCTGACAACCCATCACAATTAGTTATAATTATGTTGGACATTCGCGGCTATAAATAAGCAATGCCTTATGCCAGCCCACCATTTAACCGCAAAAGCCATACGAACGCTGCTGCTCCAATGGTAATCCAACACGGATGGGAGCGATCTTTTGTGGGGCAAGATTGAGAAGTAGTTCATTGATTCATTGATCTTTCATTTGAGAGATTTCCAGTGTAGCTTGTACACACAGATTTCTACTACAGTTTCCTCTCTCTCAACTTTGTCTTACATCATTCCACCGATTTGTGAGAGGTTTCTTTGCAATCTCTCTTTGAATCAGCATTAAAATTGCTTAGCTTTTGGGAATTACTTTAACATTCTTTGAGCCATATACAATATCTCTCCGCCGCATCTGCTCCACATAATTGTGTGGGTTTCTTTTGAAGATATTCTATCCGTACAATTCCGTGCTTCCTGTGCGCCTCCAGCTTCAGCTGTGAGACAATTTCCTGCTCATGAGATTCAGCAACAATCTCAATCGTTATTTTTTGCTGCGAGTATTTCTATGTATTACAAACAAAAAAAGTTAATTATTTAATGATTTATGATCGGCAGGCAGTGGTTTTTGCTGTTGTTTTCATTTCCATTATAGCCAATTTGGGTTCGGATTTTATTTATAAGCATTCGCTAAGTTTAATGAAACTTGTTATTCGGCAAATGATGTCATAGAGGACGGCAAGCAGCAGGCAGCAGGCAGCACGGCAACGCCTTGTTGCGAGATGGATGGATGGTTGGATGGTAGAGTGAGACCTGGCGTCGCCAAATTTGTATTCCCTCTAAATCTAGAACCAGATCCAGATCCAAAATGCAGATAAAGCCTACTGCTTGTTGTGGCTGTGGCTGCCGCTGCTGCTGCTGCTGCTGGTCGGTCTTCTTTTTGGTCAAATGAATTGTGGAGTGGGGGCCCAAGTCTATTGATCGCAGAAATTGACCCACATCGGAGCGAAACGATCTATTAACTGGCAGTTTTCGTGACTTATTAAGCAAGTACTTGTACTAACTAGTAGCTTGCGGAGAAGGCTGTAGGAATTGAGAGAATCGAAGCCACATCTGGGGTACACTTTCCATTCGTGTTTGTTGCTGTCTTGCTGTTTTAATCAACTGCGGTTCGATCCCTTGAGTAGCATTCGATTATGACCGACGTGGATGTTCTCAGCTCGAGAATGAAGTCTCGATTGCATCTGCAGTCGAAGACCATTGGCGCGGAGCGCATTAAGAAGGCCAAGGATAACAACGAGGATATTGCCGTGCTGAGCATGTTCCTGCCCAATGCCTCCGCCGTGGAGGAGAATCGCAATTTCTATTGCCAGCTGGGCGACTACTGTCGGCAGGGCGATCCGCGTGCCACCAAAGCAGGTAACCCCCCGCAAAAAAAAACAAAAAAAACCATTGGAGTCATAAATTACTCGTATGTTAATCAACGCCGGAATGATACATCATAATTTATCATTATTATTGCCCAAAAACTATTCAAATGGGCCGAGAAGAAAGGCGCCGCCCACAGGCCATAGACTGAATAAAGCCAATAGCGTCATCTTTACGGATGATGTGGATGTGAATGTGAATGATGACTAATCAATGGACCTTTTATGGAATCTCTCAAAACAAGCTAGACACGAATTCTGTCTAGATATTTGATATGACAAAATGTAGGGGGCTATAAATTAAGGTATACGTACAAAATGGGGGCCATGACTGCCATCGATTGAAGGAGGAAGAACTGCTTAAAGTTTCGCCAAGTAACACAGACAAATTAAAGAACAATTTCCAGGCAGCATAAGTCCAAATTTCCACACAATTACCCGCTTTAGCCTACATTTCCGTTCCCGCAAATGGGAAAAGCTATCTTGAACTCTTTTTTCCTTTTTTTGCCATTGTGTCTGCTTATTTTTGGCAACAGAACAGACATTTCGAACACGCAATAAATAAAGTCAGCAGAGCATTAAACAGAGCCCCCCCCACCAGTCGCTTAAATGTCTTCTCTGGAGTGGCTTTTGTCTAGAGACTAGCCAAATATTTGCGTAATTTCTGCATTAATTGTTTATGAAAATGTCAAAAGATATACCTATAGAGAGAGAGGGCTGAGAAAGAGAGTGGGGGCGTGTCAGGCACCCCCTCCGCTTTGGGAGAATGTTGCATGTCTGGCAAACATAATGGGGGAAAAGTTTCCATCTTTTTTCTGTGTTGTTTTGTTTTATATTGAAAAGCCGATTGTCTTCCATCCACTGATTGAGTGTGCCCCACTCGGGGCGGTGGCGGCCTGAATATGTCCGGGCTATGTCGATGACTGGAAATTGAGGTTTTTCTCTAGATTAAATCGCGACCATAGCTGGGTTAGTGGGTTGCAAAGTTCAAGGTCTCCCCAACAAACAAAAAAAAAAATGCGGAAATTGATTGAAAATATTTCATTGATTGATTTCACAGGTACCAAGAAAATGGAGTACAAAACCCGTCAGTGGCACGAGAATTGCTTCTGCTGCTGCGTCTGCAAGACGGCCATCGGCACCAAGTCCTTCATACCCAGGGAGCAGGAGATCTACTGTGCCGGCTGCTACGAGGAGAAGTTTGCAACGCGCTGCATCAAGTGCAACAAGGTAAGGGCATCGAGAATATAAATATATCTATCTATAAAATATGAGTGGTTCCATAGTAATATCTTTCTCGATAATCGCTTAGGTGATCACCTCTGGTGGGGTTACCTACAAGAACGAGCCGTGGCATCGGGAGTGCTTCACCTGCACCCACTGCAACATCACGCTGGCCGGCCAGCGATTCACCAGTCGCGACGAGAAGCCCTACTGTGCCGAGTGCTTTGGCGAGCTGTTTGCCAAACGCTGCACGGCCTGCGTGAAGCCCATAACAGGTGAGCGGATAGCCCTTTATCGCTGCGAGTCTTTGGCATTGGTAACTTATTAATGGCTTATTCCACAGGCATTGGCGGTACGCGCTTCATCTCGTTTGAGGATCGGCACTGGCATCACGACTGCTTCGTGTGTGCCAGCTGCAAGGCCAGTCTGGTGGGGCGCGGCTTCATCACCGACGCATCCGACATCCTCTGCCCCGACTGTGCCAAGCAGAAGTTGATGTAAGGATCGGAACAGATCGGTGGCGCAAACAAGCGGATATTAGCCATAAACCCATTCAACGAAATTATGGATCAAACAATGAGGAAAACACACACAGATAGAGGGGAGGAATATATATACATATATATATATATATCTACATGTATTAAAACGATATACAAGAGAAGATAATGCCTTAAAACTTACATTAGAAATGGAGAGAAATTCGAGAGGAAAGTGGAAGGAAGAAAGTGAAAACTGAGTCCTACAGAATCAAAAGCAAATTGAATTAAATTTTGTAAAATTTCCAACCGATAGATAGTCCCTGCTTTATCTGCACCATCAGAGATTGTATAGATATTTATAATTTGTAATTGCATTTCAAGGCGAAATCAAAATTCACACAGAAAACAACAACAACAAAAGCAAACAAAAAAAAGAAGGAAGAAGAAGAAACCAATATGAAATACTGGTACCATTTGTAACTACAAACAATATTGTTGCCGCATTGAAAAATGTATGTTTATTTATTTATTTTAAGTTTTAACCAAGCGACAGGCGAGTGCCAGACACTGCTGGAACGGTAGATTGTGCAGAGTAGGGAGAAGCAGAAGCAGAGGAGGAGAGTGGGAGTGGAAGTGGGAGTGGAGTGTCCTAGCCGCGAGTTGCACATTCTTAAAACAGTTTTATTGTATTAAACAAAACAACAAAAAAACCACACGATTTTTATGTTTGATGTGAATTGTTATGTTAATTAAACAGCAACAAAAGCCACACACACGCACGCACATGCGCACACACAGACACAGACACAGCCACAGCCACATACACATACACACATGTCCTAGCAATTTAATTGTTTAGTTTAATCATTTCCCTTCGATAGTTTTTGCCTTGCTTTGGTGGGAGGCGACTCCGCTACACACACACAAAAATAATAATGATAATTGCGACACAACATTATATCAAATGTCCTAAACTACTTAATGAAATTCAATCTAAATAAATTAATAAATTATCAACCATATTGTTTAATGTGTCTTGCTGGAGAGAGGACACCACACAAATTGCTCCATAGTGTTATAATTCGCGTGTATTTGTGTGCTTCTAGTGCAGTCTATTGTGGCGAACGAGCGTCCAGTCTTCGTTCACCTTGTAGGGCCCCTCGATGCGGCATCCGCTGGCGTCACAGACGCCCACCGTGTAGTTGGGAATGGCACGAGCGTCGCGATAGTGCAGCGTCTCCATGCACAGCCGGACCAAAGCCAGGGCCTCCTCCTCTGTGAATTCGCGGTCCTTTGGCTTCTTGTCATGCACCATGGGCAGGACCATCTGCTGGGCTGAGTCAGTCATCGCCACATAGTCCTCGACGAAGAGTCCGCGACCATCAATGTAGGACAGATAGGGGCCTGCCGTTGGCTCCATGCCACCCACAACAAAAGCCACAGCCGTGGGATCATTGGAAGTGCGACGAGTGTACGAGGTACGCGTCAACCAGCCGGCCAGAGTCTTGGGTTTCATTTCCGTGGTGTCCTGGTAGATGCGATCCGTGATAACCTGCGCATCAATCGTCCGCTTGTACATTTGTATGTCGGCAAAGTCGCCGCCCCCGCCCATTACAATCTGCTCGTTGATCTTGAAAACTCGATCCACATTCTGGAACCGAGGCATCGATCCATAGTTTACACAGGTGTCGGCTGCCACCAGAACCCCTTTGTCGTAGCGAATCCCGATTACGGAGGCACCCGTGGTAGGGGGTATCCCGGCCGGGTCCTTGTTGATCCCCATGAACATTAGGAACTCGGCCACTTGCTCCGGGCTGGCCCTTTGGTACTCTTGCTTGATCATTCTTATTTGCCGGGTTTTTGTAAAAAAATATTCAGAACGTTAAACGTAAGAGCAGTTTTGGTCGGAGCCCCTAACTTTACTGAGAATATTTTTGGAATGAATATTTTGAATATTTGACTTGATATTTGTTTTGTCAAGTGTGACTGAAACCTCAGAAACGTCATTTTCAAAATATGCCGATGATACGCCATAACATAGGGGCGACAACTTAACATAACATAAGGGCGAAAACTTAACATAACATAAGTTCAAAAAGTTAACATAACATAAGTTCGAAAACTTAACATAACATATGGCGAATTCCTATCGAACAGGCCAAAAAAAACTCGTCAAAAAGGAAGAAGAAGAAAAAAAACTCGTCAAAAAGGAAAAAGAAGAAGAAGAGAAAAGTCGTCAAAAAGGAAGAAGAAGAAAAACCTCTGCCGAAAATTCACGCCCAAAAGTATGTCACGATTTATACCGCAGTTAACTTTGTATAGCAGTTAGCTGGGATTTTTGTTTCATGTAGAATTCATGTAAGAATCACGTAAAATTGCAATCGCTGTGTAGTTGCCATGTAGCTTAAATCAATACGGATTTACATACATATATACAGTTTTTGGTTAAAAATTGTATTTTAATTGATGTTATTATATTTCTAACATAAAGAGTTTTATTGTATAATTTACTCTTCAAGGCTGACATCCAGCATTGCTGGATTGCTGAATTTCTGGATTGTCAATAGCCTTTCAAAGAGCTAAACGTTAATCAGGTGCAAATGCCTCTCCAGGAAGTATAACACTTTCACTCCACGCACCAATCGAGCCGAGCATCGCAGATTGGCGAAATGCCAGGGGCCTTTTTGGGGCCAGCCGGAGAATAATATAACAGAAAATTGACAAATAAATGCAAATCAGTAACTCAAACAGCGCAAACGACTCAAAGCCGGAGCCAAAGCGCAGCGAGAGCGCGGAGCACGGGGTGCGGACACGTCTCAGGTGCGTCTGTCTGCTGTTGGCCTGGCCAAGTGCCAAGCGCTTAAACGGGCCGCGCAAAGGTAAATACAAACAGCACTCAATTACACTCAGGGCCCGGTAAAAGAGGCATAACCAATGTTAAATTGATAAAAAAAGAAGCGCAGCACTTGGAATAAGTTCGCTGGCCAGTTGGAAGCCGAAATTAGTGCAACGACAGGCGACTGCCCGTGCGGGTCTCTCTCTCTCTCTCTCCACTTTACCACTTCACAAATGATGCAGCTGATTTACATTGCCATGGGTGCCTTGGTGCTGCTCTCCTCGGCCCTGCAGGCGGCCGTTGTGCCGCTGACTGCCATCGAAACGGGCAGTGTGGACGATAAGCCCTTTGATTTGGATGCGGAAAAGTTCGGCTATCTGGAGCTCAAGCCAAATGGTTCGCTGATCCTGAGACATGGCACCAACCAGAGCGGCAGTAATCTTCAGAATCTCCTGCTGCTGCGTGGAATACTGCAGGCCATCAAGCTGGGCCAGCCCAATCCCCATCCCCATGGGCACACCAAGTTCTTCATCAGGATCTACGGCAACGGAGTGGAGCACAGGTTCCCCCCACTGCTGGAGAACATCATTCAGCGCATCCAGACCTACTTCTCCGTCTACCGCTACACGGACACCAGTCAACCGGTGCGTAGGGACGAGCTGCCCGCCAAAGAGGCCACAGACGGGGCTCTGGAGCTCACCACCGTGCGCCCTGGCGACGAGGATGACCTGATAGCCATTGGGGAGAAGGATGTCTACATTACAGTGGGCGAGGGCGCTGACTAGACCCCGCCCCGCTCGGATTTGTCTATTTATTTCATATATTTATGCGCCTAGCTCTAAGCCAATAAAATCCCGTTCCGTTCCCCAAGACCGACGACCTACCCACCTAAGTTTGGGCACGTTCCGTGAGTGTTTTGTATGCGCCGCTGCGGATGGGGCCAAACTAATATTTTGCCCGTGTGCTGCCGGGGAATTTGTGCGAACTGGCGCAAGAAACAACCGTTTGAGGGTCATTGTCATTGCACAATCTGCAATTGGCTTGAACTGAATTCAATTTGCTGCATGGCAAAATCTGCATTTGAGCACTGAAGATCGAGTGATCTCAGCTGCAATCTTTTGAATGAGGTTGAACTTTGCATTCCGGTAGAATTCCCATCCATCCTATTGCCCCACCCACTTGGAGTTCTCTCCCTCTCTCGCTCTCTGCGCCCTTTTTTTGTACATTTTACATTCACTTTTTTATTGTTCTGTTTTACTTTTTCAATGTTATGGTTAATGAATATGTAATGATGATGATGATGATGAATACGAACTCTGCGTGATGATAATTAAGTATGAATGTCTCTTTCCCGCTTCGCTGCTGTTAATTGATGGCTGGAAAATGGAAAACTATGTGCGATGCAATGCGATGCGTGTTCGGTGTGTTAGTAATTAAAATGTACGCTTGTGGGTGTGTGGTGTGGTGTGTGGTGGTGTCTGTGGGCTGTGGTATGTGGATGGTTGATGTGGTTGATGGTGGGAAAAAAAACCCCCGTGCTCAGGCCTGTCCAGGCCCCAAGCATGCGATGAGAATCAGTCGGAGAACCAAAGCTGCCCATAGGTGGATTGAGATTCAGAGAGGCGTTCTGGGTCGCACGCCTAGGCCTGTGGCACAATGGGCGTGGCAATGGCAATGCTCTCGGCGGGCTCTGACTTTAGGATCTGATCGATCTTCTCGAAGGATGTGCCCTTGACCAGCAGCTCCTCTAGCACACCCTTGGCCGCTGTAGGGGAGAAATTTTGCAGCAATTTTCGTGTGAAAAGAATGAAATGTAAGGCACATCGCTGTACTCACGCTCTTCCTTGACCTGCTCCTTGGCGATCTCGGGGCTCTTCAGCTCCTGCTTGATGGCGTTGCTCTCCAGCAGCCGGCCAGCGAACTCGGCCTTCGTCCCCTGGGACTGGGGCTGGGGCTGCTCGGCTATGATGGGCTGTGGCTGTGGCTGCTCCAGTGGCTGCTGCTCCTTCAGCAGCGGTAGCTCCGGCTGCGCCAGCTCCTTCTTGAACTCTGGCTCCTCCTTCAGCTCAGTCACTGCCTTGGCAAGCTCCAACTCCTTCTTAGGGTCCAACTCCTTCTTGAGCTCCAACTCCTTCTTAGGGTCCAACTCCTTCTTGAGCTCCAACTCCTTCTTGGGATCCAGCTCCTTCTTAAGATCCAACTCCTTCTTGGGCTCCGCCTGCTTCTTGAGTTCCGGCTCTGCCTTAATTTCGGGCTCTGCCTTGAGGCCGGGCTCTGCAGTCGGTGCAAGCTTCACGGCCGGCTCGGCGGCTGCTTCTGGCTCGGGCTGGATGCTGCGCGCCCGGATGGAGGAAATGGGCCAGGAGTAGACGGGAGTGTGGACCACATCCACCACAGGATGGGTGTGGTACACCTGGGGCAGGCTGTAGAAGTGACGCGCCTCGGCGGCAATCAGTGGCTGGGTGTTGGCTGGCGTCTCAATCAGGTCGTCCTTCTTGGAGCCACCGGGGAAGAGGGCCGGGAAGAAGCCCGCGCCGGCGGCGGCGGCGGCTGCTGCAGCCTCTCCGATCTGGCCGGACACAATCTCGACACCCTGCGACACCTGCTGCTGGATCTGGTTGGAGGTCTCCTGGACCCCCTCAAACTGCTTGCCTTCCAGTCCGCCGGCGCGTCCCGATCCCACAGTCTCCAGCACGGAGCCCAACGAGGCGGCTGCCGAGGCCGGCACATACACATAGGTCTCCTCGTGATGTGGCGTGGCCACACGGGCCAGCGGGGACAGGCCGTGCACGTAGCGCAGCGTCGGCTCCAGGCGCATCTGAGCCTGCACCTGCGGCGTCACGATCACAATGTGCTGTGCCGTCGGCTCGTAGGGCTTGGCCTGGCCGCCCATCGCTGCCAGGGCTAGGCAGAACAGCGCGAGGAGGAACATGCTGCAAATTCTGCAAACGGGAACAGAATGGAACAGAATGGGGGGGGTGGTCAGGTTGAGCATCGATCGGATCTCCTCCTCCTGCAATCAACTCCTCCAACTGCTGCAAACTGGTCTCTGGCCACTGATCTATTTATAGATGCAACTACAGGCTACAGGCACTCCTCCTCCTTCTCCTTCTCGTTCCCCCACTCCCACTGCGATCCACCAAAGTCCATTCTAAATTTAAAGCCATTTTCTGTGTGTGTGGTGTGTGTGTGTGTGTGTGTGTAATTGCATGTTGCAGAACAGGATGCAGCACGGAGTCCGTACATGGATGGAGTGACTATTAACCGGTTTGCAATTGATTGGCCTGCTCGGCATCTGAATGGGGAATGGGGAAAGGGGAAAGGGAAGGGATCTGCCTGCCGATGCTACACTTCTAGTGTAGATACAAACTAATGACCAGAAGCAGCTTTATGGCTTAAATCTGTACTTGCTAGTCGAGCTTCTATACCCCCCCAACCACCTCCACTGTCCATGAAGATTGCTGCCAAAGAGAGTTCTTCGTGTGAGGCAAGTTCGTTGCCCAAGTCTTTTGTTTCGCAGTGAATTAATTGCATGAAAATAATGCCTGACTTTAATGACTGAATCTGCAGCCATATTATGCAAGATTCGTTCAAGTTTCCATTATATTAAAATATAGTTCCATGGAAGTATTCTACTGTACAGAAATTAATATATTTGCTGACTTTGATAGCTGCTGAACTTACTCATAAAAGTGCAAAAGTGTTATATTAACTGGTTTCGTGAATATGTGTCTGTTGTACCCCAAATTCTATCTATTCTTCTATCAATTTCTCATATTTTTCCAATTTAATTCTTTCGATTTTCTGCACAGTTTTTTAGTCCATTTATTCGAGCTCCGATTAACCCTTTTTTCTAACATTCTTTCAAAGTTATGTTTCAATCTCCCCATAAGAATAAAAAGGCAAAGGTAGAGAAATTCTTCCTAGATTTTAGATGAAGTAAGCCTGAATAAAAACTAAACTAATATTTTGTTCTCCATCAAATCTCGTAGCCTTCCTTGGGGCTGATGGAATTCAGACACATTCCCAAAATTCTAGTCACACTTTTATTGCTCTTGTCATATTAATCACAATAAACCTACTAAGTTTTCTTATGATTCTAAACTAACATCACGAATTAATAGCTGAATCCCAAGTGCCTGCTGTTGCAGCTTAATTAAGCACTTCGCTGCAACGACCCCATAAACCCCATCTTAAGTGTTCAGAAAAAACAAACCAGCTCACGGATTAGAACTATGCCTAGACATAACTTTCTCGAAGCATGTGAATGTGAATGAGAATAGCAGAATAGGAGAATAGGATAACCATAACCATAACCCAAATCGGATTGGATGGCAGAACTTACCTTTCAGTCGGCGTTTGATGGCCTTTCACTACTTTCCCAAATCTAGGCAGGTAATTCGAGACACAGAGCACTTTAATGGACACACAAAACGCGATCCACGGGCGGAGCTACTTCTGTAGATACTTCTGCTGCGAGCTGCGAGCACAATGATTGCAATGATTGCTGGTTGCTGGTTTGCTGGTTTGCTGGCTGCTGGTTGCGGTAGGGCTGGGCGGTCTTCGGGTTCAGTCTTCAGTCTTAACACGGCGACCACTTCAAGGAAACTGGTGGCCAATGCTGCCTGGCCATGGCCTTTTATAATGTGCGCCGCGGACTGACCTAGCCCAAGAACAAAGAACCTGAGCCCAACCAGAAGAGCTGGAAATCTGCAGCTTCCCGCAGGAAAACAGACGGCCAGCAGGGGAGCGGCGGTGCTGGCAATGCTGGCAGTTGATGGCCAAAAGGAGCCAAAGCTGGCTAAGCAACAATAATACTCGTAATAGCAGCCGCAACTTGCAGAAGGGGGGGAAAGAAGACTCTGCCTCTATATCTACTCGTACTCGTACTTGTACTTCCACTTCTTTTTCTGGTTTCAGGTTCTGAGCTGCTGCTGCTGCTGTTGCTGCTCAGATGGCAGATGGTCAACGTAGATGTGGTTCGTCTCGGTCTCGGTCTCTGTCTCCGTTTTGATCGTGGTATTGGTCTGTGTCTCCTTCTCCTTCTCCTTCTCAGTGTCTCGGCCAAGTGCTCTGCAGCTCTGAAGTTTGTTAAACCTGCCGCGTAATAGAAGTCAAGCATGGCCAGGCGATTGCATTGAAGTTGCATTGACAGCCCAGCCCAGCCCAAGATTGGAGACTGGCATCTGGGGACCTGTGGCCACTGGCCACAGGCAACTGGTTCAGGTGCAAATTGAATGCGATCCGATGCGATGCGTTCCTCTCGAGCTGCATCTCTTCTGGATGTGCCCCTACCATTTAGATAATTTATTTTCATGTTGCCTGCATTGGCGGAAAAGATTAATCAAGATTTGCACATGCTTGCATTCAGCATTCAGCATTTTATTTTCTTTCTTTTTTCGCTGGCTGGAAGTCAATTTATTCTCGCTATAAACTATAATCACTTCCCGCAGCAATTAGATGCGTTTTCCCTGTCCTTGTACCTGTCCCCGTACCTGTCCCTGTACCTGTACCTCAGATCGGGTTTTGATCGCCTATTAGGATTGCTATTCCACATGCGGAATGAATTTCCGTCCATCTGTTTATATTTTTAGACTGCAAATGCTTTGGAGCGACTCCCAGATCTTCCCCCTGGCAATTTGCTTGCATAAATAAAATAAATCGCAGTAAAAACGTTGAAAATTAAGTTAATTAAATAGAGAAATTTTATTGGCAATTCGGAAGCTGGCACACACACAAAGTGTTTGTTTTTGTTGTACAATCCCATGCGAGGAGCAACCTCTCTCTCTCTCTCTCTCGTCTATTATTCGTAGTGCAGACGTCGCTTGGGCGCCATGCGAATGCTGGGCTTGGTGGAGCCCATGGCTGCCAGGAGCTGTGACTGAGCCTGACGGGCAGCGTAATCCTCGGCAATGGCTGTGCGCCATTTGTCCACCAGCGAGTCGGCGCTCGCTATGCGCACCGGCACGAGCGGCGTCTCTCGGGTCAGGGGGAAACGGGCGACGGTCAGCGGGCCATCATTGTAGTCGTAGTCATCGATGGCGGCCTTCTCGGCGGCAGAGTTTGGAGTTTTGATGACCAGCTGGTTGCGGGTCGGCAGGGAGATGCTGAAGGCGGCCGCCTCCTCGGGTGAGACGCCAGCAATGGCTGTGGCCTTGGGGGAAGCCACAGCCAGGCCATTCCGGCCGGAGAGTGCCACGGCATTGGGCTTGGAGGAGGCCACACCACCCTCGCCGGCAATGGACAGACCTGCAAGCAGTGAAAGATTCAAGATTCCTTCTTTTGGGATTGCTCCTTGAGGATCACTCACCCACTGGCTTGGCCTCGGCCACGGCCGCATCCTTCTTGGGGGCCATGACGGACACACTGTCGTTGACATCCTCGTAGGGATCCTCGCTGTTGGGCGGCAGGAAGTCGTCGGGCGAGATCTGCTGCTCCGTGACCTCGTCCAGCTTCTGTTCGTCGATCTTCTGGTCCGCCGGATTGTTGCCAGCCTCCAGGCCAAAGTTCGACGGCTGCTTCGGCGGTGTGGCAAACAGCTCCGGCTGCAGCAGCACACTGAAGTCCTTGATCTGGCCCGTCTGCTGCAGCAGCGCCAGGCTCTGGGCGGCCTGGCCCAGTTCCAGCAGACTGCTGGCATAGATCTGATTGTCCTCCGCGCTGAACGAGCCCTTGCGCTTGGCCATCTCCTGGATAGCCACCAGACGCGCGGCTGCCAGCTGGATCCTGTTAAAGTCACTGGCGCTGGCCGAGATCGAGCTGCTGCTGCTGCTGCTGCTGGTGGAGCTGGAACCGCTGCCATCGGCGGTGGCCGTGATGCTGGCCGCCGAAATGGTGATGGTGTCATCCGCATCGCGGGGTACGGCCCTCAGTTGCGGCTGCTGCTGCTGGCGCTGCAGGATGTAGCTGCCGAGGCTGCCATCCCGCTGGGGACGCAGCTGCAGCAGCTGGCCCCGCAGGCCGCCATAGTAGGGATGCTCCTCGTAGATCCGTGGAGCGCCTCGCGATCTGTGTCTGCTTTTTGGGGTGGGTTACATAGTCGGTTATAGAGAGTGTGTGTGTGTGCGGAGAGAGGGGAATGCAGAATGGTTGGATGCCTGTGCGTTGGAGGAAGAAAGCGTGGGATAGACGGAAGCGTTGCATCTACTTATCTACAGAAATCTACGGATACAGATTAACGGACTACTCAGTGGCCAAGACTCAGACTCAGAGTCTGAGCCAGTGGCCAAGGCGGAAGCTGTACAGGGGTTTGTTTACTTTAGGGTTTACTTTATTTACAGACTAGCGGGGGGGAGGAAATGACACAATTATTCGGGCCTCTGTTCTTAACGTAGGAACATCAGTATGGGTATCATCATATGGTAGCATCATCGTGGGGATCAGCGTTCTCAGTTGGCTCTCAGTTGAACAGATCCAGCTCCAGGTCTGCCGTCGCGTGCGCCTTGCCACCCACGCCGGCTATGGCCACCGAGTCCGGATTGAAGTACACATTGGTGGGCACGCCCTTCTTCAGATACGCCCTCGAGATGGGCGTGGAAATGGCCGTGCCGCCGTTGCCCACCACAGCCCTGGAGTGTGGCTCGAGGATCAGTGCCGCCTGCTTGCGTCCCTGGATGGCCTGAGCCTGCAGCGGCCGGTAGGGCAGGAAGTAGTTGCCGAACTGTATCTGCGGAATGTTGCCCGAGCTGCTGCTGCTGCTGGTCTTTCCCGTGGCCTCCACCTTGACGGGCACTCGCTTCAGCTTCGCTGCCCCGGAGGCGATCTTCCGCAGCTGCTGCTGCTGTAGCTGCTGCCTGGCAGCGGAGGAGCTGGCAGTGGAGATGACATGCTTGCCGGGAATGGCCAGAATCTCCTCGATCACGTAGTTGGGATTGATTTTGCTCACCGCTGAGCGGAGACCCGAATCACTCTTTAGATCGCCATTGGATTGTGTCTCCGCTGGTGGCTCTGGCTGTGCTTGCAGCTTTTCTGGCTTTTCGAGCTCTTCGGCTGAGCTTTCGGGTCTGATCGTGGTGGTGGTGGTGCTGGTGGTTGTTGCATCGGCTGTGGCAGGTGCTGCAGCTGTGGTGGGTTGCAGCACGTATGCCAGTGGCAGGCTGTAGGCCGCATAGTAGGGGGCGTTGTATATCAGAGCAGGCTGCAAGGCCCCATAGGCCGTTGGCTGGTTAGCCTTCGCGAGCAGCTGTGCGGGCGGCCAGGCCTCGAAGGAGGCAGTGCGCCAGTAGCCGTAGGCACTTTGGGGATTAGCATAGTTTGGGGACAGGATAGAGGATAGAGGCAGCAGCCGGTTAGTAATTTAATATTTACAGCAACAATTTCGTGGGGTTAGTAGTGGCTGGAGAGAGAGCATCATGCAGCAGAAGGATGTGGATGTGGATGAGGATGAGGATTAGCAGTGGGTGAAAATATGTGCAAAGATCTACTACTACTATGGTATGGGGTACGGGGTACGTGGTGCGGGGTGTGGCAGTGTGTGGTGGGGTACACGATGAGAGCAAAGCACAGCGAAACATTTACGAAAAATACAAACATTTATTTAAGTTACTAGCGAGTTACCAACTAAAATGAATCCTAGCTAAAATCAAAACTAAAGCAAAAGTTAAGCCTCAGACTCAAACATCATCTGCTCCTCCGCCGCCTCCTCCGCCTCCGCCTCCTCCTCCTCCGTCGTCGTACCCGTGGGCGGAGCATAGTAAACCGTCGGTCCGGTGGCCACCACCTTGCCCTCGCGCGGAAAACTCCTCGCCGCAAGATCGGTGCGTGCCAGGGCGTCCTGCAGGTCCACGTTCGCGGGTATGGAAATCACCTTGGCCCCGGGACCGGCGATTGTCAGGCTGCGCGGATGCGTCAGCGCGTAGCCGCCGGGACCCACAATGGCCGTGCCGCCGCTGCCGGCCGTGGCCACGCCCCCTGGGCCAGCAATCGCAATGCCGCCCTTGCGCACCTTCAGCCGCTGGATGATGATGCCGCCCTCGCGCAGCGCCTGCTTCTGGGTGCTCTGCTGTGCGGTGGCCACCTGGCCGATGGTGTGCACCAGTCCGCCGCCCCCCAGGCGGTTCTTGTGCCCAAACAGATGCTTCTCCTCGGACGCACTGCTGTCCTGCTCCGCGGCCGTGTTCTCCGGATCCTCGATGTTGCCATTCAAGTCCCCATCCCCAGCCCCATCCCCATCGCCGCCGCCCTCCTTCTCGTCGTCCCACTTGTAGTCGAACTGGGAGTCGCTGGACGGCTGCAGCTTCTGCTTCTGCGGAACGCTGCCCACGATGATGGGCTGGGAGCCGGACGACAGGGCTCCGGCCGGTCGGAAGGGCATCTTAAATATATTCTGGAAGGCGTTCTTGATGGCCGACGATGTCTGGTTCTGCATATCGGCGATGTTTATGCCGGGCACGCGGAACGGATTCAGCCGATTGCGATTCGGCAGCAGTCCGCCCGCAGGGGGCAGCGTCGAGAAGTGAACAGGCGCAGCGCTGGTGGAAATGGCCGGCAGCTGCTGCTGCTGCTGCTGCTCCGCCTCCTTTCCGGCGCCACGCACGGGCTTCACGGTGGAACTCACTCGCTTGCGACTCCCCGAGATCAGGCTATTCGCAACGGGTGCCACGGGTGTCGGCTGTGTGCGGTGCGGCTTGTGGGAAGGCTTCTCGCGCGAGTCCATACGGATCAGTCCCTGTGGCGCAGCCGGGGCTTTGGTTGTGGTGGTGCTGGTGCTGGTTGCGTTGCCCCGCTTGGGTGTGCCATCATCGTTGAGGGCCAGCTCTCTGGGCAGAAAGAAGAGATGGTACTTGGGCGTGGTCTTGCCCTGCTGCTTCCTGCCCGACTTGGCCTTGCCATAGAAGCTGTCCACGTCACCGATGATCTTGTAGCCTTTGACACGGTACTCTTGGGCGGCATGCTCCCGCAGGTACTGCTCCTTGTTCAGCCTGTACAGGTGCACGGGTATGACAAAGTGGGCGGGCAGCTGCTGGGCCTCCTGCTCCGTTGTGGGCTGCGGCAGCTCCACCTGGTTGGGTCGGAAGTACAGCTGCGATTGCTTCTCCTCGCTGGCTGGCGCTGGCGCTGGCGCAGCAGTTGCCTGGCGCAGCCTTGGCGGCAGATTGTAGCTCGATCCGGCCACGTTGCGGGTCAGCTTGACGGCACGGATCGATGGCTCGAGCAGTGTCTGGCCGTGGCTGCCGGCGAAGTGGTGCTGCTGGGCGTGGAACGGCTGGTAGGCGGGCTTGGGGAACAGATACTGGCTGGAGTCGAGTATGGGCGGCAGCTTGGGCTGCTCCGGCTGCTTCTTCACGTAGCCAAAGGCCTCGTTCACCCGCGCAATCTGCTCGAGGATGCGCTTCGCCTCGTCCGCCTTCTCGACGGTCGGCGGCGCCAGATTGGGATCAAACTCCTCGGGAAATTTGATCAGCCGCTGCCTCTGGATTCTGCAAACGAAAGTTAGGTATTTTGTTGTTGGTTGTCTCTCAGTTGGCTTTCGTTTCTAATCTCTAATCTAATGCATGTTGGTTGGTAATGTTGGTGGTGATGGGGGGGGGGGGGAATGTTGGCAAGGCAATGATTTTGGGTTAGCTTTGATGGATTCAGTTTAGTCACAATTCTGCAGGCTTCTGCCGGGTTTAGTCACAAATTCTACAATCTGGGCGAGAGACAGGTACAGAGAGAGAGCGAGCGAGCGAGCGAGCGAGCATCAACTTCTACTTTGGATTAGCGCACAGACTGTAGCCACAGCCACAGGGTACAGGCACAGACAGAGGCACAGGCATACATTTTGTTGGTGTGTTAATAGGGTCTTAGTCTTAGTCTTAGTCTCAGGCTTAGTCTTAGGAATTCGGGGGAGGGCTGGAAGTGGGGCTAGTAGTACTTACTCGACGGCTGCGCCACCGGCATCCAGTGGGCTCTGGCTGGCGGCCAGGGAGGCCAGCACCAGCAGTAGCGTTGACAGCTGCAAAAGAGAAGCGTATATATATATATATATGTGTGTGTTAGCCAAGTGCTGATAATGATAATGATAATCGCTGTGCCAAGTTCTGATGTATGTAGGACTCAATCTCCGTCTTTGGGTATTCCGATGCCGTAATGGCCCCAAGAATGCGGTCAAGTGTCTCGCGAAAGTCTTTCATTCTCCGCTCTCCCCGCTCTCTACGTTCTCCCCGCTCTCTACGTTCTCTCAGCTGTCTCAAGGCATTTGCATAATTTCTTTTAAGCTGTGGCCCAGCCCGGCCCGGCTCGGGCTGAAAAGTGAGAGCCGCAGCACCATCTGAGGATTGAAGTACTCCTCGTACTTGTCAGCTTTTCCCCCTTCCTTCCAGCACGAACCTCACGCTCAGCAAATATTTGCCTGCCGCACACACACACACCACACACTCTCTGTGTGCCAGCATATAACTCTCTTTATCTCTTCATCTTTCTCCCGATCTCTCTCTCTCTCCCTCTCTCCCTCTCTCTCTCGTGTGAACGATTTGGCAAAGTCAATATTGACGCAATCTTCTTGGGCGAGCGACCGTTAGCATCGCACGCCCATCTATCAAAACAGAAATGTCACTAAGCCGAAGAACGCAAAGCAATGAAAGCCAAAAGCCAGCACCAGCTACAGCTCCAGTCTCACCTCCAGCCTCACCTCCATCCTCAGCTCCAACCTCAGCTGTAGATGAAGCCAAAAACTGAAGCTAAAGCTGAAGTTGGGGCTCGTGTTGTGTCATTGACCTGAACCTCTAGGCGTCTGTTACGATTCGAAGCCGAAACGTAACTTGAAACAGCGCTGGATGTTCGATATTAACTGCTGAATGTTGGATGTTCGATATTGAATGTTGGATATTGAATGCTGATGGCTGATGCCTGTCGAACCTCACCGATCCGAGTTCAGATCGAAGCCCAGCATTGATTTGCAAGTTCTCTTGCACTTTGTGGCAACGTAACCCAAGATGTATGTATTTCCGTCCAGTCTGTCTTCTGTGATGGCTTTCTTTTGTGGCTGGGCCCCTCGGGTAACGAGATAAAATTGGGTGTGTTCCGTGCTCCAACCAAAAATAAACTGGGTTAATGTCTTGCATGCAAAGTTTACGCGCAGCATTTTATGTTCTCAAACAAGATATAAAAGTGTTCAAACAAGATCTCTGGTTCTTCGGCGGCCGCTCTCTGATGACACTTAAATGTGAAATGATATTCTGGAGAGACGCTGATGGAGTCAATTGATGGGAGATTGATGGACAGATGCAGGCACTGGGCAATGGGCACTGGGCACACAGCAGTGTGGACTGGAGAGAGTCACCACCAGCAATCAGCCAATCAGCCAATCAGCCATTGGTTTATTAATTTATGATATTGCACCTCTAATACGAGCGTATATATATGTGGCACTTGGGTTCTGTTCTCCCACACACACCAATAAATTCGATTGTTCTTCTCGGGCATATCATAATTCTGTTTATGGGCAGGGGGACTTTTAATTGCCATTTGGTTAGCCCACGCATGATTTTCTTACGCCTCTGGCATACTGATTTTTATTGATATTTGGGCTTTTCAATCGAAATTATGGTTACACATTAAATTCATTGTTTCCTACAGGCAACGGACGCGACCAGGCACTCAGGTATTTGTGCTTTAAAGGGCGTGTGGATATATCTACATATATCTGATACGAATATGAATAATGCAAGGGATAATCAGCCCATTGAAATGAATCACTTTTCACTTTTCAATTCGAGGTGGAGTCAGAATTCTGTCACGTTCCGCGTGGAGTGCTGAGCTGGAGGGGTGTACAAAAGGGTTTTCACTTTTAGAGTGGGGATGAAAAATTCTACGAAAAAGTTCTTTGAAATGAAATCAGAACTAAAAGCAAACGAGAAGGAACGTGTGAGTCGCTTCTGGGGACGCGACTCTACTTATACCCGTACTCAGTCAGTATATACATTTTTGAGGATGATTTTTTAGAATTTTAGAATTAAAAAAAAAATTTTACATTTTACGGGAGGGGGAGGGGGAGGGGAAGCAACTGAAAATTCTTCATTCTGGCTATAGTTATGATCCGATCTGATTCAGATTCCACACTCCGCACTCAGAATCTGGTAGATATGAGCATCTCTACGATACTGCGTTTTAGTTTTATCGTATCTTTAACGGCCTGCCACAGATTTCGTCCTTTGTGTGGGCGGAAGGGGGCGGGGCGAATTTGAATACACTTGTAGCAGTGTGATATCACATGAGCTGGAAACCAAATTTGGTTTCTCTAGCTCTTATAGCTCTAGATCCAGGCGCTCATCAAGACGGACGGACGGACAGCGGACAGACGGACGGACAGACGGACATGGCTATATGACTATAGGCTATTGATGCTGATCAAGAATATATATACTTTATGGGGTCGGAAACGTTTCCTTCTCTGCGTTGCACACATCCACTTTTACCACAAATCTAATATACCCCTTAACTCTTTTTTGAGTACGGGTATAAAAATTCCTTCTTTTGGGGGTTACAAAAAGTTCTCTGGGCATTCAAATTGATTTCTGATAATTAAAATGCCAAGCCAAAAGCCAAAAATATGGCCAAGCAGCATAGATACATATTATTCGTATAATATGTGCATATGGCACAGGGCATAATTAAGGCTAATTTCCGTAGCTGGGAAAGCCAAGCCAAGAAGCCAAGAAGCCAAGAATTGAGGCGAGAACCACTTAAGATTGTTGCCAAAAAATGTCGCTTAGTGAAAGTTCATTCCGGGAAGTGAAAGAAAACAGAAACGAAAGACTCAAGCCACGAACTTGGGCCACTTAACGAGCCAAAGGGTCAATGGGGTGGGAGGGAGGTAGGGCAGTCAAATGATTAATTGCGGCCAGCTCTAAACTAGTTTCGTTTTACGACTGAACTACCCAGCGAATTTCAATTTATTTTCACAGATTTTTACTTACCACAAATAAATGCATTCTGATGATGATGCCAAGTTCTTGAGACGTTCTTTACGATGTTTTACGATGGGGCCTTGGCTGTGTCTCTGCTTGTGGCGGTATCCTTGAACTGCGAACGAGAAACGAAAGGAATGGCACTCTGGGTTATCACGCGGAAACAACAAAAATCACAAACACACACACACACAAGAATGAGACAGAGACTGAGACACACAAAAAGTCAATCCTGTGGAGCTTTTAATTTACGATTGTTTCTTTTTTTGTTTCAGGCTAAGGGAACACTAAACACGAAGGCCGAATGGCTATCACACACACACCTCCTGCTCCTAGGTGGAAAGAACCAAGCGGGCCAGACAACGACTGAAGATGAACTGAATGGTGGCCGGGCCCAACGCCTCTGTTTATAACATTTCCATTAGCCAAGCAGCCACAGCGACAGCGGCAGCAACGTTGACGGGCCAACGAAAGAAATGGCCAACGAAACAGGGCCCCAGCACCAGCACCAGCGCCAGCAGGTGTAAGAGAGCCACAATAAGAGAGAGAGAGAGAGAGGTAGAGAGAACGATTGGCTAAGAGAAACCATTAATTGGGAGTCGCCTTGGGCTGAGCCACTTATCAGGCTGAGTAAATCTGTGGGCCGGGAAGGGTTTTTTGTTTTCAGTCCCGATCCACATTGATATTCATGGATCAAAGTCTAGGCAAAGGCTTGTGCAGATTGAGATCTCGCCACTCTACGACGAGCATTTGCAGGCACTTTTCGTTTCGATTGAAACTTGTTAGGTCGCTGACAGTTAGGGTCTTTGTCTTCTGTCTTCTGTCTTCTGCCTCCATGGTGCTACTGTTCATATAGTAGCATCCGAATCATCCTCAAGTTCACAGCTGACGTTGATTAATTGGCCGTTTATTGGTCGTTGATTGGGTGTGTGTGTGTGTGGAGCGGAGAGGTACAGTGTCCGAGGTGTCTGCGGGACATTACAAGTAGAGTGAGCATCGAGAACACAGAGAGAAGAGAACTGTGGAGTGTGTGTGTGTGGGAAGTGCTGGACAGGTAAGCAGCTCCAAAACATGACATAAGCTTAAATTGTCAAAGACTTAAGAGCCCCTCCATGAATGACAGTCTCTCGCGTCGTGTGTCTTGTTGGGTAATTCAATTAAAATGTTTGATTGGAACTCGTTAGAAAGTTTCGCAGGCAATATTTTTGGGTGTTTTGCTCACACACTTCTCGGGTATCAGCAGCTGTCGGGATTAGCTCCAAAACTTTGTTCTGCCAACATAAATTGTGGAACTTCGATTCCATTGATAATTGAAATTCTTTTGCTTGGTAGTTCTGTGTTCTGAGTTTGCCTTTGGCTGCCATAAGTCTTTATTAGCCGGACAGAACCATCAATTTTCTCATTATCTGCCCAGAGAGACACAGCCACGCCCCCCGACTGACACATATCCCCCGACTGACAACAGAATCGCCCAACAGAATGCAATTTATAATTTTATGGGATTCCTGTTCTTCGGCTGTCCACAGAATGGCCCCGCGGCGCAGCTAAAGTGCTGGCTTCCGATTCCCAATTGCTGGCAAATCAATGCAATCATACATATTTCTTGATTAACCAGGATCAGGTTGGAGTGGAGTGGAGTGCCGCCTATGCCTGGTGTGCTGTGGCACACGCAAACATCAATAAAATTGCCACAAGATTTATGGTTTCGAACCGAGCCAGCGCCAGTGGGGAGCATACAAAATTAGCAGCAATCGCTGTGTAAACTCAAATGCCCCACACGCACACTCCACACTCCGCACTACGCCCTCCCCCCCCTTCCCGACACTTCCACCGCTATTCGATTCAATCCCCCATTTGGAATGCAGCAATCAAAAGGCGATAAATCGATGCAGCAACAGCAACGGAACGGAGAAGCTCCACACCGGGGCTGCAGAGTCGCATCGCTGGGGAAGAGACCTTGAGACCTATTTATAAATGCATGCAAAACGGGACTGAGAGTGGGATGGATGTCGTTGCCTAGGCAAGGCATGGCATGGCATGGCGTGGCATGGCCCTGTGCCCAGAGGCCAATTAAGTCTGACCTTCGGTGAGAGGGAGCAGCCAGCAGCCAGCAGGCAGGCGGCAGCAGGAGGAGGAGGCTCAAACCGTTGTTTATAACCGCTAACTGAGAAACAGCGCCTGGGAGATCTCCGATCCATGGCCAGAATAAATTGCCAGCTGCTGCTGCTGCTGCTGCTGCAGTCCCCGCACTGGTTTTGTTCTGTTCTTTTCTGTTTTCGGTTCTGTTTGGTTCTGTTCCTCTGTAATGCTAACCCAATTATGCAGCAGCAGGGGTAGGGGCCGGCCCTCTAGGCTGGTTCTCAGGTCACAGGCAGACATTGATAGCAGCTCTGAGAACGTGTGGTAGAGAGACAGCCCTAAATCCAGATCTATGTCACTGGCAAGTACTTCTGCGGTCGGCTCTTCTTTTTTGTGCATTCTGCGAAGAAAGTTGTGGCGTGGCGTGGCGTGGAGTGCGTAGGAACTTGTTTGAGGGAAATTAAAGCGGACAGATCTCTGACATCAAATTTAATTGTGGCAGGCAGTGAAACCCAAAAAGGCAAAGCCATAATAATTTCGAGTACGCGCATCTTTTTACATGATTTGTTTTTGTTTTTGTTTATGGTTTTTGCAAATATGCATATTATTAATGAAACTTTGTCGCGTATATTGTTTTGGGCTTTTCTTTTGTCTGTGGCTCTGTGGCATATTTTATTTAGGCCACGATGTGCATGTGCTCTGGCCGCCAAGGCTTTCCGTTCGATTCAAATTATTTGGCAAGTGCGCGCGCGCACGCGTCAAACATTTTAAGTTCGTTTAGCTGCAGTACCCAGAAATAGCCCACAAAAACAAGCGAATCCATACCAAAGTTGACTTCATTTGCCTTCATTTTGCGGGTGGGGGCTGGGATGCACTACCCATTTGTAAAATGACTTTATGAGCGGCAAATCAATTAGGCATTATAAAATGCATAAATCGTACAAGTTGGTGGGCCCGCAAGCACGCGCCAGAAACAGTTAAGACACTCGACTCGAATGGTGGCTGGCTGGTTGGGTGGGGTACGGTACTGCGGAATTGAATTTGTTTTGGAATGTTTAGAGGGTAATCAGTACACGAAAAGGTGACACCGATCGGATGTACCTTGGCGCCTTAATTGATTGGCTAAAGCAATGTCGAATGGCACTAATAACTGAATTGATTCTAATTGATTCGTTTTGTTTTAGTTTTCTCCGGAAATGAGATTTGGGTAGCTTAAAAATAGCTAAACTAAGCAGTAGATCAGCGAAGGCTTCCGTTTTCTATGGCGGGGTTTCTGTCAATGAAATTTCGAAACATTTCTTGAGAATAATTTAAAAGAGAAACTCTTCTCTTATTCATTATCTTCTGTTTAATGAACCTACGATTAGCTGATGGCAGTTACTGGTCCTCCACCTTACCTTACCTTACCTACCTTAGCATGGATTAAATTTAACCAATTCTTTGGCCATTCTCTGATCTGTATATTTGTCCTCTTAGTGCTTTAAATTTCTACAATCAATTCCACGCAGCAATCTACCCATGAAGCAGCGTTTACCTACGCACACTTCTTAGTTGCGCTCCTCCACCGCGTTCGATTTGTTGTCACCCGTTCGGTCTCCAATGGATGCAATGCACCCAAACAGAAGAACCCAGTAGAAGAAGGAACAGCCGCGCGTGTTAGTGTGATTTATTTATGCGTAAGTGCTATATTTATGCAACGGTTGAAAGTTTGCGGACGGATTCAAGGCATTCGCTGGTATCCCAATTTCCGATTGTGGTTCGGCGGTGGCCTTGGCCAAATTGCCACCCATGACAACGAAGCCAATGCCGGCGCCAGCCTTGTAGCTCAACTCGTGGTAGCCGGCCTCGTCGTAGTAGGAGTACTTCCCCAGCACATTGCCGGCCTCATCGGTGCGCTGGGCATGGGACATCTGGTGGGTGCTGAAGTCGAAGCTGGCAGCAGGCTGCGGGAAGCTCCTCGAATCGGGACTGGCAGCGGCAAATGTTTGATAGCCTCTGCTGAGGGATGATGTTGGGTGGCTGCCAGTGGGTGAGCCTTGTCTGGCGCTGAGCGACTGCTGCACAAACTGCAGCGGACCAAAGACCTCTGGGGCATTGGCTGGACCCGCCGCCTGTCCATAGCTGGGGGCCAGCGCACTCCTGCCCGTCCTGTCGCCATCCGTGCTGTACGCGTAGCCATGGCCATTGAACTGCATGTAGACCTGAGCTCCATGTACGCCGGCTAATACCAATAGTCCCAACAGCTGCAGCAAGTGGCACTTCATCTTGCAGCGAACTTCGAGGCAAAACTAAGCACAGAGCAGCCAGAGACTGGGGCTATATGTGGGCCCAGGGCAACCGCAGACTTTCGGCTCAACCTGCTTATGCCACGGAACATCCACGGGTATCGTATAACCCACCCCCCTCCCTCCCAGCTGCAGTTACAGATTACAGATTGCCGACTACAGACTGCAGATATATTATGTATTCCGCTTTAAATACTGTTACAGCTTCTGCCATTTTTGTCGCTTACTTAACGCTGATCGATCACTTATGGCTAACGCTACGCACTACAATGTATCCAGGGAGCAGGAGCAGGAGCAGGAGCAGGAGTAGGAGGTGCAGCTAGTGCTCCCTGGAGGCGGCCAGATCGGCGATCTCGTCCTGCCGCAGCGCCTCCGAGGGCGACAGCCCGACCCGTCCGCCCAGCGGCACAATGTCAATGTTCTGCACATGGGCCCGCACACTCTGGCCCGGCGGCAGACCCACATACCACTTGCCCACGTTCTTGATCACCGTGGAGTCGCGGTGCCGCTGCACCCACTCCCGCTCGCGATCGATCTCCAGTATGCGATGATTGGCCGTGACCAGGGGGGGCAGCGAGCTGCCCACATCGTCGTCGTTGAGGTTGTAGTTGTCGCCCGGGCCGCTGATGGCGCTGCCAGTGCCGCCGCCGCCGCCGCCTCCGGATCCGCCAGTGGGTGGTGGTAGATAGCCCAGGCTGGAGTCGCCTTCGCCGGACGCTGATCCTCCCCTGCGTGTGCTTCCCCCTCCCCCTGCCCCGCCCCTTTCTGAGCTCCCTCCCCTGTTGCTGAATCTGTTCTGATTTCTCGTTCCGCTGGCGTTGATTCGCGTGGAGCCACCGCCTCTCTGTCGTGTGGCAGCACCTCCTCCCCCCGCTGAGCTGCCACCGCCTGTTCGTGTGCCACCCCTGCCTCCTATGGCTCCGCCTCTCTCTCTCTCCGCTGCATCGTATGTGGTGCTGCCTCTCTGGGAGCTGCCGCCGCCTGCTGCATACCCCCGGCGATCTTCCTTGCCCCGGAAGGAGCTGGAACCACCGGAACTGCTGCTCAGGCCGATATCCTCCTCATCCAGATTGCCACCGCCATTATCAACGGGTCCCAGATCGTTCTCCGCTGCCCCATTTCCATTTCCATCTACACCCTCCCCATCATCTCTGCTCCCACCACTGGGTTGCAGATAATCTGTGGCACCTGTGCGGCTGCCAGTTTGTCCCCTGCCACCGCCCACGCCTGCCCCACTCGGTCCAGAGCCACTCCCACGCGCTGCACTGCCACTAGCCACACCCAGGGCCCCACCCGCCCCGCGGCCAAAGTCATTGGCCAGCCGGAAGTCCGTGTCCGCCAGCCGAAAGTCGGCCACCGAGGGATTGATGTGCGTGCCGGGACCAATGCGGTTGTGCACCACGCGATAGCCAATGCCCGCGCCCGCGATGTACTCCACCGTCCGCTGCACGCCCTTGTCGTCGAGGAAGGAGTAGGTGCCCCGCACCAGGCCATCGGGGGCACGACTCTCCGCGCGACGGTGATCCGGTCCGGCGGCAATCAGCTTGTAGCTGCCCGCGGGACCACGCTGCACGGACATCTTGCCGCGCGTCCTGGGCGGCGCCTTGTACAGGGGACTGGAGTAGGCCACGCTGGAGGGGTTGTCGGGCACGGCATTGGAGATCTCGAAGCCCGTGCCGGCGCCAGCGGCATAGCGCACACTGTGACGCTCCCCCACATCATCCAGGTACGAATAGAGACCTAAACGAAGACAGAGAGTGGGGTGTAAGGAGGTTTCCTTTTGCTCGAATGTGTGAGCACTCACCCCTGATCCTGTTGCCGGAATCATTCTCCTCGCTCCTCGACTGGTCGGGCGTGCGGAAGCTGAAGCTATACGAGGGATCATCAAAGGGATCGGCGAGGGGATCGTCTGGGCTACCACGCGGTCGCACCGGATACTGTGCCAAGTCCATTTTGCGATGAATCTTCGGTCCATTCACGCGAAAACTGTGTGAGAATTGGGAAGATTAATTGGCCAGCCGAGACTACAAAAAGGGTGATCCTCCCATCCTCCCTCCCACCCTGCCACTGGTGGGAGATTGGGTAAGCCCGGAGAGCGGATGCCAATTGAAATCCGCTGCTCCCATAAGCACTGAAATTTCAATCAGATCTAATCTGGACATGGCGTGGCACGTCATCACTTTGATTACCACATCTGGGAGGGAGGGGGCCTGAGTCTGTCCAGGGAATCGCTCCATTCAGAATCATCATTGCTATCGCTGAGCATCTGTGATGCTGTTACCCTGCATAATTGGGGAGTATTGGCTGAGGTGTATAACAGGCTAAACGTTCTTCCAATTGTCTTTTTGGTGCGTGGACTTCTAAGCTAACAGAATCACGGATATATTTGCTATACTCTCTCCCATTGCTGTTTGAATAATTCCACTGAAATTAAAACAGACTTTTCCCCACATCATTAACAAACCTGAGTAGCAGTTGGTCGAAACCCTCGACTCGGTTAGTTCCTATTGGCTTTTGGTTTTGTTGTTTTTTGTGCTGGCTGAAACATTCAGCCAGTCAATTTGTTAACAGCTTTTTGTTTCCCCCGTTTACCGGAGATTGCAAAAAACAATCACATCTCACAGCAACAGCAACAGAAACAGCAACAAAAACCCCAAACACAGCGGCAGCCTAATGTAAAAACGTTTAGGCAACAAAAAAAAAAAACAAAACCAAAGAAAAAACAGTAGTCCAATGTGTTAGAACCGTTTCAGCTACGTCTTCGACTCCCGCCGCTCGCTCTGACTGGAAGGGAGTTTGGTTTTGGTTTCGGTTTCGCTTCAGTGGTCGCCCGCCTGCCGCCAGACCGCAGGGGCTCGGGTGGTGCTCTGGCCAGACCAGACCAGACCAGACACACAGATAACTCACTTTGTGCTGCCACTGGCTCGCTGTACCTCTGCGATCTGTGGCACATGTCTTCGTTTACTCACCCACGTGGTCCGGCCGTATAGACGGTCTCCTCGATCTGCCCGCTCGCTGGACTACGCGAACCGTAACGACCTCGCACCGTGTTGTCTGGAGTGCCCGAGGCGCTGTGATAGTAGCCCCCAATGTCATCATTTGCATGTCTGCGCTCCGATCCAATCCAAGATCCGATCCGATCGATGGTGTATCCACAGTAGCAGCAGCAGTATCCAAAAGTGGCAAGTAATTGCGTTGCGTTGCGTTGCCCCCATGCGTGGCAGGAGTGGCGGCGTGGCAGATGTGCGAAATGGCAGGGTAGGGGAACGACGGAAATGTGTTATTGTGGCGATTGCAAAACGTTTGAGGCGTTCAAAAAGGTGTTAACAAATATCTTAAAATTTTCTCGGGTAAAGGGGTAAAAGTTAAGACAACATTCAACGATTAGATTGGATTAAATTAGATGATTTGTTAGATTTATGATCCATGACCAAGCGTAGAAGTTAAATGAGATGCAGCTTTCTTTGGGCTTATTATATAGAGCATAAATTATTGCAAATTTGTGTCAACAAGTAACAGGGGAAGGACATCCTAGGGTTAGCTTAATTGTGGAATAAATTTTAGATAAATTATGCAAGCAAAACTAAAGATTCTACTGTTGAAAATGCAGGCGTTTGCTTTAGCAAATATTTCCAACATTACAGGCACAGATTTTTAGATGGAAAACTTTAATAGTTGCAAGCGGAAAGTGAGCTCAGACTATCATTCAATACGGATCAGTGGCATTCATTTTTGTGGAATTAATATGGAATATTTTGTAAGCAGGTATATTTCAGACACACATCAATTAAAAACTGCAATAGTTTAAATATAATATTGAGTCCCTTTTGGGTTTGGTTACGATTTAGATTCATTTTTAAACCACTTTTGTCTTGAATTTGTGAGCAGCAAACAACTTTGTCCTTTGCTCAGTTTAATATAAAATTCATGCTATCATTTGTCACAATATCCTGTATACCGAAACTGAAATGATCCATCCTCGTTGATGGTGTTGTACTCGATTTCGGCACTCGCCGGAACTGCAATGTGTGCCAGGAGAGCGCACAGAAACCAGAGCAGATGCAGTTGGAGTTGGAGTTGCAGCATCTTCACTGCCGTCAATCAAGATTCGATTGTGGGAGATTCAAGCGAGCATCCTGTGTCGCAGGCAACAGGAAGAGTCACAAGCACGAATCAGCAGGCTGCGAGTATTCCCCCGATACGAATCCGATGCCGAGAGGAGACTGTGGAGACGATGATACAATGAGCAGAGGCGGCAAGAACGACGCGACGACGACGACTGATGCGCCCCAGCGTTAGACCTTCGTATTTAAATACGATTCTCAGGCGAGGCAGCCAACCGGTGGCAGCAGCGGCAGCAGCAGCGGCAGCAGCAGCAGCAGCAGCGTCACAGCGCGGTTCGTGTTGCCTCCGCTGCTGCCACTTGTCTCACCTGACCACCCACCCACCAAAACGAAACCCCGAAACATCAGCAAACACCAAAACACCAGAGTGGAAGCCACGAAGATGAAACAGCAGCATTTGTGTGCAAATTGCGTTGCAAGAAATGTGGCTTGCCCCCCCCACCACACACACACACACACACACACACACAGTGGCAGAATGGCAATGGCAGTGTGGCAGGGGCAGGTGAGAGAATTTGTTCTAATGACGGACACGCAAGTGTTGTTGTGGCAGCTGTACGAACGAGCGGCCTGTTGTTTATTTTGCTTGTGGCAGGCAGGCAGGCAGGCAGGCAGGAAGGCAGGCTCCTTGTTCAGTAAATTGCAACAAGAACGGGAGAATGTGGGCTGCAATGGGAATAGAATGGGCAATGGGCGATGGAGAATGGGAAAATGGGAGAATGGGAGAATGGCAAATGGAAAATGGAAAATCGTGCGCGCAACTGCCTGTCAATTAGCTCACGTTGTACCCTGAGACAGAGAGCTCTCTTCCTGCCCGTTGACATCGACATGTCCACACCACCCCACCCCACCCAGAGATGGATCTATGGCCCAAGTCATTCTGGCAGCTGCCATTGCATTGAACTTCAGTCGGAGTCAAGAGGATCACAGATAGAGAGAGAGAGAGCGGCGAAATATTCAATTTTCAGCAGCACAGCACCGTTACGTGGCCGGGACTCGGACGACGGACGACGGACGATTACGAATTCGATCCGCTCCGAGTCTAGGTCAGTGTCTTAGCTGCAATTTTCAGCGGGCAGCAGTCAGCAGGCAGCAGTCAGCAGGCAGCAGTCAGCGGTCAGCGGCATTGCATCATGCAATTAAAGGCAATTACCCACCAGGCCAAAGACTACATACAGCCCCACCACAGCAGTGAGCGATGAGCTATGTACACCCGCCACGAAAGCGACACAATTTCCGCCTAGGATGTGGATGTGGATGTGGATGTGCCGTGCCAAAGCCTCCAAAAGTTCTGCGATGCTTTTTAATGGACCATAATTAGTATGTAGCCGCTTCCAAGTACAGGTATTGGCCATTGTTCTGGATGCATGCTGCTCTCCCTCGCCCTCTCCTCCGCCGAGCCCTCCGCCTCCATCTCCGATTAAAACGAAAGACTCAAGGCACAAACTTCGGACCGCTTCGCTGATTATGATGACAAAGACTCGGCCGAGACTACTGCCATAATCTTTATGATCTTTATGTTACGGTTTCCAGGCATATGCAAATTTTTTGACCAAATGCGGAAGACTTTTCGCGGTTGGGTTTCGAGTTCTGGGCCCCATTTATTGGTTAATTGTTCAGTCAATTGGAGCGAGAACGCGCGCTTGATATTTGAATTGAATAGTCACTCGTAGGCGAGTAATGAAATGGATACCCCATGCCGGTCGAAGGGGAGCCGCAATCAGCGAGATGCTGCCAATGACCATGTGTTCATGTGTGTTCGTACATCATAGGCATGTGGTCGTGGTGGGGGTCGCTTTAAGGACAAGTTTCCAACGCTTTGGAGGCAACTGCACGCATGGGAAATGTGCAACCAGTTGTGGCATGCCAGCCTGCCTGCCTGCCAGTCGGACAACTTGCCATTGAACCACATATCCATAGAGCAAAACTGGAATCTCATATACGTTTCACTCACCCAGACATAACATAGAGGTGACCAGCCAACAGCCAGCAGCCAGCAGCCATCCTGTGAAAAGTGAAAATGCTTTCGTTTTCATTTGGGCTCTGGTGGTGGCGCCATTCATTGGACAGCTGCCCAGAGGCTCAGGTCTATTCAGCTCCTCCATTAATCTTGTGCGATGAATATTGCACAACTTTTATATATCTCGTGTGTGGTTATCACATCGATCGGTGTGATCGATGTGATCGATGCCGTGGACTATATAATACGCTTCGAGACGAAGAAGTCGCGCTGCCTGAATCCCCCCAGGACCGCCCGCAAGGTGGAGTCCGTCATCAGAGACTGCCAGGACGAGGTCAAGACCAAGCTAGTGAATGGTGCGTTCAGCAATCAAGGAATCCACCCACAACTCACTCACTCACCCACTCACTCTAATGGTTCCTCCACAGAGGCCTATGAAATACTGAAGGAGCAGGTGTCGCACGATCGGCCACCCATCGATGCCAACGATGATGCCATCGACTTTATCGGGTCCTCACACATAGAACTGGAGCATCCACCAGACCATGAGCCCGCCCTAAATGCCAGCCACTACGAATATATATTATTCGATGAGCCCGAACCACAGCGCCGCATGTCGCGGCTCATGAAGAACATTCGACGTCTGGATGTGGCCCGTTCGGGCATTTATCATCCCACTCTGGTGCCGCTGGAGGATAAGCGCATAGCGGGGGTAAGTGATCCATCCCCAAGGGCAGCCGGTGGGGAGCCATCTTCAGGTGTTAATGAAATGCAAAGCCAACGCTCAATTAAGTTCAATGGCAGCCCAAAGAAAAACAATATGGCCAGAGAATAATCACAGCTCCCCATCCCCACCCCCACCCCCCCCCACACACACACACTGTTTGCCACTCCCCCATTTGCCCAATCAGCTCGCCCATGTTAAAGTCAGGGTTAATAGACAATTGAAAGAAAAGCGCTAGGCCACTGTGCAGTTGCCACTGCACATTTTCATTGCATTTTCAGTTCCATTCATAATCACACGCCTCCCTGGGTCCAAGGGGGGTTGGTGTCTCAGGGGGGGTCTGAGGGGGGTCTCAGATCTCGGGTTTTTCACACTGCAAAAAGCGCACTTAATACACATTAGCTGGATTTTATGCATCAGCAAATTGAATGGCTGCCATTCGCTTTTTTGATCGTTCCCCCCGCACTCCCATCATTTCGCCCCCTTTAGTGTCTGCTGCACTGCGTCTATGCCAAGAACCATGCCATCGATCATATGGGCTGGCCCACACTGGACGGACTGGTGCAATTCTACTCGGAGGGCGTCCATGAGCACGGATTCTTTATGGCCACACTGCGGTCGGTGAATCTCTGCCTGCGGGCCATGACCACCAAGTACCGTGTCAATCGCAAGACGCTGCCGCAGAAAGGTGAAAGCTGCGATTTGGCTTTCGACGTCTTCGACTGCATATCGGACCAAATTACAGGCTATTGCCTGGATCAGTATAGCCGGTATTAGCCTGTATGTATTGGCTTTTGTGTGTGCTGTGTGTGTGTGTGTTTCTCTATATGTACCTGTATCTGTATCTGTCTGTGTTTGTCAATAAAATGTTTAGTGCAAGTCCAATTGAAAGTTACGACCAATACCATGGTTGAAAAGGATGGTAAGAAAACCTAATTAGGACTGGTATACCCTAAACATAGAGTATGTAACGCTTCCAAAAGGAATAATACGGAATACGGATTGAGAAATCTGGTTCAAAGGAGTTCTATGATAGAAGCTCCACAAACACTCGTTAAATTGGGGTATAATCTCGATATTTACAGAGATTAAAATGTGGGGAACCTATAAGTTTAAATAAAACAACAACAGGTGGAAATTTGCTACACCTCCATGTACATGTAATGTACACGCCAGTTTGGCTCCATCTGGTGACCGTTTATGGTCACCAACTAGCTAGTAATATTAAACGGAATATCAAAATCGAGGAATAATCATGTCACTACATATCATGGTATGGCAGCCCGCAGCAACTACGAATTGCACGAGTCTGGCAGCGCCACAAAAACGTATCAAAATATCGATACTATCGATAGTGGCTCACAATTAAACACAGAAATGAGTCCGGAGAGCGTTTTGAGTGCTCTCTTTCGACTGGGTCGTGGCAAGGTATGGCCCCAGTATTAAGACGGCCAAACTTTTTTAAGGGCCTCGTAAGGACCTCACCCTAGCCCCGACGGAATAAATATACCATGTTTGCGCGAAAGCACAAAATCCCGCACGGTGAGTTATGTGGTGAGGTGGGTTTTTTCCTTGAAAGCTCTGGATTCTGTGACGTCATACTTCACAGCTCATACCCTTATCCTTGCGGCGCAATCAAAAGTTCCACTTCAAGAAACGATAACGATAAATGATAACAACCAATGTTTTGGTCGGCGAATATTAAATTATATCAAAATCGAGGAATATCAACGTTGAAAAAAACAATCGATGCTATCGTAATATTATCGGCCTCAAATATTTATTGGAAACCATTGAAACCTTTTAGGAACTTGTCCATTGTAATAATTAGATCCCACCTGTCGATTTGTTTGCAAATTTGTCTTCGTATTTTATAGCAGCCAATCCAAACATATCAAAAGCGCAACGACTGTAGCTCGATACTATCATGATAGCCTCAAAACCATCGATAGTAGAGGCTAGCAGCAAAATATCAATACTATCGATAGTGCCCTCTTTGGTTTGACACCTCTAGTAAATATGTTTTAAATTTTAAATTTAACTTAATTAAATTACTTAAGTGCAAGGCTAACAACAAGTGCAGCGTGCAAAATTCTATAGTGTATGTGTCTGTTGCAGTTGTTTAAATAATAGTGTATGTGAAGGGGCTTTCACTTTTTGCCCCGTTCCCCCGCTTTTCGTGTGAGATTCCTGGAATTTAAGACCATTTAGTGTCAACCGCATGGTCAGCACTCCTCGGGAGTCGGTGAAGATCCCCGGATTCGTTAATATAAATGAATTCCATGAAACAAAGCCTTTTTCTTGGGCCTGGCAAAGGACTGTTCTTATATAACATAACTCGAGTGCAGGTGGGCGGTGAACCCTCAGTATGCGCTTGCGCCTGCTAATCGCATGAAAAGTGAAATTTCCCTATGATTTTCCCGCTGTCTGCAGTTGCTGCTGCTGCCGCCGACAAACGGCTACGTCACATGTGAATTTGTAAAAATTATTTCGTGTCTGCTGCATCGATGACGCAATAACTTTGCGTTCCGTTCCCCTTCCAATTGCCGCGTGTGCTTTTTGCGTTCGCGCTTGTGAATCATCAATCAACTCGAGAAGAAAGCGCGCGGCACAGTTAGTTTTGCTTTTGTTGTGGAAGCGGAGAGGGAGGGGAAGCATAACAAGTTGTTGCTCTTTTGTTGTTGCCAGTTACATGTGTGCATAAAAATGGACTCTATGACTCTCAAACCTGTGATAAGGAGGGTTTGATAGTCCCAGATCAGGGCATTATTGCAGTTCTCTCTCCCTCTCTCGTGTCTTGAGCTTTACTCTCGCCCTCTCTTGCTCAGTGTGCGCGTCCTTGCCCTCTTCTTATTTCTCTTTCTGCGCTCCTTGGCCTGCCTCTTCTTCTACCATGGCCAGCTGTGTGTCGGAGGGGGCTCGTCTAGCTTGGCGCCTCAATGAAATGCAGTTGCAGGGTGGTTTCTGTCCCCGCTAAGTGGAGACTCGCCTTATCGATTGAGTGTCTGCAATTCCGCACCTTTGAGGCCCATTTAAATTGATAAAACAAATGCCAAGCGCGTGTATGAACTTGAAAATGTAATTGATTAGCCGGGGGAGGGGCGTAATCGATACGCTCTTTATTATTAACCAGGAGAATGTACATATTTCTCTCCCCCCTTCAATTCCCTTTCAATGTGTGGTCGGCTCTTTTGAAAAGGCGGCCGGCTGTCGGGCGGGCGGACTTTGGTTTGTTGTAAACAAAATTCTAGCTATAAATAGGGGAAGAGAGCTGAAGAGCAAATTCCCCCTATTGGCCCTATGTACCAGAAGAAAGACGCAGATAAAGAGCGAGAACGAGAACCGACAAGATAAGTAAAGGAAGTTGTATGTGCGATACCTGGATTGTTATCAGCACTGAGTGGCCATACCCCCTTTTCCTTGAGCTACAGAGCTGTACAGTGTACACCCACCCACTCCCACACACACACACAGATGCGCTTTTGCAGTGTCATGTGCCCATTTTCTGTATTTCCATTGTGTTTTTTTTTTATCACACGACGCTCTCTGTTTTCCTTTCCTTCCGTTCGCTTTGAACGAAAGAAAACGCAAAATGAGAGGAGGTAGCCAGCCAGCCAGCCGACCAATTCGATTTCTAAAATGTATCTCCCTCTCGGTGGGCCGACTGTTGGCAGTCGACGCGCAGCACTCAACACGAACAAACGTATCTGTCAGATACGACGTGACGAGTAATATATATTCGGTTGGTTTTTGGAGCAATCCGCATACAGTATATAACGCGTATATATAATCGCATAGCGGTGTATTCCCCACTGCAGTGTATATAATTAGTCGGACGGTGTTTTTCGGGCAATCGAAAGTAATATTTGAGCGAGTCGATACGCCTGTCGAGTCACGCTCCAAAAGGGGGCGGTGGGGCAAAAGTGCAACCTCATGGCTCTCGCTGGCAATGGAGAGTGTTATTTCACACCAATTAGCATCCGATCGGGAGGAATCATCCATCGTCAGGGCACCGCATTCCGCATAATATTCATCTATATTTCTGCTCTCACGCGGGTTGCTTTGCTGCTTTTTTTGCACTTATGTAATAATGTTTTCGTAACCAAAGCGGCAGCGTTAGCGTCAGCTGCGACGGCAGCAGCAGCGAGCGGCGACGTCAACGTTCATTTCTGAGCAGAATTTAATTGCAAGAAAAAACAGTTTGTGTAAAATGCCAGCACAAAACAAGCAAATAGATAAATAACGGCACTTAGCGGCGAAAATTGAATTATCTTAAACTGTATTTGTGCACAAACACAGATGTCTATATGCACATACATATCTACATATGTACATACATATATTCGTGTTTGTTAAATCAGTTTGGTAATCGAATCGAATCGAAGTGCCTGCACTTTCAAAATATTTCACATTGACCAGACCGCCACTTCAAACCGGTTTACCCTGTCGCTTCCAATCGTTTTGTAATCTCTCCTCCAGGCGCGGCAAATTTGTCTGGCGAGGCAGGGAGACGAGACCCTCCCCTCCTACTATGTTGATAAGAGCATGTGACCCGGGCCACGCCTTCGGAAACCGAATTCTGCTTTTTGATTCCCGATTTTTTTGATTTTCCCCATTTGTGTGGATTTATTTTTGCATAGAGCAGCTGATTAGGCCCCTCAAATATTCAATTACGACATCCGCACGCGCTGCCTTATCAAAAATTCATTAATAATATGACAATATTTTTGGGGTCTGTGGCAACTTCCACCGGTCGCTGATAGTACCGTCTGCGTGGCCTGATCTTGATCCAGAACGTATCTACTATATGTTTGGTATTACGTTTCTCGTCTACTTGGGCCCATATGTTTAGTCATGATTCGCCAGTATGTATTTATGATGTCTCGCGAGTCGCGACCGACCTCGGTACATTCACATTTGACGTTATCTTTCCTCTACCCTTTGCCTTTGCCCGTTGCCTCCACCTTTGCCTTGGCTGTTCCGTAAACTCGTTTCCCAAAAAGCAGGTGAACGCTCACGATGAGCAAAGAAACGGTCGCTCGTTTTATTTAACAGGCAAATATTAAGAAAGACTGATTAAGCTGCAAGCGAAATAAAACTGCGCAAAAAGCGGCAACATTCTCTCTCCTCTCTCTCTCCTCTGAGAAGTATATAAAAGCCATTTCACCATTCCCCATTTCGCATTCCCGTTGCCCAAACAGAAAAGGGGCAAAGTGTCTTTGTTGCTTGGTATTTCTTGGCTGGTTATCAAAAAGACGAAGGCCGCCCCCCCAGAAAAAAAAACAGCCCACGCCAGAGTTTGACGTCATTATCGGAGAAGCAGCAAAGTCAGCCGCTAGCCAGTCAGCCAGCCAGCCAGCGATCGTTGTGAGCGTCACGTGTGTGCTGCCCAAGTTTCCAATACTATTCCATTGCTATAGGGAGCTTTGAGGTCTACGAGTAGTCTAGCCCCAAGAGCCAGACTCACATATGTAAATTGCCCCCGTGCTCCCGTGTGCTCCGCCACAACTTGTTTTGTGCGTAAATTTCATAAGAAACCGACAAGCCGATAAATTGCTGGGCTAGCAACAAGTATTCATTGGGGTTTTTTTTTTTGTATCGTTTGATCGAGTGTGACACACTTAGAACATGACCATGACGTACAAAAACTACTCTTCGGGGCAACCTTATCTTATCAGACTTACAGCAGCCAGACAGAGGCTGATTGCTGACGGGGGTGCTGTTTGCTGCTACGTGCCTTGTTTGTCAACAATTGAACGCAACAAACAAGGCATTCGATTATGTATCTGTATATGTATATTAACGATTTCATTCTGCTGCCCTGCCCTCCATTTGCAGTTCTATTTTGTAAAGCTACAAAATGCATAGAGCACACACAGCCTTCAGTCTGGCATTGTCGCCAATGGCGCACAGGAACTTTGCCACATGGCTGCTCAAGAGCGGCACCAGCCAAAAGGTAAGCTCCAGAGGATAACCCAGAATCCAAATTCAAAATACTAATATTCGATTGCTTGCAGCTGGCCAAGGCGACAGCAGCCGCCGCTGTGCGTACCTACAACTCGGCTGCTGCCGAGCCCTTTGCCAATGGCAGCACGGCCACCTATGTGGAGGAGATGTACAACTCATGGCTGCGTGACCCAGCCTCTGTGCATACAGTAAGTGTTTTGTTGTTGTTAGAACGCCTCGGGCAGCACCTTCTTATGGATATTTGTTTACTTGACAGTCCTGGGATGCCTACTTCCGCAGCAACACGTACACCAGCCCACCCAATCTGGCGCCCGTGCAGGCCAACACCTTGCCTTTGACGGCCTTCAATCTGGGTGGCGGTGGCGTAGCCGGAGCTGCGCCCGACTCCAAGACCATCGATGACCATCTGGCCGTGCAGGCCATCATCCGGAGTTATCAGGTACGTCGGATCGTGCTGGCCCTCGTCGATCCATCCTCGCAGTTGAGATTGCAGCAGCCACAGCGCAGGCAACGCTAGAGGCACAGTGAAACGTATTCGCTGGCGTCGCTTTTTGTTTCGTTTTAGGTTCAGTTGAATGTTTATGTTTATGGATTATTAGAGAGCTGCCTCCACTCCACCACAACCCCCCACCCACCCACTGTTATGTGTGTTCATTTTTGTTCATATATACCCCTCAGACTCCACTCCAGTATCCAATATCCAGATCATTCCGAATATTCAGTACACAAAGTAGTAGCATTTGGCATCCACCAAACCAAACCAAACCAACCCAAACCAAACCATCCATGCGATATTGATTATTGATTTAGTTGGTAGCTTTGTAAGATATGTTCTGTGTGGGGATTCGCACCATTCCATCACAGTATTCCATCTTCCATTGGGGTACCTACAACATTCACGAGTAGTTTTGGTCTTTCTGTTCCCATCATTTCCATTGATTTATTTATTGTATCTGCGGGCTGTCATTTCCCATGTCAGTAGTTTTTTATATGCATTGAACACAACTAAGATTAGTTTTAGTAAAGGATCTCTGGGCGGGAATTACGATCTTTAGCTAAGAGTAAATGCCAGTGATAAAGTTATGATCCTTTTAGTTTGATTCCTGTTGATTTGTAGCTGATTTTGTATAGTATATCGCGACACACGAAAACCTACTGCTCTCCCACCCACTGCTCCTCCGTTATACACCATCATATAATCAATCAATCAATCAATCTATATCTATGATATGTACGCACCATATATAGTCACGTGGTCATTTGGCATCTGAAGTGGATCCGCTTGGAATCTTAACGCGCGAAAAAACCGTTTGCAAGGATGGTCTAGCACGTCGTGCTAACGAAGATGTGCTACGGCAGCACTCTGGGTTTTTGTTTGGTAAATTCTCTTTTACAAAACTCTCCCCCACCCCTGTCTCTCTCTCTCTCTGTCATCTAACCACCCCCCCAATGTTGCACCATCCAAAAACCTCATCCACACTTAAACCACAGAAACACCCACACCCACCCTTCAAAAAACATAAACTACATATTTTAAAAGTGCTTTTCAATTAATATTTAACTGAAGAGAATGTTAAGTGAAATTCGGAGTTGATGAAACCAGGGCATTCCAATCAGGGAATAGATAACTATACCATACTATATTAAATGTAGATCCATTCCGCCCTATATTACGTTATAAGTTAGCAGCAACAAATGTTGCGTTTAGTTCTGGTTTAAGTCTAGTATGAGTATCATACTGTATGTAAGTGTAAGTAATATCCTTTGGTGTATGGCTTTCACTCACAGTTCAAAAGTTACTCTTTCTTTTTCGCTCTCTCACCCTTTTCACGTCTCTCACTCTCTCTCTCCCTCTCTATATATATATCTCTGTTTTTTTGTGTGCACCCTGTTGTTCGCTGCGTTCCGTTCCTGTTGATTAACAATCCTCCATCCTCCGATCCACACCCAAACCCACACCCAAACAGCCTCATTGTGCCGTCCAAACTACTGACTGGAAGATCTCTTGTGGCAGCTTTTAGTGTCTCGCTTTAATTTGTGTTTGTTTGTTTTTTGTTTAGTTTATTACCCACTCTCTGCCAGTCTACAACTTATAATTGATTTACTTATCTCTTCTTTTTTCCATTTATTTTTATATATTTATAACCTAAACGCTTCCTAACCGCTAAATGTAACAAAAATCGAAACAAACTGCAATCAAAACTCGAAAACCAAAAACAACAACAACAAACCAAACCAAACCAAAACGTTAAAACCAAAAATTCCAAATTCTCTCTCTCTTTTTGTATAATTATATGTGTGTGTATTGTGTGTGAAAATCTAAAACCAAATCGAAAACAAACAACGAACAAACATTGTTAATACTACCAAAAAAAAAAAAAAACGACCACCCACACACACACAAACCACACACACACACACCACTCCAAAAAACCCAACCAACAATACTCACACACGTTAGATACGAGGACATAATATTGCTCACCTCGATCCACTCGAAATTAATTCACCAGAATTGCCTGGCAACTCCTCGACGAAATCCATTTACGCTAATTTCAGTTTCGGTAAGTAAACGTGTCCTTCCTCCCCCTTTCCTATCGAGCTTGTGGCCAGAAACCCAAACCCAAACCCAACCCAAATCCCCGAAACCCCATTTTTAGTTACATTTTTAACTCTCGTGTTTTGTGTTGTAAATACCTGTGTCCTGTACGTTTAGTCCTTAAGTCCCATATGAAAGCACTCCTGAAAATATGCAAATGAAAATGCCGAGTACTACTGTTGTACGTTGTGGTAGTGACGTTTTTCTATCTTTCTCACGCATACACGATATACTCTACTCCTCCTTGACATCAAAATCGACCTCACCAACAAAACAAAATGTACCAAAAATGATATATAGAACCAAGTAAATATGCGCCCATATATTACATCTATTCTATATATTTACATATATATATATATTGCCAGAACAATTTGTGTTACATTTGTATTGTTATTTTTATTAAACGTAATTTGTTGTTAATTTGAGTGTCGTGACAGACATCTATCCATTACTTAAAGTACTCCTCTATACTATAACTTTTAAGAATGTCACGTACTATATGTAGATTGCATGCTAATTTTGTTGATTGAAAGTTGATTGAAGTGAAGTGAACTGAAGCGAAACGAAGGGGTAGAAAGGAATCGATTGATAATAGTCTGATTGTCGGAGGGTTTTGGGGATTATTAACCAATTAAATTGAAGTGTTCTCTAATGCATGACATCTCTCCCAGCTACAATCGAATAAATGAGAACCAGTTGAGAGAACCGTGATGAGCATGCTGAGCATCTATCTGTCTGTACCCCCCTATATACACCACCCCACCTACCGCCTACAATATACTAAATACTCTATCTAGAAGCAACAAATCATTACACTCCGAATTTCAAACCAAAACATTTGCCGCCTACAAACTACTAACCCACCCCCCTAAAACACACACCAAGACACACTTCACACTCCTGCCAACCACAAAGAGCACTTCACTAATATATGATACCCAATCCACCTCGAAAAAAAAAAAAAACAGGCGAACAGGACATGGAGCGGCAGTTCAAGCTACCCAGCACCACCTTCATTGGTGGCGATGAGGCCTCGCTGCCACTCAAGTGAGTAACAGATCTGCCCCCTAAAGGAAGGAATCCCTCACTGAAACTGCAACTCGTTTCTGCTTTAGGGAAATCCTGAACCGCCTGGAGAATGTCTACTGCAACAAGATCGGTGTGGAGTTCATGTTCATCAACTCGTTGGAGCAGTGCAACTGGATCCGCAAGCACTTTGAGACGCCCGGCGTGCTCAACTTCTCGCCCGAGGAGAAGCGTCTGATCCTGGCCCGTTTGACACGCGCCACTGGCTTCGAGGCCTTCCTGGCCAAGAAGTACTCGTCGGAGAAGCGTTTCGGCCTGGAGGGTTGCGAGATCATGATCCCGGCCCTCAAGGAGATCATCGATGTGTCCACAGAGCTCGGCGTGGAGTCCGTCATCATGGGCATGCCCCATCGCGGACGCCTCAACACCTTGGCCAACGTATGCCGCAAGCCCCTGAACCAGATCTTCACCCAGTTTGCTGGCCTGGAGGCTGCCGATGATGTGAGTAAATGGAGCGCATCTGCTGCAGAATAGAATCTAAAGAGTTCTTTCCTCGTTAGGGCTCGGGCGATGTCAAGTACCATTTGGGCACCTACATTGAGCGTCTGAATCGTGTGACGAACAAGAACATCCGCCTGGCCGTGGTGGCCAATCCCTCCCATCTGGAGGCTGTCGATCCCGTGGTGCAGGGCAAGACCCGCGCCGAGCAGTTCTACCGCGGCGATCAGGAGGGCAAGAAGGTCATGTCCATTCTGATTCACGGCGACGCCGCCTTCTGCGGCCAGGGTGTCGTCTACGAGACGATGCACTTGTCGGATCTGCCCGACTACACCACCCACGGCACCATTCACGTGGTGGCCAACAACCAGATTGGCTTCACCACCGATCCCCGCTTCTCGCGCTCCTCCCCCTACTGCACGGACGTGGCACGCGTGGTCAATGCCCCCATTTTCCACGTGAACGCCGACGATCCCGAGGCGGTGATGCATGTGTGCAAGGTCGCCGCCGAGTGGCGTGCCACCTTCCACAAGGACTGTGTCATCGATCTGGTCGGCTACCGTCGCAACGGACACAACGAGATCGACGAGCCGATGTTCACGCAGCCCCTCATGTACCAGAAGATCAGGAAGCACAAAAACTGCCTGGATCTGTACGCTGACAAGCTGATCGCCGAGGGCACCGTCACCGGTGAGGAGGTCAAATCGGTGGCCGCCAAGTACGAGAACATTTGCGAGGAGGCCTTTGCCCTGGCCAAGACCGAGACCCATGTCAAGTACAAGGATTGGTTGGACTCGCCCTGGTCTGGCTTCTTCGAGGGCAAGGATCCCCTGAAGGTGGCGCCCACTGGCGTCAAGGAGGAGACCCTGATCCACATTGGCAACCGCTTCTCCATGCCACCGCCCAATGCCGCTGAATTCGTGATCCACAAGTGAGTTTTACCGCAGCAACTTCGAAGTTGCGAATTCCAGCCCTAATTGTGTCCTTTATTGTCGTCTAGGGGTCTGATGCGTGTGTTGGCCGCCCGCAAGAACATGGTCGATGAGAAGATTGCCGATTGGGCGCTGGGTGAGGCCATGGCCTTCGGCTCGCTGCTGAAGGAGGGCATCCATGTGCGTCTGTCCGGACAGGATGTGGAGCGCGGCACCTTCTCGCACCGTCACCACGTGCTGCACCACCAGCTGGTGGACAAGGCCACCTACAACTCGCTGCAGCACATGTACCCCGACCAGGCGCCCTACTCCGTCTCGAACAGCTCGCTGTCGGAGTACGCGGTGCTGGGCTTCGAGCACGGCTACTCGATGACCAATCCCAATGCTTTGGTGCTGTGGGAGGCACAGTTCGGAGATTTCAGCAACACGGCCCAGTCGATCATCGATCAGTTCATCTCCAGCGGACAGTCGAAGTGGGTGCGCCAGTCGGGCCTGGTGATGCTGCTGCCGCACGGCATGGAGGGCATGGGACCCGAGCACTCCTCGTGCCGCGTGGAGCGTTTCCTGCAGATGAGCTCCGACGATCCCGACTACTTCCCACCCGAGTCGGATGAGTTCGCTGTCCGTCAGCTGCACGACATCAACTGGATTGTGGCCAACTGCACGACGCCCGCGAACCTCTACCACATCTTGCGTCGCCAGATCGCTCTGCCCTTCCGCAAGCCCCTGATCCTGTGCACGCCCAAGTCGCTGCTGCGCCACCCGGAGGCCAAGAGCCCCTTCAGCGAAATGAGCGAGGGCAGCGAGTTCCAGCGCATCATCCCCGACAACGGGCCGGCTGGCCAGAATCCCGCCAGCGTGAAGAAGGTCGTCTTCTGCTCGGGTCGCGTCTACTACGATCTGACCAAAACACGTGCCGAGAAGCAGCTGGAGAGCGACGTTGCCATTCTGCGTGTGGAGCAGGTGAGTCCTTGTCCCAGATATCCTTATGAGCACTGCTAAATGTCCTTCTCTTTTCCACGCCGCGCAGATCTCGCCCTTCCCCTTCGATCTGGTCAAGGAGCAGGCCAATCTGTATAAGAACGCCGAGCTGGTCTGGGCCCAGGAGGAGCACAAGAACCAGGGTAGCTGGACCTATGTCCAGCCCCGTTTCCTCACCGCACTCAACCACAGTCGCGATGTCAGGTAGGTGCCAGGGCCAAGGCCAGGACTAAACTTTAAGCAAAGAAACACACGACCCGACCACCACCTGAAACCCCCCAACCAGCCCCATCGCTCTCTTGGGTAGACTCTCTCTCTGTCTCTGTTTCTCTCTTAATTTTTTCTCTGTCCTCAGAGTGCACCTCTGGACTCTCTCTCATCGTGCACTCTTGACTCGTTACGTCTTTGATTCTCTTCTCTTACTATCCTTTTGCTATTGTTTCACTATTTTCACTATTTTTGCATTAACCGATCATTTGATTTGACTCTCTTCTCCTCATTTTCACACACCCAAACGCTCATTGGTATCACCTCTCGCACCCATCACTCCTCGCAATGCCTTTAGCTATTTATTATTCACATGGATTTACTTATCTGCCCAAGCAAAGGCTTCTCTCTCTCTCTCTATATATCTCTCATTCTCAGTAGCTAGTCTTAGCCCTAGAAGTAATACCAAAAACATTCCACACACCAGACAACACACTCCACAACACAACACAACACACACATTGAACCCATAGAAAACCGCTTCGAATCGTTCTTTTCCGTTTGTTTCTTTTCGTTTCGGATGAGCATGTCCACCCACTGCAAGCACTTCAAGAAATGAACATTTGTCACCGTCGTGATTGCTTAATTGTATTCAGAACAAAAATTGGTCACCCAGCAGCGATTCCACATCAATTGATTGATTGGCTTCACTTCACCTCATACTATATCGTATTTCGTATATCGTGACAAAGACTATACAAATATCAATAAACGAGTATTGGATTGGTATTTCTGTAGTCTGCGTTGTGTCATCCTATTTTCCATCCTTACTTTGCATGGCTTCTTATTTATGATTTCATCGTTTAATTCTGATTCTTCTGAATCTATTGTTAAGTTCTCCTTCTTTACTAATCGAAATTGTTTGCAAAAGAAGAGCAGACCGAAGAAACCAAAGAAAATTGTTGTTATTTTTTTTTTTTGTATTTTTTAAATCCCTTGTTTATCCAATATTCCTATATCCATATCCGTTGTGTAAATACTTCGTATGTATTGTATAAATCGTTTGATATCAATTGGCAAAACAAAAACAAAAAACAACCTGAAAAACCCAACGAGAAACCCAAGAAAAACCCAACGAAAAATATCCAAAGAAAAACCAAAACGAATCGAAAACCAAACCAAACCAAAAACATATCCTCTCTCTCTTTGTCTCTCTCTCTCTCTCTTCTCTCTCTCTGTGTATGTGTTATTGTTGCAGCCAAAGCGATGATCCAATGTCCTACTCCAATACAACAACCAATACTACCACTACTACTACTGATCATACTAATATTGAATCCGCATCCGAACCCGAATCGAAACCCTGGCTAAGCCGCATGTTCGCCTCGAATAAGAGTGACGGTTCGACGGACGGTGGTCCAGCCACTGGCGACTTCAATGCCGCCAAGCATTTTGACCTCAAAAATGTACGACACGATTTCAATAGGCCCGCGGGCAATGCGGCCGCCCCGGGTGCGCGCATCTCGAAAACCGGACGCAAAATTAGGTGAGAGGGCGCAACCAGCTGCGTGTGTGTGTGTGTGTGTGGCTGTGCCCACCAACTGCCCACCAGCTACCGTTTACAGTTTAAACAAAAATAAATAGCAAGCAAGCAAGCAAGCAAAGTACTCGATGCGCGTGAAACAATTAAACTAAATCTAAAACTATAAACTAAACTATCCACATCTATCAATTAACTATCTAATCAAAACTATCTACTATCTGCAAATATTAACTCTACTCCTGCTCCCCCTACCAACCAGAGCTACCCCTCGAAATACTCAAACCAAAATTAATACTCTCTCTCTCTGTCTCTCTCTCTGTTTGTCTCTCAGTTTTGTTTAACTCCTCATTTGTCTTTTGTTTCTGTTTCCACCCAGAGATTGTTTCCCCCGTTTACCCTTTTTGATTTCTGTTTCCCCCAAAGCGCTGTGCGGCATGAATGTTTTTGTGTTCCCTGGGCCAAGTACTACTTCCCCCCACACACAAGAACCAACAACACACAATAATACTTAACACCCGCTAATACTTCTAATTCGAATTCTAATTTCTGTTTGGAGCACGCGCGTTTTGTCGGAAGTTTTGCATTTGTTTTTTTGATATGTTTCTGTTTGTTGTTTTATTTGGCCCCCCCGCTAAAGAGGGATAACACCCCAATTCTAATCCTTTGCATAGTCTAACCCAGATCGTTCCATCAACTGTAATCCAGTGTATGTGTGTTGTCCAACATGATGTACATATATATACGAATACCCAGACACAGACACACACTTCCCACACACTAGAGATATAGTGAAGCTAGTGTTGATCGATCAGCTTGATCGGATACCCGAAACTAGAATGTTTCCGCAATGGTTAGGTGATCCAACGAATGGGGAGGGGGGTCTATGTTTTACTGCCCCTGGGAGTCCATTTCTATGTTTTGGGTTCCAACTGCACCCTCGAACGTGTTCTACTCGTATCATTTCTAATATACTTTATATCTAATACTTTGCGCCTGCTTTAACCCCTTCATTTCATTGAGCATACATACTAGATAACCATAACTGTGTGCTAAAATCTGCTAACTCTAAGTACTACATAGAACTACTGTTTAGTGCATGTGTTTCTAACCGAATCCAGAGCCGAATGTTTTGTGAAACTCACCCTCGAAATCGACCAGAACAATGTCCATCTCTAATCCGTATAATCCTTCAATATCCACAGCTATACCGGACGCGCTGCAAGCGCCTCGACCGCCACTGGATCCAAGGCCCAGCACATTCGCGAGCTGAATGCGCTGCTCAACGATGCGATTTCAACCTAAGAAGGTGGATAGATGGATGGATGGAGGATGAATACTAATTACGATTATATTTTGTATGGAAACGTATGCAGACTCTTTGATACGATGATTTTTTGCTGACGAATTGTTAAGTGCATTGTGTGAAAGTAATGAAATGTTAAAATTAGTTTAGTAAAATTACAAGCGAAACAAAAAAAAGCAAAGCAAAACGGCAAACAAGCAACAACCGACTCACAGTAGTAGTTCTACGTACATCTTTAATGCAAAACTAAAGAGCCGAGTAAATCTAGTGAATATATAGCACCCAGCCGCATACGCTACGCATCCCCTGATGTGATGGTGGGTGGATGGGTGGGTTATGTCTATAGACCGACCGCAAAGATCACAATATTTTTCAGAATGAATAAAACCCTTGCTAATCCTTATTTCTTACTCCTATGTTTAATATTTATTTTATTGTATTATATATAATTAAACTATCTCAGAAACCGAGCAACATCGATCGAGCGGTGCAAGAAATCATTTCACATTTTTTTTCGTTATTTTGTTTGCCTAAGTTACACACAAATTTTGTTTAAATAAATAAACCATTATTAATACCTTACCAACACATACAATGATAAGCCAACAGAGCTGTGCTTTAAGGGTAACGTAAGGCTGGTATCTATCGCTGGCGCCATCAGGGATACAATACACCGAGTCGAGATTGTCGAACTGGAAAGTTCTTAACCATTTGTAGCATCTAGAATTAAACAAACAAAACCAAGCAACCCTTCTTGAAGCGCATCTGAATGCAGCTGTTATACATTATTTTTGCCTTGATCGTGAATTTGTTTTGAATTTTAATAATAATAAAATATATAATATATACGATATGCATGTAGATCGTGTCCGATCAGGACCTGTTATACAACAACAATCTCTCTTTATATAATATTAACGACAATGCACTTTTTCTCGCACCAATATAAAATATTGAAACGTAGAGTGATAAAAAAGCTAAGGGAATAAACTTTTCCAAGAAAAACCAAAATAAGAAAAACTATTTTACAATACAAAAAGAGCGAGAAGCGGGGAGAGAGTATGTGTGTGTCGAGAACTTTATCTTACCCCAAAAAAAAAAAAAACCCTCTACGATATTTTAATGTTTCTAACAAACGATATTTAGATCACAACTTTGCACCAAGTACGAGTATGTAAGTTAGTAGCTTGTTTAAATCAAATGCAAACAAAAATAGCAACAGATCTGCTAAGGAGAGACTTTCATGGGAATGTACTATAAACGGAGGGAGATTAACAATACAAATATGTATGATTGAAATATACAATTTACTATTAAAAAAGCATGATACATCAACACATGTGTTTCTTACTCTATCGAACAAACTGTTGAGGATCACTGCCAAAGAATCATTCGGCAGCAGAGAGCAGCAAGCAGCCTTCTCTGAGTCCGAAAACCCGTTCTGCGAATTGTCTTCGTCTGTTTTGGAAACTCACTGCCTAGATTTTCAATAGGAAGTTGGCCGACCAGACTCTGTCCAGCCGCTGAGCATTTTCCATTTTCACTGCCAATTCTAGGCGCACTTTCACATGACTCTGCCGCCGGCGGCGAGCTCTTCTGGTCTTCCTGTCTGACAACTCGGACAGCCCCAATTGGGCAGGAAAAGTGCTCACTTTTGGTTAATTTCCACCCAGCTGGTTCCCCGCTGCAAAAAGCCATTTCATTGAACATCTTCGACTCGTCATTCTGCTTCACTTTTTCGCATACTTTCTAATGTGGACAGTTTTGGTTGTGTGTGTGTCGCCCCGCAGGCCATCAAAGCGTGTCTCTCTCGGGGCTTGGGCTCTGGCTGTGGCTCATGTTCCCGGTAATGGAGCATATCAGAAGCAGCCACCGACGTGCCTGGAATTCTTGATTTTTATTTTACGTCTTTTGCGCATGCTCTCGCAAGAAATAACTCCAACAAAACAGAGATCTGGCGTAGCCATAAGCTGTGAAAGATGCGTGGATTCACAATCAGAGTTCCTTATCCTATCCTAGCACATAAGGTTGGGTATTTCATACCAAATGTAGAACAAAAGCTCTACCTACCTGTTGCCTACCTTCACGCAAACACCGTATACCCTTCAAGTCCGTTATGCACCAGGTATACTCGTAAAAACAATAAACCGCAGCCAGCCAAAAAAAAAAACAACAATACAAAAAGTTTCACGCGAAAAGTAAACGAAAAGTGGAATTGGGACAGCTGTCGTTTACCGCTTTGGGGGGAAAAAAAAGAGCGGAGAGTTCTTCTCCCTACGTAGATTTGTTTTGTTGAGTGCCTGAAAGCTTGACCCTCGGCACTCGGTCGAAGCTCCCGAAGTTCGAGCGGGCGGGCGTTGCGGTCTCCACATCGATAGCAAAGTGTTATTGTTGGGGCCGCCTCCGAGCTTTGAGCTTTGCTTCGTCTCGGCCGGGTATCGGTAACAGTCTTCCAGTGCCCGGCGAACGCGACCGAACGCGATCGTCCCGTCCCGTCCATTAACGCGTATCGCATGTTACGCGCTTAATTGTGCTCAAAATCGATTGGCGTTGTGCAACGTTTGTGATTGTTTGATTGATCGGTTCGCTGCAACTGCAGCTGGCAATCATCAGGAGTGTCAGTGTGTGTGTGTGTGTGTGGTTTGTGGAAAGTAAAAGTAGAAGATGTGGCAAGTGTCGGGGCTGCTTCTGCCGCTCTGACGGCACCCCGGGAAAGTGCACAAAAGATTGGCCATTGACAGTGGCCCATCAGTGGCAACAGCATGGCTAAAATGATAATTCTGCTTGGCTGATTTGTATATGAAAGCGTTGAAAAGATAATGCTTGGTCATTAGATTATGTAAGAAGTGAACCGCGCTTGATTAGCATAGATATAAAGAGAGTGAAACATTCGTGGCGACTGATTGATTTAAAGCTGCTAAATATACACATTTCGGACTTGGCACTGGCATCCCACTGGGGATTATTCATACTTAGATAAGCGACAGGAACGGCCTCCAAAATGTAAGTACAAATGCCGGGCAAAGGAATCGCAAAATGCAGACTGATAAGAGCATTGAAAACTGCAATTCGATAGTGGAGAACAATGAGCAAGAAACAATGCTGGGGCACTGATAAATGCCAGCACTTGTACGTCCAATCTGGGGGGGCACACAACATTTACGATAAATATACTCGCTAAGTGGAAGGTCTACACAAATGTGATTTTATATCAACTAACCCTTGTTCATTTCCGCTCCAGCGAGCTTCCACTGTATCCACATACATATCTGTTGAAATTCAGCTTGGGTTTGCTCTCCTTTTTTTAAAGCACTTCTCGATTTGTTGCTGTTGTTGTTTCTGGTGTTTTTCAACGCCCTTCTTTGCCAATTTACAGCTCTTCGCCTGCTGCCCGTGCAGTTAGAAAGCGGCCAAAAGCAAATAAAGGTCGGGCTCTGGCTCTGGCTCTGGCTGTGGTCTTTCTAACAAATTGGGTATTATGGGTATGGGCATTACGAAAGTGAAAGACCCTCGTGATGGATGATTCCCCTCCGTTCTATGGCGGGGGATTTCTTAACGGCATGTTTGTACGGCTTATTGCCAAGCCTTTGCTTGCTTTCGGATTGCCGATACTGCTGCCTGTTTCAGTTTCAGTTGCAGTCCACAGGCAACAATTCCAACAATTTCTTCCGGCAAATACAAGTTTACAAAAAAGCAAACACTTACGAATAAATATGACATATGTATGTATGTACATATGTACATATGTCCCACGATTACGATTACGATTACAATTATGTCGCTGTCTGTCTGTCAGTGTGCAATTCTGTAATACGACTAAACGACGCGTGTGTATATGGCTGTATACATTTGTAGAGGCTTCCGGTTCAGCAAAGAAGATATCACCATAATAACTCTGTTAGTTATGCGGTGCGCAAATTATGGCCCGGAGAGGGCGAGCAGCTGTAAACAGTAAACACACTGCAGCGCAGAGTTGACCACTTTCCATTTTCGTTCACATGATCCCACAGAGATCTCAACGGATAGAGAGAGAGAGAGACTCAGCAGCCTCTTTGCATAACAATTGTCTGGTGCTGGTGATCCCCCCCACCCAAAAGTACTGGCCATATAATTTGTGGACCCACGCCCACAGCGCCACAAAATTGGTCTGCGTGGGTGCTGTAATTGTAAATTTGTATCTCCTAGATACACATAATTATAATTTGTGGGTGCAGCAGTCACAGTTGTTGACAGAACTGAGCGACAGCATCGACTGGAATTGGCTATCTCCATTCCACAAAGGGGGAACTTTTTCCATAAACATTCCTCTGGCTGCATGACTCATGCCACATGCCACAGAGCGGGAGAGACGCTGTGATGCTGGTCAAAACCAGTAAGGCAGTGCTGCAGAAAAAGTGGCCGTTCGCTGCTTACTCACGTGGCCAGATCCAGATTAACCCCTTGGCCAAATTGCCAGGCGAATGCATTCGTTTCGTTTGCTGCCAGCCATTGAACTTTGAGTCTCTCTTTCTCTGACTGTCTGTCTGTCTGGTCTGTCTTTCTGTCACTCTCCTCATCAGCATTTTTGCTTAACAATTTAAACAGAGAAGTAAAACACGTCATCGTCCCATGGCTCAAATAGCTGGTGACATTTTCAATGTGAAAACTGCACCGTAAATTATGTTTGATCGCTGCGCTGATTGATCCAGAGAATGCCAATGAAGTCGTTTAGCAGCAGGTTCCCTTTTGTTTTTTTTTTGGGAATTTCTTTGTGCACGTTTTAGACTTTGGCAAATTCCCCCCACTCATTGGAATGCAGTCGGCGAATGCCACACGGGTCGTGCCACAATCGTTTCACACTAAATATATTTTTGGTGTCATCTGAAGCATTCTGCGAGTTAATGGTTCAATGCTGGACAATTTGGCAGCCCACAAAACTGTGTCACCCTCGAAAAACCAAAATCAAAGTGTGTGCGTGGGCGATGTTTTTTAAAAATAAACAAATACAGCGAATACTAATAGTATTTTCTTTAACCTGCGGTATTACGCCTACGAAAGCCTTTTGCGTACACTTAAAATATATCTTCCAAGTTCCACTGTAACAAAGTTCCATAGCCTAATCTGGCCTAGAGAGTTCGTTGCTCTAATCACAATAACCGCGATGAGACATCGCCTAGTCCATGAATAATTAATTATAGCGGACTGTATGTCAAACGATGATAAAGAAATTCCCAATTTATCTGCAACAAACTGATTCATTTACCACAATGCTTTGAAAATATCCAGCCATAACCCATTTACTCACTTTCTTCTTTTTCTTCTCTTTAGTTCAGTATACATATGTATGTATGTAAAAGTCTTTTCGATATGCCGGGAGGGGGGCGGGGACTTTCCAGTTTTACTGATTAAACACGATTCTTGCAAGCGGTCGACAACAACTGCATGAACATGGAGTACGTGACCGGAGATCTATTCTAAGCGAATCACGTTTACATACGGAGATTGGGACACAGAACCTGAAGACCCCTGACAAGGCCATCTAACTTGGGTTTCCAGAGCCGAAGGTTATGCCTCGTGCACCTCATGTACTCGTGTGCCTTGCAGTTCATAGGGGACCCCTTGAAGATTACTTCTCTATTTCCCAGTCGAGCCAAACAATAATCAGTCGAAGATATGATTGATCGATCTTTTTACTATTTTTATCCATTTATTCTATTGTTTTTGGTTGCAAAGTTTTCACTATTTTTGTATGGGCTGCCTCAGCAGATGACAGTTGGAAAGTGGCAAGGCAAGGCAAGGCAAGGCCTCGTTTCAGCATCTCTGGCTCCGTGAAACGCGTTGTACAATAAATTAAATAGACCAAAAAAAAAAATCACCCAACACACAGAGAAGAAGAAGTTTCGTCAGCTGAAATGCGGGCGATAATTAGAGTTTTACATTACGGCAGCTGCCAGTGATTAATGGGCATTGTTTCGCATACGCCCCGTTGCCCCACCAAAACAAAAAGTCGCAGCAGCCCACCCGAAAACAGAAAAAAGAGCAGCACAAAAATGAAAAGAAAATCCGCCACTTAATGCAAATTACAGAGACAGATGGGAGATACGATACGGATACACAGAGAGCAACAAGTGTCTGTCTGTCTGTCTGCCTGCCTGCCTGCCACATGTGGCAAGTCGACTGCTACTAGCCCGGCTCATAAATACGAGTACGACTACGTACTACAAACAAATCCGATGATGTGCCTGCTGCCTGCCCCACTCTGGGGTTGCGCGAGCTCTGACAAGCCCATGTATGGGGCGCCAACGTGTTGTTGTTGTTGTTGCTGCTGCTGCTGGGATGTGTTTTTTTCAAGCTGTTTTATTTCGCATTGAATTGAATGAAAATGAAAATGGAAACCAGGTTTGCAGGTCGTTGAGATTTTTGAGTTTTTTTTTGTTTTTGTTGCGTTTGCGTCAAACTTTGCGAAATGAAATTCAAAAATTCCTTGGGATTTGTTCCACTTTCAATCTGTTAATCCGACTCTGTTAATCCCACACTGTTAAGCTTACAACTAAACGCCGCTGTTAAGCCACACTGTAAAGCTGCTCTGTTAGGCTGTTAACCAAAGCAATTTAACATGAGGTGCGCTCTTTCCAGAGCGCGCTCTCACTTCAATAGCATTTCTGTGTGAGAGAGAGCGACAGTGGCCTCACCCAAAATCAATGCACCTTTGATGTAACGACCGTTTTTGTGGATTCTCTTTTGAACTTGGACAAGAACTGGTATTTGTTGGAAATCTGTGCGCTTATCTGAAGCTCCAATGTTAAAAGCCAACAGTGATGGACTCCAACCGGTTTGCTCAACAGACTGTTAACCGTTTCATGTTAATGGAGCCGTGCTCCACATTGACTTCTGAAGGAAAATCAAGAAATTAGAGTATTTTCGGTTCGTTTTGGGTCGCTTTTCGTGTGGATTCAGAACCAGTTTCCGCTTCTCAGGCGCTTCTAATGTGATTTACTTGGAGTTGGTGCCTCCGCAGACATACCAATAACTCTGTCGATTGAGTCTCAAAGACAGCTTTGCTGATGGACTGCCGAATCAATTAGGGGCGCTGCGACTTAATTAAAATGTGTGTTTGGCTAATTAAAAGCCAGAAGAAGCCAATGAACGATCCCGCACAAAGAACAGCACTTGTGCCTAAGCAATCCAAGCCCGAAGCATCCGCAACTCACAATTTGTGGGTCGCATGCCTCGAGAGAAATGCATTTCGCAGCCGAGCCACAGAGAGTCAGCGAGAGAGAGAGAGAGAGAGAGACAGAGAGCGAAAGATGCAGAGGAGAAGCAGAATCCAAAGGAGAATCAGAACAAAACGTAGCTCCAAAAGCCAATGCACAAGAATGCGAGACGAGAGATCCCCGATCGATCCCCAAGTGAAGTTGCAGTCAAAGTCAGCGGCGGCGTCAGCGTCGGCGTCGGATATTCTCCCCAAACAGGAGAGAAAACACAGCAGAAGAAACAAGCTTGGTTTAGCCGAGGTGCGGTATGCCGCTCTCTGCCGTGCTAATCATTTTGGTCTGCTGCTTGTCTCAGTCGAGCACTGCCTGGCCATGTCTCACCTTGCATCAATACACCTTGTGACAGCGTCTTGGGCTCCCCACACACAGCAATCGACAGCAGTGGTGGCGACACTCTTCACTTGTTTTTCGTTCGTCGTTCGTTGGAGACCGTCGTTTCTGGAGCTTCTCGCTCATCGCCCCAATCCGGAGTTCGCGCGCGTGTTTCTGCCCAGCTTATCCGAGTGCTTGTGTTGTGGTGCCCCGATCCAAAATTGGGGAATAAATAATATTACAAATAATGTGCAATATGCAGTGTCAGAATGCAGTGCAACAGCTTCGATCGATAGAGCCAGATTTGGGGCCAGAGTGAAACGAAAGCTGGCAAAAGTGAAACGCCCACCAGAAAATTTGCGTGGTGGTATGCTCTTGAAAGAATCTAGCCAAACCACTTGGCAAATTCCACAAACACACACACTCACGAGCATACACACCCCGACAGATAGACAGATAGAGTGAGAGAGAGAGAGAGAGAGGTCTATCCATAGAAGCGAAATTTCACCAAGAACAGGCTCGTGGCTGTGACTGTGGCTGTGACTGTGGCTGTGGCTGGAGCCCTACCTAGCTGCATCCTTCGTTTACAGCGTTCCCCTGGGGGGGGCGACATTCCTAAACTAAACATCGATCTTGGAGGAGAGCTGCACACATCGAACGCCTTGTGGATTATATTGGCTATGAATTTTGATGGTAATTTAACGCTTTGCTTTTTGACTTCGGTTGGGTACTCGTACGATTACGATTCCGACTATATCTGTGGATTGGCCTCCGCACTGACCTCTTGTTCTGCGTGTTTTTTGCTTTGGATTCTCTTGCTGCTTACTGCTTACGGCTTACGGTTTACGGTTTAAGAACTGCTACGCTACCTACCGTTGTGTTGTTGTGCCCGTGCCCGTGCCCGTGCCCCCCCTCCTTACCGTGGTTTCTGTTCTGGGGCCATGTTTTTATATGCTGTTCGGGTGCCATTAGCTTCACTTTGCCAATGCTGCACGCTAATTATACGCCTCTATGCCTTACGCGGTCTATAAGTCTGTCTATGGGTCTGTCCGTAAGCCTCAGAGTCTCGTCTCGGAGTCTGGCTCTCTGGCATTGGCGCTGCCGCTGGTTGCGGTTCTTGAGCAACGGAGCTTGGAATGCAGTTACTGATCATTTTGCATACATATTGTAGATACATACGAGTATCTAGATAAACATTAAGTAGTTGCCCCTCTGACTAGGCAGCAATTGTTGTTGCCGCCTAAATTGCACTTGCAGCGCAACTGTGGGGCCAAATATTCGCCCGTCCAATGAGGTGTGTGACTCAAATGCATGCCACCCAATCTACTGGGAAATGTATCTTAGCATGAATGTCACACATTGCACAGTGTAGGGTTTCTTGGGAGGCGACACCGAGACGACACTCATCGTTTCAGGGGAGATGTTCGCTTAAGAGAGATAATCCAGGAAGTGAAAACATTTATTGGGCACTAGAAAAAGGTCTTACAAAGGGGGAGAAAGACTGAAAGACTGCTTTCGCTGTGCTGTATCTACGAGTGTCTTCTGTGAACAAATTGAATTTGGCTTGCAACTCGGGCGAGCCAGAAAGGCAACAAAGCATAGCTAATGCACACAAAGGGAACGCACTCGTAGACATCTGCCATGTACTAGAATAAATAGAAGGAACTAACCCTCGAAGATTCCACCCTGCACGCGACCAATGGAAAGGGAAACTATCGACCCATGGGGATTGTTTTGCATATAAACCATACGCAGCGTGGCCTCCCAGTGAGGGTGTGAGTGAGTGGACCTTACCATTTAGGGGTTGCACAGTGTCAGACCTTTCAGTTAGCCAACAGTCGGGCCACGAGCCACGAGCCACGAGCTGTTTTGGTGGCTGTTTGCTGTTGCCACCAGCAACACGAGCCAAAACAAAAATAAAAACAAATACTACAATACTATCCCTAAACCTAATCGAAAAGGTGGCACAACAGTATTTTTTCAGTCGAAGGTCCTAGTGTTGTGGGTGCAGTGCGGCGATGATGTAAACCCTTCCCTGAAGGAAAGGCGGCATAAACCCACGAATCGTGCTACAAACAGTGTAAGAGCAGTGCCTATCCCACATTATTTATGGAGTTTTATTGAGGGAACTCCATGCGGACATCAGAAATGCTTTCAAGACCATCTAAATCTCTAAATCTCATGGCCAAGAAAGACACTAAGACAGTTCATTAGCTGGAGAATCGTTGAGACAAACAAAATACAAAACACAAAAAAACAAAAAAGGAAAAGTAAACTTTCACATTTCTAATGGCGGCCGTTGTTGTTTTTGTTGTTGTTTGGTATGCAAAATGGCAATAAATTTTCTTTGATTTAATTTTCGAGAAATTAAAATATATTTCTACAGCTAGATTATTTCATTTCCATTCCCATTCCCCGAACCCATTGGCTGTAACTGTCTGTCATTTTACGAGTCTTCCGCATTCGCAGTCGCACTCAGAAGATTGTTCCACAGAAGCGTGTCTAATCTTTGGGATTCTCTGGCTTTTGGCTTTGTGGGTTTTGGGTTGGGCGGGCATTATCACTTTCACTCTGTGGGACACACAGCTGACGACAGCAGCGGGAAAATCTTCATCACTGTGATACAAAAAAACAAAAAAAGACTGACAGACAAAAAAGGCAGATGCAGAGTCACAAAAGCGGCTGCTGCTGCTGCTGCATCCGTTTTGAAAGCCATTTGCATTCCTATGGGTAGACGTAGACACACTCCCTTCATCATCATCGATGATCATCATCAATGGAATGAATTTGTAGCAGGTGCAGGCCCCAATATAAACACAAACTGCAGCTCATCAAAAGTTTCTTTTCTTTGCAGCGCCTTTCAAGATGAGGTTGATTTTTCGTTTACTTTTGTATTGTATCTCCCAGTTTCGACGGGCATCGAAGTTTTGTCAATTGTTTACATTTTCCTTTTCGGCCTCAGCCTCAGACTGTTTAATATGCAAAGCATTTTGTATTGACCAGGCCAAAAAGCTGTTGACCGCCTCAACGGCTCACTGCCTTGAATGGCCTTACCTTACCTGAGACATATAAGGCATTGGAATTGTTCGTTTTCGTTTTTGTGCTGTAGCTGGTGCCAATATTCGTAGAATTATGGCCTCAAGGGGAACGAGAGGTTCTTGTGGTTTATCTGTAGTCTGAAACACTCTTTCGCTTGAGCGTAAAGTACTTTCATCAGGTGTAAAGTTGTGTCTCTGGGATTCCCCCCCCAATGGAATGTTAAGCCTGTTTGTTTTCCGCCTTGCAATGGCCAAATAATCGCCCATCAAATTTCATGTTTACACACTTTTTATTCAACAATTTCCTTGGCTAAATGTCATAAAAAAAATGTGTGCGATTATGGCCCAAAAAGACGTTTGCGTAATCAACAATTTTTAGCTTTTTATTTGCATTGCCACCAATACTTGTGCTTGTATCTTGTATATATCGTATCTGTGGCTCCGTCTGTCCGTCAGTCTGTCGTCTGTTTGTTTGGTTTCTCGTATATAATATAATAATATTTTGTTTAGAAAACCTTTTTGCAATGGCAAATAAAAAAAATAAGTTTTTGTTATTCTAACCGCGTGCGAGAGCGACAACTGTGACAGCTAGAAAAGTTATATACGAGTACCTCAAACCCCCCATTCCACTTCCCCCCTTTGCCACACAGCAAGTATGAAAAAAGAGGCAGATGGCAGCAGCTAACGAAGCTACCAACAAAGCGGCTTAAAAACCATTTGGTGATAAAAAAAAAAAATTAAATAAAGAAATACCCCAATAGTATATAGACCCCACAACGTCGTATGTGAGGCAAAAGAAATTGTTTGTGTCGCGCTGTCGTCGCACTTTATGTAATCGCTCATTATAGTTGGCATTTATTTCTGTGTGTGTGTGTGTGTGTAAAAAAAAAAACGTGCCCCGTCTGCCCCAGCACCAGCACCAGCGGTGGCTGTGGCTGTGGGAGGGTTAACAATCGTCAGGTGTGTGGAGTTGGGAATTGTGGGTAAGACAAGACAATATTGTGGCTTTGTGCAATGCACTCCTCCAGCACCATACATCGATGGTCGTTGAGCGATAAGCCCAAGTCGCATTCAAAGCGTATCACGCATACGCAATGCTGTACGTCGGCGCCCCACCATGCGAGTGATTTTTTGGCCGCATTGCGCAAAATATTATTTCGGGTTTCCTTGTGCTGTTTTTTGGTGTCTTTAAAGTGCATTAGACTATTATTATTAATCAAAAAAAAAACCCCACACACACACACACGAAGGAAAGATAGAAAAGCGTCAGAAATTGAAGCCTTAATTACACTACTCGACAAAATCGAACTTTTTTTTCCTCAAGGATCCAAACCGACTGGCCCAACTGCCAATTGGGAACAAAGCAAACGAAAAAGGGTTGTACATTTGGTACCTGATCGCGTTCCTTTGTTCCCAATGGGCAGTTGGGCTCGCAACCTTCCAAAAGGTATTTTTTGTTCATTTTTTCCATATTTTAGGTTTGGTTAACGAATTTTAGCTCCAAAGTCTCTCCATAGATTTTAATGAGCGATACCTTAAACGACGCCAAATTAATGCACTTATACACAAAAAAATAGAGGACACAGGATATAATTTTTTTTCGACTTTTCCTGAGTTTTTAAAGTCCGAATTTCGTAAAAAATACCGCACAAAAATCATCATTTTTGCATTTCAATGCTTTATATTTCCCAGACGGTAAGCTGAAATCACAAAGTGTTTAGGCTTAACTTCTAGCTGTTTTAATTATCTTTTCAAAATAGCAAGGTTCTTGAGAACTAGACGTAAGATACTAGAGTTATGTGAAAAAAACAAGCGCTACCTCTGAAAAAAGCTTAAAAAAAAAATAACAGACTTCAAAAATTCTTTAAAAAAAAGTTCTGCATTAGAAAAAAAAAAAAAATCATCAAACCATTTCTAAGTCGCAAATCTTTAAGAAAAAGTTCGCTTTGTTCCTTGAGGAAAAATCGTGTTGACTAGTGTTACCTATCGAAGATAAGATACATAAATCGTAAATAATATATTTATGTGTGAATATTTCCTTGGTGATTCAATGTTAGTGCCAAAAATGAAAATTTGGGGAATTCCCTCTTAAAAATCAATTGAAATTTGGTGACAGACTCGCACTGTTCTTTTAGAAATCTGTTCTAGACTCTGTTCGTACTCCACCGCTGCCTGTTGCCACGCCGCTGAAAGGCCGCCAGATGCATTTATCGTTGGACAGAAACAGAACCACTTTGCATGCACTTTGCGACCATCTTCCAATTAGATTAACCAGAATTTTCACCAGCTTTCTCTTCTTTCTCTCTCTCTTTGTCGTTCCAGGCACGGGGCCAGCACCAGCAGCTGCATCATCGGCGCTGTGCCGTTTGGTGGCATCAGCCAAGTAGCTGGTAGACAGGAGAACGTCGGAAACCACAGCACCACAGATGTGGTCCCCAGCCATGGCCATGGCCATGTCACCTGTGCGGGATGCGGCGTCCCACACGCGCTGCGATCTAAATGGGAATGCAACGAGTGCGAGTGCGAGTGCGAGTTCGAGTTCGAGTACGGGTGCCACAAGTGCCACAAGTTCGCCGCGTAAGACAAAAAAGACAATTATCAATTGGCTGGTGAACGGATCACGAGCCGCCAGTGCCAGTGCCACCGATAGCGACAACAACAATCGGCAATCAGTGCGCGATAGCCCAGCGCTAGACGATAATCAGAATCAAAATCAGAACCAAAGCTGCAATTGCGAGTCGCGGGCGTTTCGCGATTTCCGGGGTGTCCAAACGCTTCGTTTGCTGTGGAGCAAGCGCATCAAGAGTGCCAGCGAGGATCAGACGGGGGCATCGCCGTCGCGCGCCTCCTCGCTGGGCACCCTCCGGAAGCTGAACAAGTCCGTCAGTTGTCTGGTGAACGCGTTCAACAATCCGTCGCCGGAAAAGTCGCTGGCAAAACGCGCCGCCAGTCTGCACAATCTGCAGGACGCCGCGGGACAGCAACAGCAGCTGCAGCGCGAAAAGGACAACTTCTACAAGTACAAGAACGCGGAGCAGGCGAGGATGCGTGGCAAGCTGCGACGCAGCAGCGACGAGGCGGTTATAAACGCCCACAAAAACCCGAGTGCAAACGCGACTAAAAACGCCAGTGCGACTTTAGTCGCGAGCAAATGTGACGACAGCATGCCGCCGCTTCCACCTGCCACTGCTGAGTGCAGTACGGAATCGCCAAGTTCCCGGCGATTACCAGATAACGTTATCTCCGCCATGGAGGTGGAGCCCGCTGCGGCGGCGACGGGTGGTAAGCATGCAGAGCAGGAGGAGGAGGAGGAGGTAGAGCTACGGACTACGCCTGCCCGATCGCGAGCCCGTGCACGAGTCCGCGTCAGTCTCAGCGCAGCAAGCGCCCAGAGTGGCGGCAGCAGCGAATCGGAGCATACCACTTCCACGCAAACAGCTTCCACTGTGACGTCATCGGTGACGCGCACGGTAACGAAACGGAAATACAGTTTCAAAACACACGCAGGCAAATCCTACGTACAGCACCACACGCCGCGGCGGATAAGCAGCATCAGCAGCATCAGCAGCAGCAGCGGCAGCGGCGCAGGGATGGGGCAGGCCACAGATGTCCCGCCCGGTTTGGGCAGCAGCAGCGGCAGCAGCCTCAGCACCAACAGCCTGGTGGCCAAGCTGACGCAACAGTTCAACGAGATCATCCAGAAGGATGTTCGCGTCCTCGAGCAGGTGAAGCGCAAGAAGGGCGTCTGGCTGGCACGCGGCAGCCACGTCTACAAGATCGTGGAGAAGCAGCCAGCCGCGATGCAGCAGCAGCAACAGCAGCACCCGGAGAGTGGCATCTCCACGGTGCAGCGGAATATCAAGAAGTTCGAGACGCTGGAAAAGCCATCGGTGCCACAGAAGAGCGAGCAGCTGCTGCGGCGGGATCTCGAACTGGCGGCAGGCTCAGGCCCGGTCAGGGGCCTCCCTCTCAAGGCCAAGCGAAGTCTGAAGGTGAGTGCGGCCGAGCTGGAGGTGGTCTGCGAGGAGGCCAAGACGCCCGTGGAGGTGCAGGTGGAGGAAGCTACCAAAGAAAAGCCGCCAACAGCCGCAGTGCAGCAGCAGCAGCAGCACGTGGAGACGGAGGATGATCTGCAGCCCGAACTGGAGCTGGACGAGGAGCGGCAGAAGCAGCGCAAGCACAAGTATGCCTCCATCTACGAGAAGCTGCGGTTCACCTTCGCCGGCAGGAGCCGCAAGTCACCCAGTTCCTCGCCCACGAAAGCAGCACCCGAGACGGCTCTACAGATGGTTTCAGAGATTGCTCCAGAGATGGAGACCAAGCAGCAAGAGGAGTCAAAGCCAGAGCAGGAACAGGAGAAATATGCCACCTCTCCACTGATGATGGTTCCATGCATTGAGGCCGACGCCGATGCCAAGATCCTGGACGCTTTGGAAGTGGTCGATCAGAAGCTCAAGGACATCAGCGCCCATTCGGAGGCGGGGGAGCTGCTGCTGGGCACCAACGATGACTTCGAGCAGCGCCTGCTGCCCAACACCTCGTTCGTGTATCAGGCGGCCAACAAGCAGATCTCCAACAACCAGCTGCTGGTCAATCAGGCGGTGAACGTGACGCTGGTGAACGCCATCGAGGGCGAGCAGATGATCATGGAGCAGAAGCAGTTGATGAAGGCGGAAAGCGACAAGAAGAACGAGCAGCAGAAGGCGATCAAAAAGGAGGAGCAATCGCAAGCAAAGGAAGAGCAGAAAACCGAACAAAAAGCGATCCCAGAAGCGGAGCAGGAGGAGGAGCCGGAATCCATCTACGAACCCATCACACCGCCTGCCCTGTCAGCCAGCGAACCCAAGACTGAAGTGCAGGCCTCGAGCCTGTTCAAGATGGTGGATATCCAGAAGTCGGAGATCATCGAGGACATCTACCAGACCGTGGAGGAGGCATCCTCGAGCGCCGCCTGCCCCAAGCCCAACATCTGGCTGGAGGGCTACGAGTCCATAGCGGGCTCCCGCGAAGCGACGCCACCTGATTTCGATGGTTACGAGTCCTTTGCCCCGCCCACGCCCTCGGCAAACCCAGAGGATGGCCCACCCATGGCCACACCCTCTCCTGGAGCACATGGCGGCACACTGGGCAGGAATACCCGCGACGAGCTGCCAGAGTTGCCGAAACCAAAGCGAGTGCTGCCCAAATCTCCGACGCTGCTGCGTCCGGCGCCACCCAAACCGAACCATGCGAATACCCTGCACCTGGGCAAGGACGAGGACGAGGATGAGAACATCTACGACACCATCAAGGGCTGCTACGAGTCGATGCACACCAAAGTACCCGCCGCCAGCAGCGGCACCACGACCACCACCGATGCCACCTCCCTGGGGTCCAACTGCTACGAGAGCATCGCCCACTACCGCAAGACGAAGACAACGGCGACGGCGACGGGACATGGCCCCGGTCATGGCACCTGCATCCAGCTCTCCAGCAGTGGCTCCACCCTGACCATCTCCTCGGACCACAAGACCAACAGTCTGTACGAATCCTCGCTGGCCGCCACCGGCTGTGTGATCTACGGCAGTGCCAGTGTCGGCTGCCGCTCCTCCCTGGGCAGCGGAGGCAGTGCATCGAGCGGCGGTGGGCGCAAGCGTTCGGGGGACAAGCGATCCTCGATAGCCGGCTCCAGCGACAACAGCGATGCCTGGGTGGACATTTCCGACGGCGAGGGAGCATCAGCATCGCCAGCAGACCGCCTGGACGCGGGGCCGCCGCCCACCGAGGCCCAGTTTGTTGTGTGAGTAGCAAAAACAAAAATATATATAATATATTCCACAACTATTCCAGGCGGGGGAGAGGTTGGGGTGGAGTGCGGGCCCCCTCGTTCTGGGGCGGGGATGATATAAATTCTGCGTAGATTGCTTATCAGTTTGTTTGGACCTTATCTTATCGGAGGAGCAGACCAACTGCCGCAGGGGCCGCACTCACTTTTTGTTGTCCGGGTGTCAGTTCGGGTGTTGCCAATGTGGTGGTGCAACGAGTGCCAACGAAAGGGTTGCAACATCCGCCTTGTAGTCCGCTGTAACCTGACACCAAAATTAATCACACGGGCAATCGGGGTCAAGGCGGTCGATGGATGGCTCTTATCTGTGGGCTGTCGATAGTGCAATCAGTGTCGGAAGGAGAGTGGGAAAAAGGGCAAACAAGCTTAAGGGTATGGGTGTGTGGGTGCTAAGCCCTGCAGGATCGAAAGATTTGTCATAATCGAAAAGGGATTTCGATTTGTTAATGTTTTTGTTGTAATTCGAAAAGGGTACCATGGTTATGTTCCAATTGGCATTTCTCATACTTTGGTCATCGTGTTGTTATTATTTTTACGCTTTTCAACAATCTCCATTCAAAATAAACAAAGAAATGGGAGATTATTCTCTGGGGTGACGTTCAGAGTCAACAAATGACGATATTCCATACATAAACAGTGCGCAGTAAATACAGAGAACTCGAATTGGAGCGGCTACTACGATATAATCCGAAAGATATGCGATTAAGACAGAAATCGAAGAAATGGGAAGATATGGTTTGGATATACCATAGATACTTGAGATTAATACATGTAGATCTATTATATATAAAATATACATACATATATATAATTATATATCAATTTCCAATGGAGATCGTATTGAAGCCATTATGAGAGTCACATTCGAGAACCATTTCTTGGCACTTCATTTGCCCAATGTCACACCCACACCCCCGTAAGTTGCAACACTTGACACTCCTCCCCCCATTGCCATTAATTAGCTCGCAGACACACAATTTGGTGCGTTATCAGTCGATAAGATTGCCGTGCCCCTTGAGGAAACCCTTGTAGTGCATTCACTCTCTGGCTATTTTCTATTACTATCGGGGAACGCCTAACGGAATCATGTCAGTTAGTTGATGCAGGTGGCGTGTTGCACTTGGTCGTGCCTCCAGAGAGTTACATACATACATATACCCACCATGACTCTGTGGTATGATCGATTGCCATGTCCTGAGCGCCAATTGAAGTACAAAAAAAAAATCTATTTCAAATCTATTAAAATGTAAATTAATATTTTATTCACTTCTAACGATTGTTTTCAGTGTACGGGAACGCTTCAAGCCGCATCGCATCCGCAGCCCGGACTGGTCGAAGCGCATTAGAGACAAAAGACTGCAACAAAAGAAGGCGATAAGCTGCATAGAGGGTAAGTTTTCTACAGTAAGAATTTCTGTTTGGGGAAATAATAACAATCTACAAAAGTGCTCAGCGAATGGAATTCTTTCCATTATCCGAATGGGAATGTATCTATATCCACGTACTAACGTATCTGCAGCGCGTGAGAAAGTTCAGCATCTATGAAAAATTAAAGCGAAATCTTTTTGAAAATAGATAATAAAAAGAAAAAACAACTTAAGAAATATTATCTAATACTTATAATCGTTTATCACAAAGCTTTTGCTTCAGAAAATATTAAAGTAAAAATAAAGCTCTTACTTAAATGATCATGTTGGTTCGTGTCCCAGCTAAGCTTTATCATCCACACATGGATTCCACAGCGTAACTATGTCTGTGAACGTCCGACGATTAGCCGCATTTAATTGTTGTGTGTGGATGGATCATCAGGGCCACTTAAAAGGCTTTTTTTTGTATTTCGCCCCCTAGGCGCTGCCTGACAAACGAAAATGCCAAAAGTAAGGCTAACAAGTCGAGCAACTAACAGAGCAGATAATTACTCGTACACCCATTACAAATGAGAGTGAGAGTAGCCCCCGCCGACAGCTCACAGCTCACACCAACAACAACAACCCGTTACATGAATCAAGTATGTGAGCAAGCGCGCACATTAGACAAGAGAGTGGGAGAGTGAGTGGATTGTATGCGATTGGACAGGTTCCACAGAAGCCAAATGGCAGGCAGGGTACATTAAATAGAAAGTAAGGCAGTGAAAACGACAATCCCAGCCTGTACTCAAGTACTATGAGTATGAGAGCGCGACTGCTTTACCTTCTCTGCAATATACCTCGCTCGCAAGCCAAAGGTAAGAGAGAGTGCAAGAGAGCGAGCGCGAGCGTAAACAATGCCCATAAAGTGGACCGTGCAATTTATGCTTGTTTGTTACTGTTGGGGGTCTCTGCTGCTCCATCTCCCGCCTCACAAGTCAATCCAACGCGTTCAGCTCCATCGTGCGGTTGTGGGGCTGCTGCTTTGCCGACAGACAACGAAAAACCGCGCTCGCTTTGAAGAGAGGAATTTCTTACGGTGATAAATGTGAATATCAGATAATTACGAATTGTAGTGTTGTTGTTGCTGGATGCTCTGTGAATAAAAAAGAAAGAAAATACCGAATGAAAGCATGAATTGCATCCGAAAAGATGATCAAAGACAAAGAAAGACAGAGAGAGAGAGAGAGAGCGGACACAGTGCAGAGTGCAGTTGGCATTACAAGTTTTTTCTGTTCGTTTTGTGGAACTGAAAGCCGCTTCGCTGATGCCCTTACACCCGTTACGATCTCCTCGTAGCTGTTGTTGTTGCTGCGACGGCGACTGATGACGAAATTGTTTAGCGAAAACGAAAACCAGTCTAGAAACATAAAACCGCTGGCGAGCCAACCTTGAAGAAGTCTTAAAGAAACACGAAACAAAGGCAGATAGAGGGAGAGAAAAAAAAAGATAGAGTCAGGCAGCCAAAAGGAATCCCAATTCCGAATTTGGACGATGGATGACTTTGGCAAATAGACAACACAACTCCATTATGGCAGACGGTCGGGCCGGGCCGTTCGCTTGCACAAGCACCAGGCCCCAAAACCCCAAGCATGATGTGCAATATGCAACGACGAACGGCGGCGCTTCATTCGAATTCGAGTGCGAACGTTCATACATTGCGAGCATTGCGCATGCGCGTAATCCTATGTAAGGGGCTGCCTATCCACCCCCCTCTTCCTCTTTGCGCACCATCATCATGCCTACGGCGAAGAGAGTTCAGCGAACGCGTCGCAAAGTTGGAAATTGGAAAATATCTGGTAATTGTTTCACGGCCTGCCTGACGTCTTGGGCTGCTTTGGGTGAAGTAGTGAAACCCCACCGACCGTCCCGGCCCAATGGAAATTCTCAGCTCTCAGCTCTCAACTTTTACCCGCGGCACGTTCGCCCGTTTTCCATTAGTCTTCGCTGACACGACACGCAATACCTGCAGCGAAAGTGTCGTGAAAATATACGAGATGTGGCATATACATAGGAAGCGCATAAAGCGAGCTTCGCCTTGAGCGTCCAATTGGTTAACCATATTGGATGCCTGACCTATGACTGTGGGCGGCATTGGCGCTTCTACGAGCGACTGATACTCGTATCAGGCCGAGTGGAAGGCAATGACATCGTTTGGCACTTAATAAAGCAACCTTAATGCCTCTGGCAATAAACAATCAATCATCGACCGATTATTGGACCGAATCGCCTTTACAGCTGCAGATCTCGAACAGAGATCGGAAAACTGTGTTGGCCTTGCACTTGCGAATGGCCGTGCCTTGCAGCCAGACTGCATTCCAATGAAACAAAAGACTGCACAGCAGAAGATCATCTTCGCCCAACTGTACATATTCGTATGTTGTACATGGTACAGTGTGGGCTCATTTAAGTGAACCAATAGCAAAAGAGAGAACTATTCTGGCTCACAGAGACAATATTGATTCAAGTGAGACTAATTGGAGAACTTTTAGATAGTTATTTCGATTGTGAACACAGCAACGAATAGTTCTGGATTTTTATTTCCATCTTAGTCATAATTAGATCACCCAAACGAGTATGCACTGTAACGTATTAGTGTTTCTTTTGTTTGGAAATCGTTCAGTTTCTTTGCTTATTTCTCTGTAATATTTCATTTCCGCGTTTCCAATACACACGTATTGTAACCCCCAGTATTGGCACGCACAAAAATGAGACACCAACAATTCGCAGAATTTTCCCCACATCTAAAACCGGTAATTCTGTGCTCGAATATTAAATACCCGGCTGTTCCAGAGGGTCCAGAGCCAGAACAGAGCTCCCACGCACGACAAGTGTCGCCGCCAAAAAAGTATCTTGTTTCTGGAAATATTTCTGCATATATAGCCATAACAAATACATATATGTACATATGTATCTATGGGGTGTAGTATCCATGGCTGTATAATCTTTTATTATATCCGTCAGACCGGTTCGCGTTCGCTGCGCTTGCCTGCCTCTGCCACTGCCACTGCCTCTTCATCAACGATCTGTGTGTACGTGTACGTATACGTAATACGAGAGCTGATTTCATGTCTAGTCTCATGCCCCGAGGGTGCTAACAATCAGAGCCAAATCGGTATTCAGATTTCATAAAGCTGGGAATATACGAGTAGATTGCCGGAAGAGTTTGGTCGCATTATCAATTCAGAAATAAAATCACAGATATCACACAGATATTAATCCAGTTTCAGAATATGGAATATTCGATGGAATATTCGTATATTCGATTCTTATGCCTAGATTCTGGCCAGGGCATTCTTAGTGCGGTGTATGCCTCCATTTTACACTGTAGCACTGTCTGTGCCGCTTTTCAATTTGATTTTCTAGCCAGCCAGCCAGCAGTTAATCGCACCATGGTACAGGCACCTGCTGAGCCTGTACCACAAAATCCACCGTGTACCGTGTATCTCAATCTGCATTCAAGCATGATTCCATGCCATTCCATTTTCCATTATAATTTGCGCTATTTTGCATGCCACTGCTTTTGGTTTGGTTTGGTGCTTATAACCATCACACTTGCCCCACCACATACTCGTACGAGTGTCTATCTATCTATCCATGTATCCTATATACTCACGAGTAAATATGTAAAAGCCTTGTATGGCCAAACTGTTTTATTGTTGTGACACTCGAGGGGTCTGTTTAATTAGCATATGTATGTCGGAATCTAGTACACATCCCCAGAGTTCTGTTTTTAGGGTTGTGGGATTTGGTCAATCAGAGAGAAGTCAGCCCTCAATTGCTTCCAATTAAATGAAGCAGTCAAATTGCCATTGCATTTCCATAAGAAAAGAAGTTAATCAACACAGAGGCAAAAAGAAAAAGAGAGAGTTCAGCAACAACAGCTACACTTGGCGAAAAAATAAACCAAATTCTTAACTGAAGGTTCGTTTTCCCCCCAAGTAATGCCCGATAAAATGTGAGAAAAGATGTCCGCGAATTATCCAAAGAACGGCCAGCGCCTCAGCTGCTCGAGCAGCCTGAGCAGCAATGGCAACCACTCGGATCTGGTGACACTCCCCCGCAAGCGGCGTCCGCGAGCCGCCGGCGAAGTTGCCGTCACCTGTCAGCACTCCACCAGCGTCTATCTCAATGGGCCGCCAACCGCAGAGTCAGTGCCTTGTGCGCCTGAGCCACTATACCAGAACGAGGCAGCTGCCGAGCAGCAGCAGCAGCAGGAGATAGAGAAAAAGGAGAAACGTCGATGGGTGCGGGCCGAGGTGACGACGATGCGGGTGTGCCATAAGGAGCTGGGCAATCCCGGCCAGGAGTCCATGGTAGTGAGCACTTTTGTAGGTTCGTTCTGTGGGAAAGGGAAACGGTGCACACAACCAATCACCCAAGAGGAGACGCCTAATGTTCTGTATCTGCTCTTCATGCCCCTCCACAGATGACTCCGATCACTATTACGAGACGCTGCACTCGAGCCAGCTGCAGCGGCAGCAGGATGGGGCACGCAGCGGACTGCGAGCCTCACATCGACGAGCCAAAAATCACTCGGTGTCGGCTCATACACTGGGCGAGCATGTGGGCATTTCCGACGACTACGACTCCTTTGAGACGGACAGCGATGAGCAGGGCGAGGAATCGTCGGGTCAGCGTCTGCGAAACGTGAGTGCAATATTAAGTCTGGATAATTTAACGCATCTAACGCATCCCCCCCTTTTGCAGCACAATGATAGCGGCGTGGACATGAGGAATCATCGCCTGCCCAAGCCACCGGCACCGCAGAATCAAGTGTACGAGTTTGTGCGCAAATTCAAAGACTTTATATCGAACAAAAAGTCGCCAAAGGGCAGCCAGCAGAAGCTGTACGAGAACACGACAACGGGCACGGCCTTCTATGTGGAGAGCGGCAAGAGGCAGGAGGATGCCTACGAGAATACAGAGTACGCCTCGGCCAAGACGCTCAGCAGCTCGGAGAAGACTCTAAATGGCAGTGGCGGTGGTGGTGGTGGTGGCTTCCAAAGTCCGGCTGAACAGCCGGCAGTGCTGCGGGCCAAGCAGAAGAACGGCAAAAGTCTGCGCTCCAGGCTGCGCAAGAGTCTCGTGGGCTCCACCTTCGACAGCAAGCAGCTCTCCGCACTGACAGCCACACGGAGCACGTTCTACCTAGAGGATCCCGAGGTGGGGCCGGAACCGAACAGCGCCGGCGAGCTGGACTCGGGCTTCTCCGAGAAGGCCTCCTCCGGTGATATTCCAGTGCAGATGCCCAGCGCCGATGCACAGAAGTTCTCCACCGTTGCCCGCAAGGCCAAGAAGGAGGCCAAGGCCACGAGGCGGCGCACCACAATCGGACTGCGGCCCAATGATCCGCCGCCACCGCCTCCGCCAGCACCACCGTTCCCTGGCCTCAAAGTGGATAATGGCCAGGGGGAGCAAGGGCAGCAGGGACAGCATGGACAGGCCACCTCGTGGTATGCCGAGTGCGGCGTCTTTAAGCAATCGAATCATCTCAATGGAAGCCCATCGCAGGCCACCGACGACCTGGCCACGCCCACACCCAGTGCCCATGGGGGAGGAGGCAGCTCCTGGTACGCCGAATCGGGTCTCTACCAGACGAGCGGCATCTCTGTGGCCAGCTCCAGCGGCAGTTCGGGCGTCTCCACCGGCAACGAGGCAGGTCTGGGCGATGACCTCCAGACGGAGCCCCACAGCATGTTCTCCAACGAGCCGCTCTACCAGATGTACAGTGCCGCCAAGCTGGAGGTGAGTTCGCTGATCCTGGCCATAGAAGAACGTCAGTTGATCGATCCTTTTTCTCCTTTCAGTCAATCACTCGCGATCTGGAGGCGCACGAGAGCTCTGCGGATGGCTATGAGGAGATCGGTATGCATGCTCTGCGCAGCCCAAAGCCCCAGCCCGAGCCCATCCACGCCGAACAGTTGCCCCCCAAGCAGCGGCCATCTGCTCTGCAGCTGGTGGGGCCAAAGAACGGACCATCCCGCACCCTATGGAGCGAAATCCCCGAGGTTATACACTCCGGAATACTGCGTAAGTGGACTGCATCCTTGACATGATCTCTAAGTGATTCCATTTCGTATATTGCAGCCACACTGAAGAGCCGGGAACGCAGCCTGCAGGAGGCCAAGTTCGAGATCGTTACCTCGGAGGCCAGTTATCTGAAGTCGCTGAGTCTGCTGCGGCGCCACTTCATGAACAACAGCGCCTTTGTGGACAGCTCGGTGCTGAGTCCGCGGGACCGCAAGGCGCTCTTCTCCTACATTGTGCCCGTCCACGAGTGCTCGGAGCGGCTGCTGACGGAGCTGGAGTGCTGCTGGCAGGACAACATCATGCTGCACGGCCTCAGTCGCTGCATCTACGAGATTGCCGAGCGGCACTTCCACGTGTACATTGCCTTCTGTGAGCATCAGGGCAGGATGGACAGGACGCTGCGGCGGCTGAAGGAGGCCAAGAACGGCGTCTTCCAGCAGCATCTGGAGAAGCTTGAGGCCAGTCCCAGCTGCTGTGGCCTGAATCTGCACTCGTTCCTCATGCTGCCGATGCAGCGGATCACACGCCTGCCGCTGCTCATCGATGCGGTCTTCAGCAAGGAGTCGCCCCACAATCAGGACGAGTACGAGAGCTGGAAGCGCACGCTGGCCCTCGTCCAGAAGGTGGTGGCGCAGTGCAACGAGGCGGCCAATCGCTGGGAGCAAGCGTACGAGCTGGAACGCATCTCCAAGCAGCTGGAGTTCCCCTCGCACATCCGAGCCCTGGCCATTGCGCCCGTGGGCGTACCCAAGCAGGGGGCCAAGCCTCGCTTTCTGGTCAAGCGGGGGGAGCTCACCCATCTGGCGTGGCGGGGCGACGATGCCAAGCTGACGTTCGGCAAGCGGTTCACCAAGTCCAACATCTATGCCTTCCTCTTCTCCGATCTCCTGGTGCTCTGCAAGCGCCGCGGCGAGTCCAGCTTCAGTGTGTTCGACTATTGTCCGAGGAGCATGTTGACCATTGCCTCGGGCGACACGCTGCCGCAGCTGCCAACCAAAGATATCAAGGACCAGGCCGGCAAGAACCTCATCCTGATGACACTCCTCGAGAACTGCGACCGCAAGACAGTGGAGCTGGTAAGTCGCTATGAGGCGACTATTATTTGAATTTGTGATCCTTATATTTGGTTTATCCACTGCAGGTGCTCTCCTGCCCCTCGGTGTCGGACCAGCAACGGTGGCTGCAGGCCATGCGACCACCAGAGGCGGAAACGCCCGGCGAGAAGCTCTACGAGTCGTGGGACTGTCCGCAGGTCGTGGCCAAGCATAGCTACGAGTCCGACGAGCCGGATGTCCTCAATCTAGAGCTGGGCGACGTTGTCAACGTATCACGCAAGCTGCCAGATGGTAAGGCTTCACATTTCTTTGCCCAATAAACCCTTCTAATGATCTGCTTCCACGCCAGGCTGGTACCAGGGCGAGCGCATCCGCGACGGTGCAGTCGGCTGGTTCCCAGGCAGCTACACGGACGAGCTGAATTCGGCCCATGTTCGTTCCCGCAATCTGAAGCAGCGCCACCGCCTCCTCACCTTCACGGCCACCTATCTGGAGGCGCAGAAGGGCAAGTGAAGGACTGTCACTGTCACTGTCAATGTCTCCTCCTCGTTCGCTATCGTGGCCATCTCCAACCGCCTGCCACCCCAGTGGCAAGTGGTCGAGTATTATTGTATGTAGTGCTTGCAGCAAGCAATCCACATGCACTGCACACATTGTAGTCCGCAACAATCTTAACGTGAATTACCATATACATGAATAACCCCGATAGGAAATGTGATAAATTAATTTAGATCGAGAAATGTTACAACAGAATAGTAGAGCTACAGATATATGTAGATAGTTCCCCCTCCCCCATATTCGATAAGCAATAGCAACTAATTATATTTATGGATACCACTGCAAGGGGATATTTATGCGTATTCTCCGTAATTAAATCAAATACGAAACAAATTGTTGCATCATGTTCTTTAAATACCCGATAAATGTGAAAATGGTGTAGCATCCAGGCTCTGGACCTAGAAACCTTTTATGGCAATCGATTGGCAGTACTCTTCCAATCCCTAAGAGTCATGCCACGCCCGAATTGAGCCATAAATATCGAAGATATAGAGTAATGCAAAAAAAAGTCAGTATTTTATTAATGAGCAAATGGAAAATTTCATGGAGCTATATTTTGGGCAAATTGGACCAGAACGGCGAAGAACCGTTGAAGAACTGTCGATCGACATTCAAATATTGGTTACGAAAATCGAGTAATTTTTGGAATATTTAATAATGTAACTAGCCTACAGAAATTAATTATTTGCACAGGCAAAAGTTTGTGGTGCAATATCTCGGGCAATTATAGTCAGATCGGCGAAGGGCTAACTTGCCCAAAATCGCAAGGATCCAGACTGTCGAAATATGGGCCCAAAAATTTAAACAATATTTTTGCAAATATGGTTGGTAGGACTCTCTCGATCAGCAAAAAGCCAGATCGCTTCATAGGCGAGATATAGCGTACACCCCACCCACCATCGCAGCAAAAGAGCCATTCAAACAAGAGATTTCTTTCCAATATAAATGTCTGTATTTGTAGTTTTCAAAAATATATGTACACATACATACACACATCGATTTTCATTGCTTGCTTGCGTTTTGGTTAATTGCTGCGAATTGCATATTAAAAGACTAAAAACTTATGTAATTCAGTAGCTGCACTTCGTTCCGTTCCGTTCCGTTCTGTTCCGTGGCATATTGTAGCAGTTTACAAATAAATCTTACGATTATGTTATTGCTGTCATAAATTATTAAATCTAAATCAAACACTAAAGTGAGGGGGCACGGGTACGCGATATGTTTGATGTATTGGCGATCCAATCGATCCGATAGCCGCATGCTCTGGAGTGCTGCTAAGCCGAACGGCACACAATCAGACCAGACCCGCGACTAAATCTAAATCAAATAATTTACAATACTTCTTCTGTTCATGTGACCTGCGATGAGTGGATGTGATAAATTTAAATGAATGTCCCAGAGAGAGAGAGAGAGGACTGAATCGTGTGAGGGCTAACGGCTAAGAGGCTATCGGCTATGGCTAAGCTCTAGATTCATACACGTCTACATAAATATATCACAAAATCAGTGAAATGAAAATTCGCTGGAGTATTTGCTTTTGTTTTCGCTTTGGATGATGCATATGAGATGGATGCGACTCGTTGACTGCTCGTTGAGTCAATGAATGCAATGATTGGCAATGACTGGGCACATCTCCTATTCTCTTCCTCTTCCTCTTCCCCTTCTTATTGATATTGCTATTGCTATTCCTATCCTGTTCCTATCCTATCCTGTACTGTCCTTTCCTCGTCTCTTCTTTCCTTTCCTCAGCAGCGAATCTGTGTCTGTCATCTGAAGCTGATGCCGCACTTGCGACTTATCTTGGGCGTGTGTATGTAGGCAATCGACAGCAGCAGCGGCACATCGTTCTCGGAGAGCTGCAGCGGCGTGGTAATGTCACTCAGCCGACATGGATCCGTCTCCAGCAGAAAGGCGGCCAGTGTTTCCGACTGCAGATAGATTTCCTGAAGCTTCGACTCCAAAAACGACAGGCACTATGACATTGGAAACAATACAAAGATTACAACAGAGTTAGGCTGGGGAATGGGGATTTATATGTATCTACCTCATAGGCGGGTATGCCGCCAGCGTGCATGGCCTGAACAGTTTCCAGCATGCTCGAAACCAGCTGCGACATGCCCACGGGCGAGCTCTGGCCCCCCGCATAGGGAAACTGCTGGGCCTGCGACGAGATCAGGCGCACATCCCACTTGTCCATGTCCGCCACAATGGCAATGTTCTCCGCCGGCTGTGAGATGAGTGAGGCCGAGCGTGCGGCCAGTGCCAGGTCCTCGCGCAGATGCATTTCCCACTTGTTGGGCGGTGCACAGGTGCCCTGCGGAGATGAGAACAAAAACTGAGTTTAGAATTGCTACAATTGGTTACGTTTGGGGGGTGGATGGGGTGTCTCACCTGAAGTACCATGTCGGAAACATAGTGATCACTGACGCTCAGCATCAGCGAGGGAATGAAACCGGCTCGCAACTGATCGCCCGCCGGCTCATCGTCCTGCGGCAGCTCCTTGATGCCGGGTACGGGTAGCTTCAGCAGCTGCTGGGACACGTTCACTGCCGCACACTTGGCGGCCACCGACGAGATGGAGCTGCGGCCCGAGGGCACACGCTTGGGCTGCTGCTTCCGCGTGAATCCCGTCTGCGTTGCAGCCGCCGCCGGCTGTGGGGGTTCTGGTGCGGATTTGAGGGTGTCTATGGAGGCAGCAGAGTTCACCGACTGCAGGGTTCGGTTGCTCTGATTCTGATCGTAGCAGTGCATCTCGTCCGTCTCAAACTCCAGCTCGGTGGCATTCGAGGGCGTCTGATAGGTGGCCGAGGAGCTCATCATACCACCGCTGCTGCAGACAATGCATCGCTCGCTGCCCACCGCCTGCGTTGTGCTTGTACCGAAGCTGGCATTGGGTCCGATCGAGCTGCTGCTGGTGGCCAGCTCGGGATGCTGCTGGAGCGTCACGCTGCTGTCGCTCGACTTGAGGGCCGCCTCACTCGCCTCCAGCTTGGTGGCCTTGTCCATCAGCAGATCGTAGTTGTTGGACAGCACCAGGTTCTTGCTCTTCATGTAGTTGGTGGCTATCTGGGGATACTGCTCAAAGTTGAACTTCATTCCCGAGTGCTTCTTGGCCATGCTGGCCACGTCGTGGGTGCGCTGATGCTGGGCGCACAGCATGAGGCTGGCGGCTGGCTTTGGGTCGTCTGTGAGATCTTCGCTGCTCTTCTTCAGATTGATCAGCGGCTCGTTGTCGCCCAGCACAAAGACGACACCGTTGCCGTTGTCCGCGGCAGTCTGCCTGCAGATGCCGTGCTCCCGCTCGATCAGCTTGTGGCACTGATCAAAGTGGATCTGCTCCTCCAGGCTGACGTTCTCCTTGATGGGCTCAATGCCCCAGGTCATGCGATCGCTCTTCCCCATGCTGTTCTGCGTGATGAGGTCCGACAGCGACAGATGCGAGGCTCGCCTCTCGTGGGTGAGTGGCTCAAAGTCGCCCGCGTCCAGGGGTCCCCTCTTCTCAATCGCATCTGGATTTCCCTCGACAGAGTAGCTGCTGCAGCGCCGCTCCAGCTTGCGATTGATTATCTTAATGCCCTGCTGGAGCTTGGCCAGATCACTGAGGCTCAGACCCTCCTTCACACCCGCCGCCATGGGCACCATGTTCCAGAAAAAGTTCTTCTTGCGCCCAGCGGTGCTGGTGGTGATGGTGGCAGCTGTGGCTGGTGGCGTTTCTGCGGCATCATCGAACTCAATGGCCTCGATGGCCCCATCGTCGATGCTGCCGCCGCCAGTGCCCACAGAGCCCGATCCCGATCCATTGGACTCGTCCTCCATGCACAGCTCCACATTATCGGGCGTGGTGACTGTCAGACGTATCCGGCCATCCTTGCCGGTGCGAAAGTACTGCTGCGCCTGCCGTGCCAGCAGCGTCTTCTTGTCGATGCCCGTGTCCATCAGGTAGTTGCCAATACGCAGCTCCTGCTGCACGAAATGGGAGTCGCGGAAGGCCAGGACGGTGGGGATCTCGTTCTTCTTCAGCGTCTGCATGCCGTCTTGATCCGCCTGATCCTCCAGCCCCAGATCCCCATCGTCCTCGTTCTCGCAGCAGTTCAGCAGCTGCTCCCCTCCATCATCCACATCGTCCGCGATGGCGTTCAGGTTCTGTTTGCAGGTGGCCACCCTGCTCAGGCCGCCTGCACGTCGCAGCTGCGAGGGTGGACTCTTGTGCCGCTCCTGGCTCTGGTGGTGGCTCTGGCTCTGGCTAACCAGATCGTTGATCAGCTGCTTGTTAAAGTCCTCCCGCTTGGCCGTGCGCCGCACCTCGCTGCAGCGTATGAAGTACGTGAGCACATTGAGGAGCTTCTCCACCCACAGCTTCTCCGCTCCATAGATGATGGTGCGCACCAGCTTGGGCGGCACGCCAATGGCTCCATACAGATCCCCCAGCTGCGCCCACAGTGCGTTGTACGGATGCTTCTGGGCCACCTGCAGCAGCTTGGCCCGCTGCTCAATGGCTGCCGAGGATGCAGAGGCATCTGAGCGTCGGGAGCCCGAACTATTGAAGGCTGAAACGGTGGCCACCCAGCCCAGATGGTACGTCAGAATCCCCGTCAGCATGGTGCTAATGAAGCTGCAAAAAACGGAAGGGATTCGATTAGTACTGTCTCCGAAAAGGAGAGAGAGGAGGATTCTTACAAATTGGAATCCTTTGTGTCGGCAAAGGACAGCAAATCACAGAGTTCCTTGATGAAGCGCTCGGCCACCGTCTTGGAGTACTTGCTGCCGCTGGTGGTGATGCTCAGCCAGACGGGCGTCTTGATGCGTGGCGCCGTAAAGAGATCGTTGAACCACTGCTGTGTGTCCTGCCAGGCCTGGAACATGATCTGTGGGCAGGAGAAGGAGAAGGTTAGCTAAACGCATTTCAATGGACTCCAATCCAATGATGGTGTTTACCTGCAAAAAGTTCTTGTGATTGATGTACGCATGCTCTGTGCTGGCCCGCAGGCGACTCAGCATGGACTCGAGCAGGGCAATGTGCTCGCTGCAGAAGAGCTCCATCTCCTCCTCGAAGGACTCGCTCATGGTGATGCACACGGCCAGTCCCAGCTTGGCCCGACGCCGCAGATTGGCCTGGCGACGTCCCATCTCCGGATTGCTGCGCGACTCGTTGGCACAGTAACTGGCGCGCCTGTACTGCGGCGGACCCATGCCACCGCCCTCGCTGCCACCGCCACCGCCACCGCCATTGCCACCATTGCCGCCAGAACCCTGGCTAGAGGTGCCGCCATGGGGCAGCGTATAGTTGTCGCTGAGGAAGCCGATAAAGTCGTTCCTGGAATGCTCGTTCTCGA